TTAAGCAAAATTTAGGATGGTTCGGAAATAATTTTGATAAAAATTTCCTTCTTCAAAAATCGAAAGAACACTCATACCAGAACGCTCAGTTTTCGGATCTGACCTCTTTGGATGAAGCATTAAAGAGGTTGCTTCTGTAGTGGTCAGAATTTGCTACGTTTTAGGGGGATGAGGAGTAAAATACAAAAATTTTCAATGATTTTAATAGTTGTAACAAAATCACACAATTTTAAATAATACATATTTCAAGAATTAATGTGAATTTATTATGCAAAGAAATATTTTAACTTTCACTGGGCTCTGGGGTTAATTATTTTTCTAACGAAACATAATATTGTATCGAAAAAGGTGTAGTCAAGATTTTCAGTCAAATTTTATTATTCTAGTTGCCGAAGTTTTGACCAAGGCAAGTGGGTTGTTGAGTTATAATTAAAAAAATTCACGTCATTTATGTTTATCCCTTACTTTATGTGTACTTCTTATTTTTATTTATTTTATATTTGCACTACAGGCGGTTTTACGGGGGAGGGAGGGCTTTCGGGCTGAGGCTCTTTCCCCCCCTCCCCCAAAACGGTAGCATATAACCATTTTTTATAGAAAAAAATATTAAAACTATCTCTTAAAGTATTATTGTTCGTGTAATTACATTTAATAGGACTTCAAGAATCACTTAAACACCATTTCATATAGGTAGTTCATTTCTTTTTTTTATTTTTTAAAATTAATTATCGTTATATATATGAAAAAAAATCTTTCGGGCTGAAGCCTCCCCCCAAATTAAATTCTGGACCCGCTAGTGATTTGTACTGATTCTTTCATTTATGTGCACTATTTATCTTTTTCACTTGGGCAATTTATGTCCTTATGTCTACATCTTATATTTCTTATGAAAGCTTTTACTTTTTAATCCTGATGATGAAACATCTTTGGATCGAACGACAGTAGCTAGAATAAATAAAAATTGTCTGAAATGATGATAATACGTCTTCCCAGACAATTTTCAGTAAAAAGCTATCTGTCAAATAATATTGTATCGATGGAATCCCGGAATTCTATTAATAAATAGAATTAATTAATTCTAAAATTAAAAGGTATTGGTGTTGGTTTTCAGATTAAGATGTAACTCTTTTCACTACTAGCCAATCCAGAATTGTTTTGGGGGAGGCTTCAGTCCAAAAATTTTTTTTAAAAATATGTAATAATAATTACTTACGAAGATAAAGAAAGAAACGAACTACCTATATGACAGTGCTTAAGCGATTCTTTAAGTACTATTCAATGTAATTACACGAACAATAATACTTTTAGAGTTAATTTTTTTTTTTTTTTCATAAGACGGTTATATTTTACTATTTTGGAGAGAGAACGGACTTCGCCCGAAAAAGCTCCCCTCTCCATTCCTCCTCCTTATCCTCTCCCTCCCCCCCCCCCTCTATAAATCCTTGTATAAAATGTTTTAGAATAATTTTTAAATTAAAGTTGGTTCTCCAAATTCGTATTTCCCAATTTCTTAGGATTTCAAAATGTTGGAGAGGAAGGGAGGAGAGAGATCCGTGCCATCTTCGAATTGAAAACAGTTTATTCAAGGGACTGTATCCAAAATAATAATACCAATACCCCTGCAATACGACAAGTTGACGTCCATTACTAACAATCATTTTAAATTGGAACTATGGAATACTGAATTATTTTCGAAGTAATTAGAGTTAAATTTTTTTTTTTTTTTTTGGCTCGCGCTGTAAGCAACATGAATAATTAAAATACAATAAAAATCATTAAAATTTGTTTTTCTATTTAAAAAAAAAATGCTATCATGAATATTGTTTTATATCATGGCCCTACCATATAAGGCGAGGAAAGAAAACCGCAAAATATCGTTCTATACCGCTGCGCACTTTTCCCCAAGGTCACAAGCTCCTGATAGTATTTGTGGATTTTTTTTTATTTCAGCCGGCAAATTTTTCTTATTCATCGTTACATCAGAATATACACTATATATTCTCTATTGACTTCATAACGTTTCTCATTAAACAAAAATAGAAATGGTAAGATGGTGAAAAATATTTTAATATCATGGAAAAATTTTTATCTCTGAATTGATTTTAAAATCAAACTGTGTTTTCAATTTAAGTGGAAAACATAATTCTGTTAGTTTTTATATAATTTATACAAAAAATAACTATTCTAAATTTAATATGATAATGGTGAAAGAATATTTACTCCTAATAATTTATATGCAAGCAGAATTTAAATTAACAATTGACTAATCAAAGAAATTAATTTGGGATTTATAATAGTTAGCCTATATAAATTTATAATTTATCATGTAAGAATAAAAAAGAAATATGAGAAATAAAATCCAAAAAATATGCAAATTCATAAAAAATTGGTTATGAAATTCACCAAGTTTACTAAAATAGTATAAGATAAACTAAGCTCTAGATTGTTTTTAAAGACATTCTCTAAATATCTTTATATTGCTTCTCAAAGTGGCCATTTATTTTTTAATGTATGGTATAGAATTAATATAATTTGGTTTATTTCGGATAACCCTACATTCCGATTCACAAGATTTAAAGAGTTGATCATTTGCTGGAGAAAGTATAATAAAAATAGTTTTATTTATAATTTCATCCACGAACCCTGTTGATCAACACATATGAACCTTAACGTCTTATAAATAAATACAGGAAAAATCTTACCGCTACTTAACAATAGTCTGCAAGCTTAAAAAATTATGAGAAAAAAACGAATTTGATGTAGGATATCTTTTTGTGATTGAAAATCTAATCATGCAAAATGCAAAATGCTAATGAGTTTAATAATTTCTCAAAGAATACTACATTACTTCTCAAACATAAACATAGAAAGTTTGTAAGTTTATAAATACAAATTAATAATACAGTAGTACTAATAATAGTAATAATTACAGCTACAATAAAATAATAGTTATAAATAGTAGAACAATTACTAGTCATTAAAATAAGTCCAAACTATATGCAGCCTTAATAAAAAAAATATAATAAAGATGAAAATTTACAAATTAATGTACATTTCAAAAAAATATAATAATGATAACTTTTTTAATCTTTATAAATTAAATTTTTGAACCATGGTTCTTGACCTCATTTGGTGTCTTTAACCTTTTTGTTCAAACATAACCATTAATTGCAGAATCTCTACTTACTATTGCCAAATTTATATCTCTCGCTAATGAATTTACAGTTATTTGTTTTGTCAATTTTCAAGTTTCTGTTTAATAAATTTCACTCTTAAATAAAACAACAAAAATTGCCTAAGAGAAACTGAAAGTGCCTACTACTACCATCTATCATATACTTGGGTAAACTAAAAAATAAAACTTTCTTAAAATAACTAATTTAGAAAAAAAAAAAGAAAATTTTATATATATTTGACGGAAGTTTTTATAAGTAAAATTTGTTGATCACCATTTAATAATAACTTGAACTAATAATATACACTTTACGAAGCATTCATTAACATAAAACAAATACCTATATATTTTTTTTATTTTCAAATTAAAAAATATAAATACATATTTATTTTTTAAATTGCAATAAACAAATTGAAATTTTACTAAATTTAAAGAAAGTGTCTTCCCTTCCTCTGAATCAGAACTGGGAAAAATGTATTTTAAAATACTACCTATTTTGTTTTTAAATAGAATCTATTTTAATTTTACATTTTACTTCTTAAAAAAATACAAAATATGTATTTTATTTTGTACTTTAAAATAATTTATTTGAAATGCCCGTCTGCTCTGAATAAATGGTCAAGGCTATTCAAAAGATAAATAAATATATATAGAAAGTTTAATTGTCAAAGATTAATATCTAGTTGGTCATGAAGTACAATAAATATTAATATTTAAAAATTAGAATTAGCAATACCTAGAATTACATCTCAAAAATAGTATATTTAAGAGGTTTGAAATGCAGAGTTCTTATCTCTATATCCACATCAAAATTTGTTACATCTCAAATCTGTCAACTTACTAAGGTCCGAGTTTAAAACCTCCCAATTTTTCATCGAATTTTATTAAATTTGTGGCAGTAGGCTAGCTCAGTGGTAGGGTGCTGAACTTACGATTCTTAAAGTCCCAGGTTCGAAACCTAGCTCATAGTAAAATTTATATAGTCTGGTTCGTAGGCTGTTGGGCAGCCCCAGTGTCGGGAGACTCTTCTCTTCTGGGGCACATCCAGCCTTTATAAGGTGGGTACCCTTAATTAAATAATTAATTAAGGAGGAAAACCCGGTGGTTGAGCATGATCTTGGTTGAATCACCTCCTTCAGCAAGAAACAGTGCTTTCCTTAAATAGCACTGAACTCAAGACCCTTCATGGGTTGTAGAGGTAAAGGTTTTTTTTTTAATGTATGAATATGAAATAGTATGAATTTAAGCATCGGAATTGGCATGTCACGTCTTCATGAATCCGCTTTCTTTTATAACCTCGTGTGTCAAGAAACATTGCTCCTAATAGCCATTATAATAAAAATAAATTAAGGTAGCAATTTGATAAAATTTTAACTGAAGTGGAAAAAAAAGAAACTTAACAAGACTTAGAATTACCTTCTTCAATCAAGTGCTTGAAGTAAAAATTTTATTTGCAGTCCATAAACAGTTTTCTTCAACAGTTAAAGAAAAAATATATATATTATTTTTATCTTTTCTAAAAATGCACTTCTAGAGGTCAGAGGAAAAAACCATGTGTCGCTTTTTTTTTTTTTTTCATTTGAGTTATTGCTATCAATAGCTTCGGAATAAAAAGCTGCATTCTTCCTCAATGTTGATTGAACAAACTGAAGATTTGTGGAGTAAATTTATTCGAATGGGTAAGAAATTGGGGCAATTACAAACACCATAATATGAATACATGCAAGCTTTTTATTATACAGAGATTTCTGATAAGCTTTGTTACAAGTTCTAATATAGCAGGAAATAATGAGAAGGAATCTTTACATTATAAACAAAAAAGTAAATCAAGGAATGAAATTCAAAATATATTTATTTACAGCAAACGATTTCTATGGCTGATGAATAAATAATTTTAATCAAACAATAACAAGATAACATCATATGTACATTTTTATAGGTACATCTTAACTAATTGAATAAATTACTCTTAAATTATAAATTTAAAAATATGCTACATTAAAAGTAACAAATATAAACGATACCATGGCTTCTGGTAAAACATTAAAACAAAAGTATTATTCTTTACTTTTTTCTTTTTCTTTTTCTCTCATCTTCCTTTCCATTTTTTCAAATTCATACTTTGTTATAATGGAAATTTCATCATCAACAGATTCCACTCCTTTCACCTTAACATAAAATAAAATAAATAAATTTTTAAAAAATAATGAAAATCATTTTGACAATAAGTTAACTGAACAATGCATTATTTATTTTAAAAAATTATACAGAGCCAAAACTGAAAAAAAAACTGAAGCGTATAAAGGATACATATAGCTTTATAAAATATTTCGTTATTATTCAAATGTTGATCAGTGTTATGCACTTGTTTCCTATACCGACAGTTAACACCAATTAAAGATATGAATGGATGAAGTTTTAATATTTAAACTTTAGAGAAAATTATTTTTTTAAATATAATTTTTTAAAGGTATGCTATATCCATTTCAATGAGGAATCATTTGGTATACCAAGAATCTGGTATTCTTAATAAGTTAAAAGGTGAAAATAAGTGTATAACACTTTCATATGTAAAAAAATCAATTTTTGAAAATTTGTGTTCCATTAAGTAGTTTTTGAAAAAAATCAAGAAATAATAAGATACAATTTTTGCAATAAAACACCGGAAATTGTACCATTCTTCTCATTTTTTTTTATTTTATTTTTTTTTTTAATATAAGATATAAAAATATCCACATTATGGCATAGTACATATGTAAAAATAAAATACATTATAAAAGAAAACTAATGAACCCATGATAACAATTCATATAGCATATCAATCAAAGAATAAATGGTAATATAATTTAGAAATAATTAAATGAAATATATTATGAGAGGGAGAAATTAATTTTCTTTTTCTCGGTCCATTGCAATGATTCATTATTCAAAATAATAAGCCAAATATTTCTTTCTTTTCTTCTTAAGTTTTTTTCCAGGCTTCAGTGGGGAATATGCTTATTTTTTAGGACTGAAGGAGAAGTTCTTCAAATCACCAGACACAAGATTAATGAGTATTAGACAATAAGATAGATAAACAATCTTAAAAGATACATTAATTACCTCAGGTATATAAAACTGTAGCATGTTCTCAATTCCACTCTTTAAAGTAACAACTGAACTGGGGCAGTTTGTACATGAGCCTTGCATTTTCAACTTGACAATGCCATCTTCAAATCCCTAAACAAATATGACTTAAAAAATATTAATTAAGGCAATAGTTGATTAAATAATTTTGCATGCATGAGCAATATAAGTGGCATCTGTTCAATTTCCGTAAATAAAACATAAAAAAATTGAGGTTATACTCTCTTCAAGTTTTTCTATTAATTAAATAAAAGGTTCAGGTCTCTGTAATAGGGCCCATTTACATGGTTAATGTTATTGAGTCAATATAGAATATTGTCAATATATTGACTGTGTAAGGAGTATATTGGTGTCAATTATGTTGATATCAATCAAACTGGTTACTTGCTTTTAAAATAGAGTCTATCACTATTTCAATACTCTTTTGAGTTTAACATTTTAAAAGATAAGGAGTTTGTACATATCGCTACTGTTAGTGCAAAAGGTTGTATGTACAAATTGAGTTTTTTTTACCAAACAGCACAAAACTGATTATTATTTTATAATTTAGTAGTATAATTTCATATTTTATTTCCCTATACTATTTTCCATAATAACAAACTATTTATTGCAGTTGCAAAGTACAAAATGTCATCTTTAACACAAATAGAATTAACATAGAACATTGTTATATACTACTTTTTGCACTAACAGTAGCGATTTATATACCTTTTTTTAATACTTGCTTCATTGGTAAACTAAGTAACCGAGTCTAGTAAATTATAAATGTATTAATAATAATATTCACAAAACAATGAATATTCAAAATTACCAAGTACTGAATATCACCTCCATCTTCTTGAACAGTAGGCCTAATTCTAGAATCCAAAAGTTCTTTTATCATTTGAACTACTTCATCATCATCTTCTAGTATTTCTATGACAGAAATTATATAGATCAATATATCATAAATTATCTAGATGAGTGAGTATATTAGAATATATAGTTGGTTCACTGTGAATAGTCATTAAGAAATATTTCATAAAATTAAACCTCTAAGTACATTGATGAATTTTCTTTCTAAGGAATTAAAACATTATTAAGTATAACTATTTTCACAGATAATAGCGTTTGTGTTATTTTTATGTGTTAAATGAATTTTTTAATATACTTAAATATACAGCTGCATCAAAAGTTTATTTAATGACTTTTTGCAATAAGTCCATGATATATTATTGAACTATAAATACATGTATTGAACTTTTTGGATGAGTGGTCCTCCCCTTTAAGGTAAAAAAAAAAAGGGACAAATGTTTTTTTTCCTCTGACCTTTAGCAAAGCATTTTTAGAAAAGATAAAAATAATACCCTTTTTTTTCTTCTTGAACAGTCGAAGAAATGCAACTGTTTATGGACTGCAAGTAAAAATTATGCTTCAATCACTTGAATGAAGAAGGTAATTTTAAATCTTGTTAAGTTTCTTTTTTTTCCACTTCAGTTAAAATTTTATCAAATTGCTACCTTAATTTATTTTTATTATAATGACTCTCAGGACCGATATTTCCTGACAAACGAGGTTATAAAAGAAAGCGGATTCATGAAGACGTGACGTGCCAATTCCTATGCTTAAATTCATACTACAATTTAAAAAAAAAAAAAAACTGTACCACTACAACTCATGAAGGGTCTTGAGTTCAGTACTTTTACCGGGCCAGGGAGTGAGGGTGAGGATTTAAAAGACTTCCCCGGCACCGGGGCCTGGACTCGTGATCGTCCGGTTGCCGGGCAACGGCGGTGCTGTGCACACATGTTAGCCCATTCGGCCACTCTCCCCCCATCAAGTATTCGATTATAAATATAAGTCCAACCTTAATACAATGAAATAATCTGGTCAACATTAATACATAAACATCAGGTTCAGGTTTGTACCAATCCCACAAGTTGATCTAAGCTAATTCTGTAATATAAATAACTTATCTGCCACAGACTTGTATTGAATCTCTGTACAAGAACATTACATAAAAATAAAATTGCAAAGGATATTCCTTAACAATACTGATACTTCATGTGACAAAAAAGTAAAACTCAAAATTCAAATTTATTATATGTGCTACGATTTATTAATTTAACTATACAAATACATTATTTTTAAAAATTCTTGAAGTAATATTGAAATTCTGAATAGATATCCAAACAGTTAATCTGACTATTTAAAAATGTAAATGAAATACTTCGTACACAAAGACAATTCATCTTCCAGCAATTAATTACACAAAACATACAGCAAATTGAAAATCTCAAAAAAATTTGTTGTTTGAAGTTTTCCTTGATTTCGGATTCTCTATTTCTCAAGAACTAGACTAAGGAAATCCTAGAAAAGTATTTTTCTTTCTTCTACAAAGATGTTTATTTATGTCTCTCAGTAGTTTGGCCCTTTTGATACAATAAGGGAAAAACTACTGAGGGAAACCAGACTGTACATCATCATGAAAGATGATTTCCCTCAGCTATTAAAAAAGATAACTACCTAACAGTACTATGAAGCTTTCCTTTATGGGTTGAAGGAATCACTGGAGGTTGATCATTTCAACCTCTTCCAATGAATTAGGAGAGTGAAGAATCAAAGAATAAGTTGTAGAAGTAGTGTGATACTCCTATTTTTAGAAGTATTTTTTAAAAAATAGGTTGCTTATCCTTGGCTAAAATATATTATATTTTTAAACTATAAAATGCATAAAGCATTACTTTTAACTTTTATTTAAAATTTATTTAAATTACCAGTATCAGAATTCGGTTTTACATCTAGAAGAATAGGTAAACCACTAGAAAAAAAGTCCATTATTGTAGCAAAAATTTCCGGCTTTAGAATTTTCCATTCCACATCATCATCAATCTAAAAAATAAGAAACAGAAATTTACTCTTTTTAATTTAATAATATACCATTAAAATATATGGAAAATTAAAAAGGAAAATAAGTGTTGAATTATGGAAATAAAACTGAGACTTTGATCCAAGTTTTGTTTTGTTATTTGATGTTGCAATATCAACTATAAAAAAAGTACAATTTTAACTCATGAATGATTATGGTACTTAATAAATAAATTTTTAACCAGGAGTGCAATACATTAGTACTAGGCAGTACTCCTTTATTTAACTTTACATGGAAGTTATTTTGAATTTAAGAATGCAGCAATAGGAATTTTAATATTTATGAAATATTGTTATTCTTTATTCATTAAATTTTGTAAATACATTAGCAACATTAGTTATGCAACTGGATATGTATAACTAATAATCAAGTCAAACTAAAATGTAATTGGGAGTTATACTCTAATAATCAAAAAAATCGAATTGAAATGATTTAATAATTAGATAGAAATCAACTATATAAATCTGTGCATTGAAACAAGGGCAACGTTTAAACTATTTAAATTCGAGAGGACTGCACAATTAGATCCCATGAGAGGAATAAGATCTTTTAAATACCAAATGTAATGTACACTGTACCGATTTAATTGAGCAGTTCTCTCCAACTTAAATGTTATAGACCATAAGCGGGGAATCTTTTTATCATTAGAGGCCACAGTAAAATTAGGCAGTGCTAATGGAGGTCGTAATAATTCATTTATTAGCATTATACATCCTTTTCTATTCCTTCTCTCCCCTTATACATTTTTCTCATTCCCTAGATTTTCTCCTCTCTTTTCCTAACCTAATTCATAACATGCATACAAATACATAAAGTGCAGTGGACGTGGTCAATAAATAATGTAAAATGCTGTAAAACACGCATGCCTCCCCCATGAACAAACTCTCTCTCTATCCACCCACTTACTTACATTCAACTTAATTCTATTAATTTCCAAATTGTTGTAACTTAAATAATTAAATATTAATTAATTCCAAACAGTAGACTAATAAATATTGAGCAAAAACGTTTGGAGGCCTCAACTACATATCATAGGCCACATGCATCCTCCAAGGCCGAGGTTCCCCACGTATGTTATAGACATTAATCCTTTTCATTTTGAAGTACTGAAATATAATACTAATAACCATAACCCTATAATAAGATCACTCAAATCATTATAAAAAAAAAAGTAAACCATTCTAACAAGGCGTTCTTTAATTTAATAATAATAATAAAAAAAAAACCTTTGTAACAGTTATGAAATCAGGTCCAAAAAAAACAGCTTTGACACCTTCAATTCTGAACAAAAGTTTAGCAAGAGGAGAAGTCGCAGCTTCCTTAACAGAAGGAAAATCCATTGTCTGTCTTTCTTCAAGTACCTACATAAATGAAAAAATGTGAACTTATGTAAATGATGTTACTAACACATATTTAAATATTTTTACTACCTTAGTACCAGGTAAAAACTTTAAACTGTTTGGATTTGGTGTGTCTTGAGTTTGAATAAACATACTACGGAAAAATTGTTCATTGTTGAGTTTAGGAGATAGGAAATGTTCAGTTTTTTTATTCCATTGTCTTTTTCCTGTTATATGAAGTTGACTAACAGAATTCCTTAACCTAAGAAACAAGAATTTACATTTGAACAGATAATATAAGATAATAAAGAGCGATACGTTCTCACAAAGTTTTACTTTCTTACTTGAATAAAGGATAGAATCTAATAAATCTCTTGGTATTTTGAGTGAACATCTTATGAAAATATTCTAGTCTGTTATTGTAATTTCAAAAGTTGTTATGAAGAGGTTCTTACGCTGTTACCTCGGGCCAGATGATTTGGAAAGTTACATAAACATTACCGGGAAATAGAAAAAAGAATAATTTGGCATAATAATAAGAAAAAGAATTCAAAATCATTTTCTTTTATAATTCAAGTTTATTTTGAAGGAGTGACGTTTCGCTTAGATAACATCAGTACAATGTTCAAGCAGGCCCAACAGTAAATTTGTAACACCCTATCCAAATATTAGTTTTTTAAACTGTTCATAGGAATAGGGATAATGCGATATTATCGATATTTTCTTTTGAATATTGGCCTATGCCGTGTCATAACACGAAATTAGATATGATTCAGGAAAAAAATGTCAATACCGGAATTCGATAAGCTATGTTATGCTTTTTAATAATAAAATCTCTCATCAATTAATAAATCAGTAGCGTTTTTCCTCAATTGCCGGCTATAATCGATCCAGCTGATCAAAATCGAGATCTTTACTAATAGATTAGTCAAGATCAATAAATCCATGATGAAAGATTCCTTCCATATCCTACCAAACAGATATATTAATTTTTTAAGATGAGGTTCTCCAGAACTAGACCTATGTCGCGACCATCTAACATTGCGATAGAAGTCCCATTATTCATCTCCAGTTACTTATAATTTTAGATTAAGTTATTAATCTAAACGGGAGATGAAAGATAAACATGTTGCAAACATCTTAGAAACGTCGAACCGGTTTAGGATCTAAATATTCTATATGGTAAAAATTCAGACCGCTCAATGTTGTGTTTCATTTGTCCTCATTCTTTTTCCTTTCGGATCTGTACAGTTTTCTTCGCCGTCACTTTTCTGAAGGTGGTTAGGTAGTCTTGGAGGAAACGCGCCGATTTAATCGCAGATGCTCTATAATGTAAAACCACGTTTAATTGTTGGTGAAAATTACTGTTATGGTGTAGGGAGAGGGTCATGGCTAAAACGACGTTTATGAAGTAGCCCAGTCACCAGTTTCTTAACTATAATATAATATAATTATTACTTGTATAGTTAAATTAAATTATTTTTTCAGTCATTATTTAAACAAATAATAGTGAAATATAGGAAAACAAGTGAAACTCTGATCCTCTTCTTAAAATATTAGTCACAGAATGTACCCTGCCTCCCCCCCCCTCCTCCCACAATGCCGGCGCCTATGGAACTAATGTATATCAATTAAAAATCAATTGGCGCATCCTTTAAACCTCCACACCATAAAAGTAGTGCTTAAATGAACGGAATTCTTAACACACACAGGGATTTCTCAATTTGGAATTCCATTACTTAGATTGTATAGCAGCTTCGCTGATTCATTAGTTTGCAACACATTGAATATTATTAAAATATCATCGTCTGTTAGTTCCAATTCGTAAAAATTAAAAATAGTCGCTTCCTGTACATGCTTAAATGAACATTGTTAATTTATTTTAATTCCATTCCGCTGCAGTTTTAGAAAATAAATAGAGGTAGCAGCACAGTAGGACTGGTGGTTCTTGAAGATGGCAGTTTTGTAGTTTTGTTGTATATATCCTTCATAGTGGGTAACCATAAAGAGATGTTGGGGAAAGTTTTTTATATTCTTACTTTCATTTTAATCGTTGACAGCTATGCTGGGTAGTCTCAGTGCATTCCTTGGAATAAAGTGATACCCCCAACAGTTGAATTTTTTTTCCCACATAAATTATATTTCATCATGGCTGGTCAAGAACAAAATAAAAACATGGATTTTATTTTGAAGTCTCTTTTAGCTGGTGGTAATTTAAAATATCAATATATTATTATTGACAGGAGTTTTAATTATTTTTTCTATATACACTGTATAACAATATTAAGATATTTTGCTACTTTATGTTAAGTTTCTTCTGCATGATCTAAGCTTGGTTGACAATCAATGATCAAGTTTCTGTCAATTTTTATGTATTTTTGTTATGTGTCATATAAAGCTGACTACATTAAATAATTGTCATATGAGTTTGGGCTGTTAATATTTCTGCTTTAATTGAATTCTTTTTTTATATGAATTCAAAATTGTATGAATAACAGAAGTTAACTAAACAAAAGGATTTTGAAAATAATTATAAATTTTAAATTGTCTTGGCAAATTTAAGATATTGACTTTTCTATTTTTTCAGACTGCCTCTGGTATATCGTACTTACAAAATTTTCCTGGTTTGATTTTGTTTTTTCTATTAATAAAAAAATGTATACAAATTAATAACAGATTTTGATTTATTGAAATACTATATTTTATTTCATTATAGCAGGAAATTTAAAAGTAAAAAAATATTTTGTAGAAGTCTGATGACATGTTTAAATTTTCAAAATATATAATTTAATGAGCATCAATTCTGGTTTTTATATTAAAAAATTTTTTTTTTCATTGCAATTGATAAGTTATTTTTTTATTCTTTAGGTGTTGCAGGTATGTGCTCTAAAACTGCTGTCGCGCCCTTAGACAGGATAAAAATTTTACTTCAAGCCCACAATAACCACTATAAACATCTTGGTATGTATTATTTAAATAACCACTTGAATTTCCACTTAAAATAATAATAGACAAGCTGTGCTATAGAGAAAGTTTACATTTGTTAATGTAATTTACAATTAGTATGAAATCACAAAAAAAGTAGAGGTAAAGATATATTTTATCTCTTTGACAAAAATTATGAATTTTTTTTTGTCCCAGGATTAGTGAGAATTTATTCTGCAGTTGTGCCAATTAATAAATCCCACAGTAAGAAAAGGCAATCTATAAATAGCTCCAAGTGGTAATAATGTCTATACTTCAAATATCCTTCATAAAGCAGCTTATGATTTTTCGTTAATATAATAATGTTCAGAGATGTTTGCTCCAAAACTCTTATATCTACATAGAAAATTTTCAATTAAGTTGCACCATTTTACACTTTTTTGGTTGCAATTACAATAAGAACAATATTTTTTGGACAGATTGAAACTATAACTTAGGATTATATCTTTTTCATATTCTGATCTGTGGCACCAACTCATTAATTTGTTCACGTTTCATGCACAACAAATTTTACAACTCACAAGTTAATTACTTACGATTCATTTTCTGTTGATTTATTATTTTGATGTCTGTGAACAGTAATGTGGTACATATTGTTGTACATTGGATCATGATTTTGTTTATACAATCATATAAAATGATCATGCAAAAAGCTATGGAAATACATAAGTTGCTGTAAATGAACTTTATTGCATCTGGTCAGAATCTGAAGTCAATAATCATATTTAAAAAGTAAGACAACCTTTTGACCAAAGCATGCGGGTCTTCATCAGGACTAAAAATTAAAAAAATACAAAAACTGCATCAGAAACATTGGCAAACTTAAGAAATATGATTATTGATGGAATATTCTGTCTGAATACTTCACATCCTTACAATTTCAATATTCAGCTATACATTCATCTCTATCTAACAGATTAATCTCTTGATAATGTTCTATAAGCTTATAGTAGGTTTTATCCCTTAATATGGCGGAAAATGATTTTACAAATTTAATATCTTATTTTTCTAGTGTTTATTCGATGTGATTAATAAAGTGTGTTTTGTTAGTAGACTATAAATTTTAATTATGATTGTCTATGTTGTTTTGATTTAACTAATACAAAATTGTAGAAGTTATTTAAAAACTGACAATTTATTGTAATCAATGTGGAATTAAGTGTAGAAATTCAGAAAACTAGCTTTTTTTTAACATATCTATATCAGATTCTAAATAAAACTTAAAAGTGTTTAATTTTGAACCATAGGTGTTTTTTCTGGTCTTCGAGAAGTAGTAAGGAAAGAATCTTTCCTGGCTCTATATAAAGGAAATGGAGCTCAGATGGTGCGAGTTTTTCCATACGCAGCTATCCAGTTTACTTCCTTTGAAATATATTCTCAAGTAATGTATATTTTGAATTTTATAGTATTAATTGACTTTAGTTATAGATAAAACAGTTTATCTAGAAAATTGATCAGTGATCAGGAACTGTAAATATATATTTATTAGCTGGTGTTTAATTTCCTATATTATGAAATTCTTTTTAACATATTTTTAATAAGGCACTCAAGATTGAATTAAATATTTTGCCAAGAATAATTATTAGAAATAAGATACATGAATGTTTAAAAATTATTATAAAATTTTCTCTAAGCAGTAGCTGAAACTTAGTACAATTCCTGATTTTATTGAGATATTTTCTCTGTTTCATCTATTATTCTATATCTAAATTTTTTATTTATATACCTAAATTAAAACATTTAAATTTGTTGCAACTTTTTTTTACCTCCCCTCAAAATAACAGGTAATTTTTAAGATACATAGAATAAAAAAATCCATTCCTCATTTAGTTCTTGAATGCTTTGCAGACCAATATATCTTACATTTACATTAAGATATAAGAAAGATATAAAATGTTTGGGATCATTTATCCAAGACATAAAAAGTTGAATTCAATCCAAATAATTTTTAATTTTAGTTTATTTTATTGACATTTGGGATTAATAAACAAATTGTAACAATATGGTTTTCTTTATTTTGTAATTTATTGTGTTTCTTAGCTAATAAAATAAAAATTTTGACTTTTCTGTGAAATTCATTAAAGAATTGAAATTTAATTGATGTTGCCACATAATGTAAAATTTAATTAGCTATTGATTTTTCAACTCAGACCTCATTATCTTCAATTTCAATCATTTTATAAAACCATAGCTAAAATTAGTAAACCACTAAATTTTTAACATGCTTATAATTTCTACAGTTGAATATGAAGAATTTTTATTGATTGGTTTACATGTTTATTTTGTATTGTGGTAACATAGTTTTATTTAGATGTTTAGGAACAGTTTAGGTAGCCAATCACATATTGGAAAGTTGCTGTCAGGAGCTTGCGCTGGCGGTACTGCTGTTGCCCTTACTTATCCACTTGACACAATTAGAGCAAGGTTAGCTTTCCAAGTAACAGAGACATATACAGGAATTGTACATACCGCCGTATCCATATTCCAACAGGTTTTATCTTCAACTATTGTTATAACTTCTTTTAGTTGAGTCTTCATGTTTCTAAGTTGCTTAATTTGTAGGAAGGTGGATTACGAGGCCTATATAGAGGTTTTGTTCCAACACTTTGTGGAATGATACCCTATGCTGGTTTTTCGTTTTATTGCTTTGAAATGCTTAAACTTTTGAGCATGAAGTACATTCCTCAATTCACGTGTACTCCATCGTCTAGAAACACAGGTAACAAAAAAATAAAATATTTATTATTTGTGCCAAAATAAAATATTTATAAAGAATTTGATGGATTATTATGTGTTTTAAGGTGGCCTAGCTTTAACTATTCCTTCTAAGCTCTTATGTGGTGGCTTTGCTGGTGCTATAGCTCAGAGCATTGCATATCCAATGGATGTCACTCGACGAAGAATGCAGCTAGCTATGATGATGCCTGAGACTCACAAATTCGGGTGAGTTATATAACATTTTGAAGTTCTGAGTATATTTATTGCCAGATTAAGTAAATTTATTTCTGATACAGAAAAAAGTCATATATGTTATTTAGCAGTTTTAGGCTTTTATGATTCATTAATGTTACAGGCATCTGTCATTTTAAAAAGTCAATTTTTGTTTTATAGGTTCAACTCAAACTGTTTGAGTTTGAAAAAAAATCATTAGGATCGGTTAAAATTGAAGCTAAGTTAAAAAAATTGACATTTTCTCGACCTTTTTAAAAATGACAGATGTCCATTTTTGATATGAAGCTACTCATATATATTATCTTCAGATTATTAAAATAAAATTTTAATATTCCTTAATCATCTCTCTAATCATTTTTACTGTATTATATCATAGGTTTATTATAATTTTTCACTAGTTTTTTAATAATCTAAATTATTCTAATAGTTCTATCTTTTTGATATTATTGTTGGAAAGTTAAATTTATTTGTTCTCTAGAAAGAACATAAAATGTATTGTTTGCAGGAAATTATGTTGTATAATGAATAATATTATGATTTTTTTATTCTCTTATAGAATTGTGTAATAATTATTTATTCACAGGATTAATTATTTTATTCATTAACACAATTATGTTAATTTCTAAGATAATTCAAATGAATCCTGCTTACTTGATGTGGAATAATCCTTGAATTTGACATTTCTTCAACAAATTAATTAATATTTCTATAACTAAAACTTTCCTAAGGAAAAATATAGTCACTGAATAATACCTTAGGATAACATTCTGAAACTTTTTCAATTTCCTTTGGATAATCTTACATATTTCTATGAATTGTTGAATAGTATATTTATTATTATAATTAATATATATTATATCTATAATTTTACATATTTCTATGAATAATAGTGACCCCTTTCAATCCCAACGATTGATATAATTCAATGGTCATCGAGAAGAAGTAATCACGACAATCAAACTATCTTGGAAAGTATTGTTTAAAATATTGGATGGTTCAATTGTGGCATTAAAGTCTACAATTTATCATGGCTAATAAATGGCTATAAGTTCCCACACCTCGAGTTTTTATGAAAAATATTTATTTCTCCGTTTGTGTTAGCTAACCAGGTCACACAGCTTGTATTCGGTTGTTTGGAAAATAATGCAGGATATCAAGTTTTCTTTAAAATACCCCTCTATATAACAAACTGTTTACATTTACTGGATTATTCATTTGAATGAATGTCAACACTCATTAATTCTCTTCTAAAGGATGATGCAAACGCGATGGCATCACGTGAATTTCGTATAATTTTGTTTTATGAGTTTAAACTCAACCGGAATGGGGCCCAGACGGCCAAAAACATCAATCAAGTATGGGACGAGAGCAGCATTAATGAGTGCACTTTTCAATAGTGGTTCATATAATTTCGGGAGGGAGACTTCAGCCTTGAAGACAAAGTGGTCGTGGAAGAACTTCCTCTTTTGATGAAAATGTTCTGTGGGCTTTGGTGGAAGAAAACCCCCGAACAACTGTTCGAGAACTTGCAGAGAAACTTAACCTTAGCAAATCGACCGTCGATGACCAACTCAAGGCAATTGAAAAGGTAAAACTGCTTGAAAGTTGGGTTCCACACACATTAAATGACTGCCAAAAAAACAAGCCTTAGGAAGTTTGTGCTACACTTCTTTGCCGAAACAAAATGACCCTTTTCTGTCCAGAAATGTTACTTGTGAGGAAAAGTGGATACTTGTGGATACTACGATAACAGTAGACGTTCTGAAGAGGGGCTCGACAAAGGAGAAGCAGCAGAACATTTTCCAAAGCCCCCAACTCATCAAAAAAAGATGATGGTTACTGTTTAGTGGGCTTCATTTGGTTTGATACATTACAGCTTTTTAAATCCTGGAGAAACCATCAATACCGAATCGTATTGTAACCAAATTATTGCAGTGTATCAGAAATTGGCAGTAAGGAAGCCATCTTTGGAAAGATTCCATTTTTTGCATTACAATGCCCAGCCACATGTGACATAAAAAAAACTGTTACAGCTTGGATATGAAGCTCTGCCACATCCACCCTACTCTCATGACCTATCGTCTACGGATTATCATTTTTTTAGACACCTGGACCACTTCTTACGTGAAAAAACATTTAATAGACAAAGGGAATTAGAAAATGAGTTTTGGAGTTAATCAATTCTAGTGATGGAAAATTCTATTCCAAGGGAATGGAAAAGTTGCCTACAAACTTTGGCAGAAATGTATTGATAGTAGTGGAGACTGTTTTGATTAAATGATTAAACAGTTGTAAATCTTTCTGTTTTTCTTTTTAAGCCAAAATCCTGCATTATTTTCCGGATAACCCAATAGAATAGCAAATTTAACTTTTTGGATATTCCACTCGAGCACTTCTTCATAGTGACCATTTGATTAACTTAATCATTATTAAATTTGTTTTCTTATATATTTTTAAATTTAGTTTAAGTTTTATTCTCTTAATTAATATTTTTTATACATTTTTTTTTCATGTTCATGGGACCATTGTTAACTCTTGCATGATTTCTGTGTAGACGGTATGGTATTCTTCTAAATAAATATTACTTCTTTTTTTTTTTAATTTTTTATTAAAGTGTTTTTTATAATGGTTTACTGGATATTTTTTATTTATGTACTTTTACAAATTTTCAAGTCTAACCAAACATTAACTGTTAAATTTTGCACCTCTATTGTTATATCATTGACATATTACACTTATGATAGTTAATAACCTATTCCTGTCATGATACCTTTTTCTCCCACTCTAGTTAAATATAGGTGGCTTTCTGTATACATCTGTGTATTATCTAAGGTAAGTTGTTTTTATTTTAACTGATATCAAAACAAAATTTTATAATGTGCTGATCAACTTGAAATGTATATTTTTTGGAGCTGCAAACGTAAAAAAATCACTAATTAATAAATAAAATAAAAAAATGCAAGGAAATTGTATTGTCTCCTATAAATGATCAAGATTATAATTTGAGAATAAATAACGTGCCTACTTCCTCCATTTCATTTTAATTTGATTTTCTACTTTAATTTTTAAACAATGTAAAACGTACTTACATTAAAAAAACACCAAATATGCTGAAAAAATTCAGTAAGATAACAATCATTCCTTAGTTTTTAGTCATGTTTAAATATTTTGACATTTTTTTTTTTAACTTTATATAACTTTTGTGTTTCTACTTTAAAGAATCTAACCAATTTTCATAAAAGTTTTTTTGAAAAAATAAAATAAAATAATTCTTTTGAAACAAAACCATTAAAATCATATAAATAAATTTAGATTTTTAATTTTCAAAAAATTATTTCAACTCCTATTTACTTTGTTTTTTCTCTAATGAATCTAATATACAGAAATAATTTAAGCTAAGATTTTGGTAAAAATACTTATAACACAATTTATTCAATCAAATAATAATAAATATTAAAATCTTAAAATAATGTCTTCGTAAAGAATAAAATTATATATATTTTATATTTATACTAAATAACAAAAGTTTGTCAGATTAATTTTAATTCAATAAAGTTTTTGTTGTAAAACCAGTTTGATAATATGACTGCCTACATTTCTTCCATCGCTATTTTTTCTTAACTCTATTGCATTTCTCATGAAGTGCAAATAACATCCAATGGTTCATTTTTTCAGAAAAATAATGGTTCTTTGAAATGTAATTAAATTTGACAAAACAAAATTTTATTTTTCATAAATTAGTAGACCCAAACCATATCTTTCATTCGTTGCTGTAATTTTATAATTCGAGATTTATGAGTTTTTACCTAATGCATTTCAAGTTTTAATTTCTGTGGTTGTTGAAACCTCTTGTCTTTTAGAAAAAGGTTCTATTATTCTACATTACATTTGATTATAAACAGTTTGACAATCGATCTGGAGAATAAAGCACCAGTCAGATTAGGACCAAAAAAGGCTTTTTATGCTGAAAAATTTATTTTTTAATTTTCATTCATTAGAAAATTTTTATAAGGAGCTCTTCAATCAAATATTTGTTTTCTTTATTTTAATAACTTTAAAGATTTCAGTCTAAAATTTTATCACTCACGCGCATATATGCATGTTTGTTATCGCACCCTGTGATTAAATTAATGTAACATATTTTATTATATGGTTATCAAAAATAGGAAACAATTTATATTTTTCATATTATCCTTTATAGTTAATATGAAAATTAAATATTTCCAAGGAATGCTTTATATTATTGTTCTAAATTTGTTTATAGATTTGGGATGATCCAGACTCTTGTCACTATATACAAAGAAAATGGCATATTTCATGGCCTCTATAGGGGTATGAGCATAAACTATTTGAGAGCTATGCCAATGGTTGCCGTATCTTTTTCGGTTTACGAGCTGATGAAACAAACCCTGGACCTTGATACTGGTTTGAAATTATGACTTTCTCACGTACCAAATAATGCTCAGGGATTAATTCCAATTAGTTGTCTTAGTTTTTAATTTATATCTACTAATTAAAGCATTTTTTAACATAAATTATGATCAAAAAGATGTGAAAATGTTTTATACCTTCAGAAGGTATGCTCATTTCATTGTTAAATTAACTCTATTGTAATTCTATTTATTTTTATGTTTAATTTATTGATTGATGGAAATTTATTTTTTTAATATATTAAAATGAATTAACTCTTGATAAAAATTGAACTTGTTTTTTGGATTTATATATATTTTTCAAAAAATTAATTATATAAGTCCATTTTTGGGAAGGAAACAGGGTTGTTGAAATTAAATTATTTATTTAATAACTATATTTCTTTCTTTTTTTTTGAATTTATTAAAAAAACTTAATATTTTTAAAATGGTTACTTAAACTATTGGGTTGTTTGTGGGGTGATAGCATAATTTATAAAATAATGGTATCATAGATTGTTACGATTTAATTATTTTATTCTAAATCTTTTTTTGTAATTTGTATGAAGTTGTCCAGCTATATGAGACATTATACTTATATATAACTTGTTATATTTTATTTATTTTACTAGATTTCAACATAACAGCCATTGTTATTTTATGACAAAAGTAGTACTTATTTGCTATAATGTGGACTTATACCTGAAATATAGTAAGTCAATAATCTAACTTATTACATTATTGGACTTATGGGTTAAATATTGTTTAAAAATCAGTTTATCTTGACCCTTAGTATTTTCACCCTACATTATTTTTCTTGGTTGCTATTTAAATTTATCGTGCCATTCATAACTGACTTGGAAACTGGAAATTCTTAATATTGTAGCATATTCAATTTATCATTAATATGCAGTCGACAGTGGCATTTAAATTTTTTTTTAATTATTATTTGCATAATTAAAGACTAATTTACAAATTTAAATAATTTATTTTTTGAATAAAAAAAAACTTCTAATAAAAATTCAAGGTTCTTAAAACTCTTGATGTATGGAAATAGAATACAATAGATTTCTACAACTATCATTTATATTCTAGTTGTTCCATTGTATATTGTATCAGGTTTATATGCATATATTCTTATTTTTGTATAAAACTTTCTATAACTTCATATAACTGGACATCTTATAGATGATCTTATTATTAAATATCTGTTTGACTGTGATAATTTGTTATGAAGGTAAAAAAAAAATTAATGTTTGTTTCACCTATGTATAGTTAATGTTAATTTTTTAATCATTCCATGACATTGATTTCTTGACAATCCTATTTAATTAAGCACAACACAGATTATTGTAATTTAATTTTAAAAATTGTTTAAATTGTGTTATTAATTTATGAAAGACAGAAAGAGCAGCATGAACTATTATGAAATGTGATTTGTTTAAGATTATAAATAATGATAAATGTATTGTATTCATTGTTTTTGTTGTTACAATTGATGGCATATTTATGTTTTTTCAGTTTTTTTATTAATCAATGAAGTTTTTTATATCATTAATGAAAGAAATTTCTCTAAAGATCAAGTGAGGTAGTGAAGCATTTCATGATCAGTTCTCTAATGAAACCCACTCCATTGAAACTGTTGTTTTTGTGTAATTTTACAGCTGAACATTTTATACTGCACTTATTTCAGTAATTTTGTTGTGAAAAACTTTTTAAATGTTATCATAAATAATCCTTTGGTGTATTGTATTGTTGCAATCCATAAAGCTATAATGAAGGCCTGTAAATTTTATTTCAATGTAGAATGTTAATTAAAATATTTGTTGAGAAATTACATGCAGTCTTTTTAATATTCTTTTTTTATTCTTGATAAATTTATTTAGGTTTTTATATTCATTACTTTATTTAAATTTCATGTTTTTTACTTATTTTTTCTTTTAATAAATTTATTTATTTTAAAATTTTTATAAGATTTGAATATAGCAGGGAGAAGCTAGGTTATAAAATTGAATAAAAGAAAAAACATTGTTCAAGTATGGTTTTAACCTATTGTTTTATCTTTTTTAGTTTATTCTGATAAAATATTACTGTTTTCTTTTATCAATTTAACCCATCAGTAACTTAATTCTGGAAAAAAAAAGTATATTTGTCAGTTTATTGCAAAAAATGATCAAGTGACATTTCATAACCTTAAATCAAGGAACTTTGATGAATTTTCTTTATGTCAAACTAGAAAATTTTGCATGTAGTGTAAATTATATATAGATTTTGTCATTTTCAAGCACTATTAGATAAAAAAAGGTTGAAATTCACAAAAATATATTTGAAAGTTTAGCTATATCAAAAATAAACTTAGTAACTTTTGGCAATATACCAGTGATATGATTAATTCCGGAAACAGGTTAGGATTGGATTCTTTTCAATGTACAGTACTGTATAAGATTTATTTTCAGTTAAATGATTTATTTGTTTCCAATATTTCTATAAGAAAATGCATAGAAGAAAGTGGAGGTTCCTTAAAGAAGGAAGGTTTCTCTCTCCCCTGCAATGAATCTTTTTCCCTACAGTAGAGGGCAGGAGGATAAAAATTAGAGCTCCATAACTCAAATAGGATAATTTTTATGTATTTCCTCATTCTGAATCAAATGAAACCAAAAAGAAGTTGAAAGATTTACATGATTTTAACTTTAGAGTACTTTTAAATAAAATTAAATTTGATAATTGAAGCCAACAATGATGGACTAAAAATTAAATGGATTGAAATGAAAATTTATGTCCTAATGTGTTTAGTTATATATTTCCATTAATACTTATATTAAATTTAGATTTTTACATTGTTACAATACTCAACTATCCCCACACAATCCTCTCATTCATTTAGCAATTAAGTTTTTGATCCAGGCATTCCAACACACCTTCCCCACATAAAAAAAAAATTATTTTGATGCAAAAGGGTTTGGATTGTTACAGGAAGAGGGTAAGGAATTTATATATTTCTTATAGAAAAATCAGACATTGAAAAAAAATCTACTCATAGCAAGTAAACTCATTTAAATATGGATGATTGTGATATTAAATCCGAAAATGAAATTGGCTTTCAAGTGAAAGATATTTTATATGAAGCTTGAATGTTAATGAAATTTCATTCCAAAATGAATATTATTTCCATTAAATTAAAATGGTTATTTCCAATAATGACTTATGTCAAAAATTACACCTCTATTTGAATAAGAGTTTACCTTCATTATTTGCCAATTTCACGGAGTGTTAAAACAAAGAAATACTTATAAATGAGATACAACAGAACTTTATTTTCAATGCAGTTTAACAGTAATTGTCCACAAAATTCAGGAAATAAATAAAAGTTCAAAATGTAGGTATACAGGTTGTCATACATTGCGATACCACTGAACCATTAAAATGTATAATTGAATGTTTCGTTTAAATTTTGACTAATAATGTTTTTCTTACATCGCCGATGAATTTGTCCATGCATTTATAATTTCACCGAGATTCTCCACACAACAAATTTTTAAAATAACTAATTTTAAGGTGAGTAAAGGAAAATAATGAAATAGTTGAAGTAAAATAAAAAGAATCAAATCAAGTAATTGAGCGAAGTACTTCATGCATATTAGGTATATATATTATGTACATTATAAAATAAATAGTCTTTCCTATACCCACCTTAATAAAAAAAAAAAAAAAATTAAAAAATAAAATAATAATTTCACTTGTAAACCAAATAATAATTTACTCAAAAACAATAAAATATACAAATATTAAATACTTATCTTTTCCATTGGAAAATTTTATTTACAAATGTTGTATTGATTATCATCTTGTCCCTTATAATACTGCATTAGCTTCTATGTTTGCAATTACAATTAACAGATAAATCTAAAATATCATCCAGTACCAATCCAGTAATTAGAATGTGAACAATTTGAAAACAAAATGTTACCAATTTAACAAATCTAATAGTGTCTACAAGCAAATAATTAACATAATTTATAATCTTCACTAACAAACATTTCACAATCAGTCAATCTTTATACATTCATTACCATTTTATTTATGTTTTTTTTTTCAACTTTACACTGTTTTATTTATATTCACATTCCAAAACACCTTGGGTGTTCTCCTTACAATTTTCAACTCCACGAGTTACATGTATAGATTATACCGGCATTACACACACACATGTAATTTGTACATAAGACATATACATTATTATAATAAGGCTTATTATTATTATTTATTATTATTATTATAGGGTGTGAATAAAATAGTAGATAAAAAGCACCCTCAAACAATTGAAATGCTCAAGTACAGTAAAAAACATATACCATATATATAAATATATATGCTTGTTTGAAGTATATATATGTATATATATAACAGTACACTATAAAAATTTATATTGTAGAGCCTATTAATAAAATGAATTAATAAAATCGTGTTCAAATCGCTCTATGAAGGATGATAGCTAATGTATCTGTACAATGAACTTTATAAATAGGAGTTATAGGAAGTAATCAGGAGTTCTCCTAGTAACGTGTGGTTCTCCTCTCCTCGGCGCTGGGTCAAACTGCAGGCTGTCAAAAAAATTAATATATTTTAAACACATAAAATAATTATTTAAAATAAATAAGCACTAAAAATAACTTTTAAAATGATTATTTATAAAAATCATTCTAAAAACAAACAAAGGAAAGAGTAAAAACATAATATTATTTTGTTTCCTCAAATAATGAAGATAGAAGAAACATGGTGGTAATACAAAAATATTTATAATACTGTCTTATATGCTCTCAACACAATGCAGAAATGAAAAGTTAAATATGTTTTTTTTATATATATAAAGATGTTTTGGGCAATTAAATTTTGTACTAAAACGAGCTCATTAATATAATCAAAATAAGCACAGATTTGAAGTTAGGATATATATATGGCGTGTATAAATGATAGCAAAAATAGCAAAATCATGAACCTTACACGACATGAACTATTTAAAATTAACTGAAAAATAAAAGATGTATTCTTACAATGAATATTTCTGCGCATCATCCAACTCCATTATAGCTGCTTGATTACCACAACGATAACAGTAATTAGGTGCAGAAAATATTGTTACAACATTACGATCATGACACCTGAAAAAAAATCAAAGTGTTAGTTCAACAACTAGAAAAAGCGTATGTTACATTACTAAGTATATAACATTCCTAAAAACACAAGTTACAAGACTAGGAAACAAAAAATGATTTTTACTGATTTATGAAGATACTGGACTGTTATTTATAACTAAATCTAATTAACAGCAATAAAATATAATTGAAGTAAATAAGTCTGTGGTTTTACACTTATGGAACTTCATGTACAAATTCAATAATTGGATGATTCATATAAGGTTTTCCTTCAGGAAAATCTTAATACTTGTTATCTAACACTGAAAGAATACAAGCAAGCTATCATTGTCACAACTGTCCTATATCAGAGAAAAAAATAATAAGAATAAGGAAATTTGATTATTGATTATCCCATCCTCAAGCTTTTGAAGAAATAATTAAACAATAATGTTGGTTTTTTTTTACAATAAAAAAATAATATTAAGTATACTTATAGTAACTACTTATAAGTGAAATAAGAAGCCGTTAGGAACGCTGCAACAAATTTTAAATAAGATACCTAGAAAATTAAATATAAAGATCAACACACATCAATGATCAAATTAGAACCAAATCCTACAACTATGAAAGGTAATATAACTACTTTGTAACTTTTGATTTTCGTTGGCACAGTTTAGAAGAACACATCACCCATCAGATCTTTTCACACACATGTCAGACCAAACGTCACAGGATCAGAAAAACACCTCGCAAAACTGCTCAAGTATGAACAACATTAAATATAGCAAGAGTTATAAATTAATAATAAATAATTAAAACATTTTCTCAATTTAATGTCCATCATGGGCCTAATGAATTGATTGTCTACTATATTTTACAGGCATTATGATATTGACAATTTTAATTTTTTAATGGAATTCAACAAAATTTACATTTGGCCATTTAGACTATTCTCTTAACTTCCTCTAACTTGGGGCCAAATTGAACAAGGAGTTTTTTAAATTTAAGAATACGGGGAAAAATACTTTTGCACATCCAGGTCCCATGAATTTGACTACAAATAAAAATGGAATCAATTCGCTCCTCTGTCAACAATAAGAGGATAGTGATATGTATAGTTGTTCCTCCAACTCCACTTGTACATTTTGTCAAAAAAGAATACTTTTATAAAATCCAATTAAAGAGGATTCCTTTCAGCCAATTTGATTGCAAAGATGCTTTAATAAAACAATAATGTTATTATAAATTGAAACAGTACTGTTACCTCTTTAACTTACTTAATGCTCAATCGATGATACTTCAATGTGTTTCCCTGCCAATATTTGAAAAAAAAAAAGCATCTATCCAATCAAATTCGCTGAAAGGAATCTTTTTTTATTGAGATAAATAAAAGTATTCCTTTCGGAGAGAAAATTCAAGTGGAGTTACTATTTCTACACATGTACCATACACCCCGGGATTCCCCACCTTTAGTGAGGAGGAGAGGGGGAAGGAAAAACCCTGACATAAACAATATCATTGGACATTAACTCTGTGAATGAATAATCAGTTATTAATCAATATTAAAATAAATAAGTTGAAGTAAGGAGCTTAATCAGTACCCAGAATCAATGCTGAGTATTTATACTATAAATGTGGCAGTCACAAAAAGTTAAATGAAAAAACACCTTATCACTTAATTTACGGTAGATTAAATATATAGGGATTAAAACTAATACTAGCGGTCAACTGCTAGTTAAGCATTCATACCAGTTATAGCCTTCCATTACAAGTTGATGAGCTCTGGACACAAGAGTGAGACCATTAGAGTGGTTAAATGTTTCTGAAATATCTTGACCGAAGGTGTAACCAGCACCTCTTGGAGATATGCCCCAACCACCCCTGTCATCAGGATCTGACCAAAGCAAGTCGCACATAGGACCCTAACAATAAAAAGAACAAAATATTTAAGATATTAAAGGAACATTCATTCCAAGAGATTAAAATGTTAAACTACAAATTTTAAAAGTTGTAATTGTAAGTATAAAATAACTAAAATTTACTTCAATGCAACATCAAATCATTGAAACTTTAAAGAATTATCATTATTTAACTCAAATATAATTTGAAAAAAGGTTTTTATACCTCATGTGGAACTTCTTGAAGACGATCTAAAGCACGGATATGATCAAGAGTGTCTATAGACGGTGAAAGACCACCATGAAGACAAAATATTTGACCATTAACAAGAGCCGTCAATGGCAAATAGTCAAATAAATCTGTGAAATATTTCCAAACATTTGCGTTTCCATATTTACGTAAACATTCATCATAGAAACCATATACTTGTGTGATTTGGCGTGATTCGTGATTACCTCTTAAGATAGTGATTCTTTCTCGATATCTTACCTTAAGATAAGAAAAAAAAATTAAAACTACACCAAATCATTTTCAAAAGATTAAGAAATAATTACTTATATCAATATGCATCAGATTAACTCATACATCTCAATAAATCAACAAGGTATATTGAGGGTATTCATGCAACTAGTGCTAAGTATTATAAATGTATGTTATATAAATGTGTTAAGTCAAGAAACTTATTTAAGAAAATATATTAAATATGGATGCTAGCACACTCTGACGTCTAGAACAGTCTGATGTCCTGCAAATTAGTGCTAATTTAATGGGGTAAAAGGAAAAACAATTGGACAGAAATTGGGTGCTATATTGGTGAAACGACAGGATACCTTAAATTTCATTTAATAGAAGATTAAACTGGTACGTATCAACCCTCACCATCCATTTGGGGCAACACCTCCTGGTACCTCTTCACTGGTATAGAAAGAAAATTTACATTATATCTCATTGACTTAACAACCAGGATTTCATTTATGTTTTTATCAAGTCGTTAGCTTTCTGAATCTTTATTCATGCTTTCTATCAAAGTATTTTTTATCAAATAATCCAGCAATTCTATATTTCACTTTGGCATTTTAAAAATATATCAAAATCTTTTAGATCTATCAAGCAGGAGAACTTCTAAACTTCAAATACAAACCAACCATAACCTTACTATAACAATATAACGGGCGAAATAATCTATCTAGCAATTTATTGATCTAAAATCCCTACCCTACCTATGACAATATAACAATTTTGCAGGTAAGCACGCAAGGACCATTTAAAATTTATGCTGAGCGCTTAATATAACACATTAAGTATATACCATAATCTGCATGAATAGAATGAAGCTGCATTGTCACAGTAAATTGAAAATCTATTAAGAACAAAACAAATAATTCTGATAAAATTGAATAAGTAATTTAACTAGGGACCATATTCCGCTAAATATATATATATATATATATATATATATATATATATATATATATATATATATATATATATATTAAGTTACCTCAACTGATAATTACATTTATTTTATGACAAGCTTTTAAGGGCATTACATCACCTAGGAAACAAAATAGGTTGTATTTTAAGTTACCACAGATAATAAATGTTTAGTTACCTAATCTAACTAATCACTTATGAGTAGGTCTGCAATGAAAACGTGTTAATTTTTTTAAACAAAAAATGTCAACACATCTTCAATTATTCTGTTTACAAGCTATAACTTTAAATCATTTGTTTATCAATTATATCTTAAATTTATTTGTTCATAAAAATGAAATAAAATAAATATAATACATATTAATTCAGTAGAGGGTTTCTCAAACCGATTTGTTTACCAATGAGAGATCTTTAGAATCGTATTTGGATACTTGTTTGAATTTTCAATTTTTATTTGTCAATGAATATTATGTTATAGCAATAAAAATGAAATAAACCAAAAACAATTTCTGACGCATATTTGCAAAGATAATTGTGGTTAAAGAAACATGGTGAAGGCGGAGCAATGCAATGGCTGTGACAGTGGAGACAGCTCTCGATGGCCTGTTAACGTCAAATTCGTACTGTCGATCATCTTATACTAGAATTTATAACTTCAAATTCTCTATCCAAGTAATATCATTCTATTTTCTCTCCCACCTTGCCATCTTTAAATTAAAATGTATTATTATTAAGTTTTATAAAATTATGTTTATTAAGTAAAGCTGAGACTTTGATAGCATCATCTTTGGCAGCCAACCATCTACTATCATGGTCTCAGACCATATCCTTATTCCTCACCACATCTCTAAAATAGTGTGTTATTTCATGTTTTTGGCTAAACATGAACCTTATTTTATTATCTGATAACTGCAAAATTCTTTATCACTTGAATTCTATTAAATCTAAAATTTAAGAAGCTTTCCCATGGCTGTACCCAAATGACAATACTACCTAGTTTACTAGCATTAGTTAAAGTGACACAGATTCTTTCCAGGAACTCTATAAAGACTAAATACTACATGTAAAGTGTGTATTATAATAGGATAAAATATATTAGGAGCTTTCTAGTTTTCACCATTCACATCAGTCAGTAATACCATGTAGAATTTTATAAATGAGTTTTTGTAAAAAAAAATGTTGGAAATAAGAAATTAATGAACTTGTTTCAAATTCATTTAATTCAATGTTAATTATTTTGGGACATTTAAATATACCAGGTTTGTTCATGAAATATTAATAGTTTACAAATAAAACTGAGAAAAAAATCCCACAAATCTGTGAATTTTTGTAATAACCCCAAAACATGTAGTATAAACTTATATTAATAAGATATCTTCTATATGGTACAGGTTTTTACAATGGTGATTCAGCCGAATTTTAATATGAAAAAATGATGTGATCAAATAAAAATCTAGTCTATAATAATAATTAAAAGCTCAGGCCATTATATTTTATTGAAAATCAAATAGTACCAATAAGTAATTTAAAAAGAATTTTGATTCAGTAATAGGAATCATAATAAACACATTGGTGTCAAGTGAGTATTTGAAATCAGTTTGTCCAGCATTAAACCAGACAACTCAATAAATTTTTCATAGATAAAAACAAAACAGTTTATAATAATGTATACACAACATTAATTTAACAATTTGTATACTTAAATTGATGTTTTTAAATTTTTATTCATTTTAATTTGCAAAATTACGAATCTGAGAACTTTTATCCAAACATTTGAAAACATTAAAGGAAATGACAATAATAATCCATATATAACATACACATACATTCATTCATCAACACTTTATAGAAGCTATTTGCTCAAAAGATTAATACAATCGTGGGTTGAAGGTTGACGTGATCAGTTAAAACAAATTAGTAAAACTAAGTAGTTGTATTTATTATCACATACGCCAAGGCCCGAAGTTCAGGCCTTCATCAGGGCTAAGAAAAGAACCAGATAACAATAGGTATAAAAACAATAAAAATTGAATAATACAGAATTAAAATGAAAAAAGGTGAGACTAAAAATTTAAGTAGAAAACCTGAAGATAAAATTTAGTAGATAGGGTGAACATTAAAGTAAAATAAAATAGGTAGAATAATAACAGTAACAGAAAACTAAGGCAGTAAGTATTTTTGATATATTTTGCAATATCTTGATTTTATATCTGTATTTAATGTTTCCTTATATAACTTCATATTTCTTTTCTCTGTTTTACACTTCATTCTAGGATTATAATTTTTCATTTCTTATGTTACCTTATTTTGATTGTTTATTTCATTGGTCCGTGCTTTGTTACCATTATTATTATTATTATTATGTATTTCTTAGGTTCTCTGATACTGATATTATTTTATCTACTTTATTTTACTTTAATGTTCACCCTATCTACTAAATTTTATCTTCAGGTTTTCTACTTAAATTTTTAGTCTAAACCTTTCACTTCTTTAATTTCATATCTTTATCATTCAATGTTTATTATTTCTTATACCTAAAGTTATCTGGTTCTTTTCTTAGCCCTGTTGAAGGCCTGAACTTCACGCTGAAATGTCGGTAAATGAGAAAATAAATATAATTATTTATTTATACTAATTTGTTTTCACTGATAACCCCAACCACCTTCTCTTCGGTTAACAAGATTGTATTCAAGGGTCGTCATAACTTGCAATATTCATAAAAAAACTTAATAAATTAAATAATAATTCAGATTTATCCAATTGAATCTATATCAAGATATATATATATATATGACAGTATAATTTATAGGTGATTTGTTTTTTATAGAAACGAATACCTACAGACTAAAATTTAAAAAGAATTTAGAGAGGAATAAAATTTTATCATATATAAAACTTGTAACCAATAACATAAATTCATTTTAAACAAGATTGGTAAGAAATGTCCTAATAAAACATATATTCATACACAAATGTGGAGTTAGAAATTAAATCTTGAATTATTGAAGCCAAATTGAAACACAATCATTTCTAACAGCTCCCTTTCGAAAATATGAATTCTAGAGAAAACAATTACACATATATTATATAAATATCGAGCAAACAGAATTTAATTAGTTGCTATTACCAAATTGAATAAATTAGTCTGCATTAATTTACAAAACCTATGACAATTAAACTATTCTGAAACCAAATATCTACATTCTTAACGTCAAAATCAAATTAATCAAGTGAAAAGATTACGATTTACATTAACAAGAATAAAACAATAAAATACCTATGGGAATATAGAACTAAAATTTTATTGAAACACTAAAAGTATTTGGATGGAAAAAAAAAAAAAAAAGAGGAAGATAATTATTGATTTTTTGTGAGATAAATTATCATTTTTCAAATGATTAGATTCTTGAGATAACTTAAATGAATTAACTACGATTATATTAAGTTACAATTTAAAATTACACTGTTAGGGTAATAAGCAAAGACTTAAACTGGGTACACATAGACTACTTAGTCTTGTTCATAAATACAAGACATGATTAACAATATTACATCACCAACAATGTAAACTAGCCATTATTTAATTGTACACCCAAACATACATGTTAAAAATTGCTCTTTAAAATAAAATTGAATACATTAATTTACAAAATCTGCAATATTAAAAAAAATTAGTATATAAGATTTCAATTGGTAAAATATAAGATACCTTTAGAGCTACTAGTAATGTCACTGTCTCCACAGAATAATACCCTCTATCAACATAGTCACCCATGAACAAATAATTAGTGTCTGGAGACCTTCCTCCTATTCTAAACAGTTCCATTAAGTCATGGAACTGTCCATGTACATCTCCACAAACTGTGACAGGGCATTTGACTTCTTGCACATTTGACTCCTTAGCTAATATTTCTTTTGCCTGTAAAGATATTTGTAAACATTAAGGAATTCTCGATTATTTTAATATGATAAAAAAAAGATAACAATAGTAACAAGTTTTACAAGTTATCATAGATGGTTTAAAAAACATTCAAAACAATAGGGATATTAAACTCATTGATATGATAAAATAAGGCAGGCTATAGATTACTACTTTGACTAGTTCAGCTCTGTTACCTTATCGCAAAGAGTTTTGACTTGGCTTTCGGTAAGTTGTTTGCATTCATTCAGCTGTTCTATCCACTGATCCAGTTCTTTTAACGAAGTCTTATCTTCCATTTCAATAGACTGAAAACAAGTCTATGTAACTATTACGAACAGAAAACTTTGTAACACTTAACACTATTTATTTATAAAAATCAAAGATAGCGTACATCGAAGAAAATGGCCGATTATTCTCAACTAGTGAACCCACTCACTAAACCAATGGTACCAACACACAATTAGATGTGTCAAAAAATGATCCAATACTTTTTTTTAATGCTTTAAACAAAAATGAGTTGATAAATTTGTCTCATATAGTTAATGATATGAACTAAGAACAAATTACTTTCAACTATAGTGTTCAAGGGTTCAGAATTTAGAAAAAATTGATTAATTTTATGTTCCTCTGATTAAATTATTAACAATGAAATAGAAGTTACATAAACAATTCTGAAATTTCAAAATAACATATTAAAAATAACAAGTACTTCAATAAAGTAATTAAAAGAATTTGATAAAGATTTGAACAATAAGTTATTTCTTCGAATACTCACAATTATATTTTCTACTTCCATATTGATCCAATTAATTTTAATATGCAACAATCATTGACTTAATCGAGGTAAACTTGAAATTTTCCAGTATATAGTCACTGGGACATTAACCGGCTGTTTTACCAGATTTAGTATCCTTTTTCGAAGCAAGTGTTTCGCACTGCCATCTAGGTAGCTTCCTTTTTACCGAGCTATACAACGTGTATGGCCCGTGGGTGAAAGTTTGTTATCCGATTTAATCCATACTGTTTCACTAAAATTACGCTTATAAATGTCTGAAACATTACAATTAAGAGGAACCCTCCGTGGGCATAATGGATGGGTTACTCAGATTGCCACCAACCCTAAATATCCTGACATGATTTTGTCATGTTCCCGAGGTATGTACCAGAATCATATTTTGTTTTTATATCTTTTGAGTCACTCTTTCCTTATTAAAATCAACGTTGGTGTATTGTACTGGCTTATTTCTCATTTTATTCTATATAACCTTCATTCTGTAATGTTTATGTATTGACAATTAAATTTGCTAGCAACTAGATCTCTATAATTTAAACCGATTTTATTTACCCATAGGTTTTAGTAGCTCATTAGTGAACATATTTTATGTAAACAATATCTGTAACTTAGTAAATTGGGAAGGTTAGAATCCCCATAGAAATATCTTATTTAATCCACTTAATGGTTGATTTAAATCCCACAGTTAATTTGTGGTCTAGCTATTTATTTATATTCTTTCTTCGATGAGCTAGTTGTAATAGGAATGTATACACATGTTTGGTATTTTGTCATTGTTTTCTGATTTACATTGTTCTCTCCTAATTCAATCCTTAACCTCCTGGTGGTGTAACTGCTTAGAAAATCATTTTCACTCCACAATATTTAGGATGCAATGAAGTAAAGTAATTGTTATTATAGATATTAAGCTCTCTTTAGACATTGTTCTTTAAGTAGTTAATATTTATTATTTGTTATAGCAGTTTTGGTATTCGAATGTTTCATTGAAATAAGTGAATGGATAAATCAGAATCTTGAGTTTGAGCACTCCTTTACTGTAAATTCCGTTTGTGTTAAAATAATACAGCATTTGCAGTAAGCAGTTAATACAAAACAAAATTGGTGTCCATGATTTCATTAATTAAGTCCTGTTTAAATTTGTTTCGATCAATTAGAAGTAAAACTTTAATGTATGTAGTTTTCAACTGGGTATGTATTGTCTTGAAAGTATTTTAATTGCATGTGACTGTATTTTTCATGGTGAACAACTCTTACGTGCCTTGATTCTATAAAGTAAACATTGGTATTTATTATTTATAAGAATTTTGTCCAAAACTAGAGTGACGCCCACATTTTTTATAATATTATATTTCATCTCTAATAGCTATTTATACGATCTCTCTGAAATAGTTGTATAATTCATACAATGCACTTTGTAGGTTAATTTGGTAATGTTTATTAGTAATCAAAATGTGTTTTCTTACTTTATATACATTGTTACCCCTTAGCTCATGTTTTATTATCTTCTAGTAAAATAATAATGTGATGTATTAAAATATTTAGTAAACACTATTTCGTGACAAATCTTAAGGGTTACATTATTATAAATAAGTAAAATAAAGACAATCTTTAATTGTATGCTCTCTAATAATATGATTCTCCATAGAGTTATGTTTCTATTAGATTAAATTAAAAAAAATAACTCAGGAATGATGCCTTTATGAACGCAGAACTGAGTATCAAGTACCATAAAAATAATTTTATTATCAAGATTTAATCTTGTCTTTTCTTTCCGTTAAATTTATATATAAAGTATATTCTCCTTAAATGTTCTTACTAACAACCAAATTTTGATTTTAGACAAGACTCTCATCGTTTGGAAGTTGAATAGGGATGATTCCAACTATGGAATACCTCAAAAGAGGTTACATGGTCATTCTCATTTCGTCAGTGATGTAGTTCTCTCCTCTGACGGAAATTATGCACTATCTGGTTCCTGGGACAAAACTCTTCGTCTGTGGGATCTTGCAGCTGGAAAAACTACCAGGAGATTTGAAGATCATACTAAGGTGTTTAATTATTATTAGTTTTAAAATTTTTAATCTCTATCTTAGTGTGTATGTTATAACACTGTTAAGGAGTTTAACGTTTATTTATAGTGTCTAACTAACTTTACCGAGCCACACGTTGCTGTGAATCAGTCTTTTTTAATGAAAAAGAATTAAATTTTGAAAGCACAGGTTTTTCATATTTAGTTTGTTGTGATTTTATTTCAAATAATAATGCAAATGTTTTGTTCAAAATTTTAAATATTGGAAAATTCTTCGCCAAAGTCTTTGAAATTTTATTTAACGCATGTTGCTTTTATACATACTTTCTATTACAAAATTTCATGGAAAAGTAGTTACTCTTTTTTTTTTTACGTCACAATTTGTTGGATATAAAAGCAACAAATGCTGTTTAAAATACTTTACAATACCATCTCAATGTTTTAGATTTTAAAATATCAAATGTGGTTAACATTAATTTGATTACTTTCAAAATAAAAAATTGATTGATATTAACATTTCATTTCATTAGCTACTCATGGTTGAGATGGTCACATAACAAACAACTGTGGTAAGACTCAATTTGACAGTTACAGTTGGCAAAGGAATGGCTAGTAGATAAAAATGCCAATTGATTATTGGCTATCAGTGTTTATTATACATTCTTAATAATTATAATTTGCTAATTACCTAAATTGTTCCTTATTACTTCGTAATGTTATTATGTTTTGAGTTTTCATATTATTAGTCATTGATTTTTTCATTTATTATAATCACTATTTTTTTGTTTTTGTTTTAGGACGTGTTGAGTGTTGCCTTTTCTGTTGACAATAGGCAGATTGTATCTGGTAGCAGGGATCGCACCATTAAACTCTGGAATACATTAGCAGAATGCAAATATACCATTCAGGTTTGTATTAAATTATTAGATGGGTGATCTTATTTAGAGAAGAAAATTTTTAACCAGTTTTATATGGCAGCAATTGATGATTATCTTTTCCTCCGAATGATATTATATGAATATATTCTTTATGATCTGATGCTGCTTTTGCTGGCTAAGTCATTATACCCATGATAAAAATTTTAAGATTTCATATTTTTTTAAAATTAGGTTTCAAGTTTTCATTCTAAGGTTTAAGGTATATTTTCTAAGACCTTTGTCCGTATGTTTAAATGAGTAATTTTATCTAAATAGTCAAATTGTATAGTGTTGTCTTACATTTTATAGGACGTAGTCCCATAAAAAAATCAGATTTGATGGAATTTTCAGGGATTGTGAAGTTGATACCTAGATAGTTTTCTATCACATAATATTCCATCCATTTTTTTTTTTTCTACTTAGATGTTTGTTAATCGTTGACAAGACTATTTTGAGATTTATTGCTGCAGCTCATGATGATTGATTTGTCTTTTCCTCCGAATGAAAATACAGTTAAATGATTATAACATTTATAATCTGAAGCTGCTTAAATTACTATCCTAGCACTCATATTAAATTTATTCTTGATTGGATTTTTAAAAACATAAATACCTAAGGTACTTCAGTTTATACTGACTTTATAAATGTAGCCACTTACAACTTTTTAAAGTGTTAGACCGATATTAAAATAATACTTAAGTGTTGATTTCATTAATTTTATAGCAAATATCTGTGGTTAATTTTGTATTAAGTTGATAATATTCTTCTTTGAAGAGATATTTAAGATAATGAAAAACAAGAAGGGGATAAATAAATTTAAGTAATATTTTTGTTAGCAATATTAAATATTTAAGAACTGTATCCATTGATTTGGTTCTTTTACTTCTCCATTACAGTTTCAGTTTTTCCATAAAATTGTTCGTTAGAGACTATATGTCATGCAGGTTACTTTGTGAATCATTAATGTGGCCCTCGTAAGTATAATTGTAATCACTAAGACTATAATGATGATTTTTTTTTACTCATTTGATGCAACCATGATATTTGCGGATATGGGACTGAATAGTCTCCTTACAATAAAAAAATGTCTACTCGTTCCTCTAAAACCTTCTTGTTTATATTAGGGAAATATATAGTTGTCAATTAGGACAAAAGTCTGATTTTAAATAGGCTTGTAGATTAATTAAAAAGTTGGTCCCTTTGTTTTATTTATATTGTATATTGATAGCAAACGAAAGTAGAAAGCTGTTCTAAGGTAATTCCCTAAAATTTCCCATATTGATGTTTATTGTTACTTCTCGGTTCTTATGGCTCATAACTTGGTTTTATAAAGCTTTTCTATTAATTGCCTTCTCCAGGGCTGCTCAGTTCGTTAAGAACACTTGGCTCCACAATTGTTATCCATTCCATTCTCCTCCAACTCCTAATTCTTTAATTATTTTTTCTGAATACCCCATCATCAATATCTTGGTGTCTATTTTCTTTACTTGATCGAACCATCTGAAACTTTTTTAATGGTGGAGACTACGCGAGTCGGGTAATTGTATCAGCTCTTGATTTATTCGCCTCCTACGCTGATCTCCTTCTCTCATTGGGTTTGTAGCAACAGTTAAGGGCTTGTTCATCACCAAAAAAAAATCAAATTGAACTGGTAGTTCCCTGAAATTAGCATTTTTAAGACTTTTTTTTTTAAATTGCTTCTTTGGATATTCTTAAATGACAAATCGCAAAACCTTGAAATACAGGTGATTTTGGGAACTTGTTCTTACTGTCCCTACTTAACAGACTTTTTTTTTCTATTCTTGGAAAATTATGCTAATGAATATTTTGTGTTGAATAACAAATCCAGACAAAACTTCTAGTGAGACCTTTTTGAAATTTATTGCAGTTTGTGATGATTGATTTTTCTTTTCCTCCGAATGAAAATACAGTTCAATGATTATATCATTTATAATCTGAAGCTGCTTAAATTACTATTTCTGCACTCGTATCAAATATATTATTAATAGGATTTTTTTAAACATAACTCAATCGATCAGACAAATTAAAATTCAACTCAAATTTCAGATATTAATAAAAATCAATATCCATTATCTTCAATGTAATTTTTTTTCTTTATGTTGTAAATATTAATTGACCACAACAGAAGAAAATTCCTCATCAAAATTATTTTAATGATGAACTTAAATTAATCATTACACGCATGTGTGATTTTTTCGGGGAAGTCCTGGCTAAGTCATTATGCCTCTGATAAAAACTTTAAAATTTCATACTTTTGGAAAATTAGGTTTCAAGTTTTTATTCTAAGGCTTAAGGTATATTTTTTAAGACCTTTGTCTGTATGTTTAAATGAGTAATTTTATCTAAATAGCCAAATTGTATAGTGTTGTCTTACATTATATAGGACCTAGTCCCATAAAAAAATCAGATTTGCTTGTACTTAACAGTCTTCTTTTTTTCTATTCATGGAAAATTATACTAATTAATGCTTGTGTTAAATAAAACTTCTAGTGAAACCTTTTTGAGATTTATTGCTGCAGCTCATGATGATTGATTTTTCTTTTCCTCCGAATGAAAATACAGTTAAATGATTATATCATTTATAATCTGAAGCTGCTTAAATTACTATTTCTGCACTCGTATCAAATATATTCTTAATAGGATTTTTTTAAACATAACTCAATCGATCAAACAAATTAAAATTCAACTCAAATTTCAGATATTAATAAAAATCAATATCCATTATCTTCAATGTAATTTTTTTTTCTTTATGTTGTAAATATTAATTGACCACAACAGAAGAAAATTCCTCGGGGATATGGGACTGATTAGTCCTGTTAATGTAAAAGTGTCTGCTTCGTTTTGCCGATAATGTTTTTATGCTTATGGAGCCTTTATTAATCGAAAAGAAACGAAGCAGTTTTGTTTTTATTCTATTCAGAGAATTTAGCAGCTGCCAGTGGTGTTTATTTGTTATCTTACAAGAATAAACTGACGAAAATAGAAAAATTTTCCTGAGCAACAAAACTATCATGATGATCTCAATTATTCATTTGATGCAACTATGATTTTTGCGGATATGGGACTGAATAGTCTTGTTACAAAGGGATAAAGTATCTATTTTGTTTCATTACTAAATGTCTCCTGTTTTATTAGCATACAGTTGTTGTTTTATGAAATTCTCATTTGAGAAGAAGGCTAGCAATTTTGTCCTTATCCTATTCAGATTTCATTGGCTACTTGTGCTCATTTTTTTATACTTTTCCATCACCATCTTTATTCAATTCATTTTTTTTTTAATGAGATTAAGTTGTATCAATTGATCAATTAATTAAACAGTGAGTATTACTCTTTAGCGGAGGGTGGATGGATATGGTACCTGCTAGTTTCTGATGTTAGGTAAATAAATTTCCTTATTTCTAATTATAGGAATAAATGGTTTTTTACTTACTATGAAAATATATGTTATTAATAAACTGATCATAACAGAAAACATTCCTGAGCAACAAGACTATAATGATTTTAATTATTTATTTGATACAACTGTGATTTTTTGTGGATATGGGACTCAATAGTCCTGTTGCAAAGAGAAAAGGCATCTACTTTGTTCTAACATTAATATCCACTTTTTTTTTTTTCTTATATTGTCTTATGATGCTCCTTTTAATTGGAAAGAAGGCTAGCGATGTTTTCCTCCTTATTATAATCAGAATTAATTGAGTGTGGTGTTCATTTTTTTTTTTTTTTTTTTTTTAATACATTTAAGTTCTTATAGCTCCTCAAGTGATAAAGCAACTATATATACAGTAAGTACTGCTTTCCAATGTAAGATGGATGAATAGGCTCCCCACCAGTGTCCAATACTAAATACATTATGCTATAAAATTTCCTTCATTGTTAATAAAGATAATGATTATTACTATCTAATTATCAAATATTCTAAGTATAAATTCACAAAAAAAGAAAATATTTGTGAGCAACAAGACTATAATGATGATCTTAATTATTCATTTGATGCAAGTGTGATTTTTGCGGATATGGGACTGAATAGTCTTAAAGAAAAAAATTATTTACTTTGTTTCACCACTAATTTCTGTTAATTTTTATTTTATTTGTTGTATGCTTATGATGTTCTTTTCTATTGAGATTGAATCGGTTACCAATGTTAATCTTTTATTTTTACTTCTTTATTAACTTCTTATTTTTTTCTCAAGTAATAAATCACCTGTTTAAACAGCAAAGTTATAGGCTACTTTCTTGTGAAAGGTGACTGAATAAGCTCTCTACTGGTGTCTAATGCTAAATATATTATACCCTAAATTCCCCTTTCTTACTGATAAAGACATTCATTTTTATTTATAACCTATTATATACTATTTTAAGTATAACCCTGACCGTAACAGAAAAATATCCCTGAGCAACAAGACTATAATGATGATCTTAATATTCATTTGATACAACTGTGATTTTTGCGGATATGGGACTGAATAGTCTTGATACAAAGAAAAAAATAATTTACTTTGTCTCACCACTAATTTTGATTATATTTGTTGCTTGCTTATGATGTTCTTTTCTATTGAGATTGAATCGGTTACCAAAGTTAATCTTTTATTTTTTCTCAAATGATAAATCAACTGTTTAAACAGCACATTTATAGGCTACTTGTGAAAGATGGCTGAATGAGATCTCTACTGGTGTCTAATGCTAAATTCCCCTTTCCTACTGATAAAGACATTAATTTTTATTTATAGCTATTATCTAATAACCTATTAGATAGTATTTTAAGTATAACCCTGACCATAACAGAAAAGTATTCCTGAGCAACAAGACTATAGTGATGATCTTAATATTCATTTGATGCACCTGTGATTTTTGCGGATATGGGACTGAATAGTCTTAAAGAAAAAAATTATTTACTTTGTTTCACCACTAATTTCTGTTAATTTTTATTTTATTTGTTGTATGCTTATGATGTTCTTTTCTATTGCGATTGAATCGGTTATCAATGTTAATTTTTTATTTTAATTTCTTTATTACCTTCTTATTTTTTCTCAAGTGATTAATCAACTGTTTAAACACCACATTTATAGGCTACTTTCTTGTGAAAGATTACTGAATAAGCTCTCTACTGGTGTCTAATGCTAAATATATTATACCCTAAATTCCTCTTTCCTACTGATAAAGACATTCATTTTTGTTTATAGCTATTATCTAATAACCTATTAGATAGTATTCTAAGTATAACCCTGACCGTAGCAGAAAAATATCCCTGAGCAACAAGACTATAATGATGATCTTAATATTCATTTGATGCAACTGTGATTTTTGCGGATATGGGACTGAATAGTCTCGTTGCTAAGAAGAAACGTATCTTGTTTTGTTTTCTCATATTTATTTTTTTTATTTTTTTTGTTTGTTTTGTGGTGTTCTTGTCAGTTGAGAAGTAGACTAGCCATTTTACTCTACTTATTCTATTCAAAATGAATTGGTTGCTGTTGTTAACAATTTTTTCCCATCATCTTCTGGTAGATTTTCAATTTTATTTTGTTATTAAATTAAATTCTTATAGTTTATCAAGTGGTAAAATAATCGTTTAAACAGCTACGCCTAAGCAGAAGAAGGATCTATATGCTTCCTACCACTCTCCTACATTAAATACACCGAATTCTAAGTTAATTGCTGATTAATATAATGATTTGTATTGACTACTAGTATCTTTTATTTTTAATGTAATTTTTCGTTAGAAGTATAAGCTCATCTCCATTACAGAAAAATATTCCTGAGCAACAAGACTATAATGATGATCTTAATTATACATTTGAAACCGCTGTGATTTTTGCGGATATGGGACTGAATAGTATTGTTGCAAATTACTAATGGATTTGAATCGTTTTAACAGTAAATTTTATATGATAACTAACCTGAAGTATTTTCTAAATTATTTCAAAACTATATTTAATCACTGTCGTAAACTCAGTTAAAAAAAAAAAAATATATGAAATAAATAATTGGTCTGGTTTCAATGTAAAGCATCGTGCAGGCCGACCACTTAGCTCATTTCTCTTGTTAAGTATAAACTGAGATTTATTGAAAAATATTCTTAAGAAACAAGACTATAATGATGATCTTTTATTATTTATTTGATGTAACTGTGATTTTTTGCGGATATGGGACTGAATAGTCTTGTTTTATACCTGATTTTAATCCAATGTTTAAAATGAAATTGAAAAATAAAATAAGTATATTACTGAAAAAAAGTGACAGGGACTCCAGTGATATTATTTAATAAATAAGTAATTTATTCTGTAGACAGGAGTCGTGAACGGTCTATTTTCTAGTCTAAAATATTCTTAAAACCTAGTTCTTTAGTTTTATTATTATTAATTTTTGTTTAAAATTTTTATTTAAAGCTATCCTCTCTCTATTGTCATGTAGAAGCTTGAAATATTGTGGAAGAAGGATTTCATGCAAATTTATTTTATTTTTTTTAGGAGGACATCCACAATGACTGGGTATCTTGTGTGCGATTTTCTCCTAATCATCAAAATCCCATCATTGTTTCCTGTGGTTGGGATAAAATTGTTAAGGTACTGTGAATATACTATTAAATTTTGAAATTGAAATGCGTTAAACATATAATTTATTTTAAACCTTTTGATCATTGATGTTTTCCCCTATTTTATATTCATACTATTAACAATGTTTCAGGTTTGGAACCTTGCCAACTGCAAGTTGAAAATAAATCATAATAAGCACACCGGATATCTTAACACTGTTACTGTTTCTCCAGATGGATCTCTTTGCGCATCAGGAGGAAAAGTATGTTATTTATATTATATCTTCAAGTACAGGAAATTCTACAATCAAGAGTATATAGTCTGTTTATCGCAAACAAAATCATTAAGCCTTTTTGATATATCTAAACTTTTAGTGAGTTTTCCGAGATTTCCAAGACCAAAGTGAGTCCATGAAAAATACATCAATCCTTTTATACTTCAAATAATTAGCTACATCAAGTGCATAATGTTTTGATTTCATTGAGGTAAAAATCATTCCATTGTTGAAATAAAGGTGGGAATAAAATAGCGATACTGTATCCATTTTATTGAACTTCATTCAGTACTTCCGCACATAGTACTTATTTGATTTTAGTATAACAGTTAGTTGGATTTGGCTCAAATTTGAAAGAAAAGTTGATTTTGGTAAAATAATAATGCTGTAACGATTTTATTAAATTCTATCAAGTAGTTGTGGTTGCGCACGAGCAAATGTATTTTTTAAGATATGCCGATATTTCCGAAACAGCTCATTCGACTTGGCTCAAAGCTAGGAGAAAGGTTAGAATTAGGAAAAGTAGTATTAGTATTAATAGACCTTAAGATGTAAATAAATGTGGAACTAATGAAAATAATGAGAAAACTATACTGGCCTCACTCAGTAGACTTTTTATAGGAATTACGCTCCATCAATCTCACAGCAGTTCAAATTCTAAACTATGATCAAATTTAAGTGATAAGATTCTTATATGTTATAGTATGTGTTCAAAAATCCTATCTATTAGAAATAAAACTTTAGGTTTTATAGTTTTCATCATTTTCCACCAAAATCATCAAAGTTATGTTATACATATGTGTTTCATTTCTGAAATAACTGAATCAATGAGTCATAAACTATTTCAGAAAAGTATATCTGAGCAACAATACTATAATGATGATCTCAATTATACATTTGATGCAACTGTGATTTTTGCGGATATGGGACTGAATAGTCTTGTTGCAAAATAGAATTACCTCCACTTTCAATAATTCGGTTATATTATTATATTATATACAATATATTCCTTATCAGAAATAACGGAGATATGAGTATGTGGAAACTTCTTACTTACTGCAAATTATAATAAGTTATTGCTATTAGCTAATATCGTTATAGGCAATCGTTTATTTTTGATATTTCATTTTATTGTATCAGTTAGCTTCATCGTGTCTAATATTTTTTATTGATAGTTAAATTAACTTTGTTAAAGTTGATGTGTGGTAACTTGATTGTATTATTTTCTGGCTGCCATTTTCTTTTCTTCAATTCCATTAATTAATTTTTTTTGCAGGACTGCAAAGCCATGTTGTGGGACCTCAATGATGGAAAACATCTTCATACTCTTGACCATAATGACATCATTACAGCGTTATGTTTTAGCCCTAACAGATATTGGCTGTGTGCAGCTTTTGGACCTTCAATCAAGATTTGGGTAAGTTATTTATGTTTTTATATACGTTTAAAATCATTATTTCATTATATAAATCAATATAATTGAAAAAAAATTAAATTAAACATTAAAAATGAAAATCAAGTTATCACCTATAACAGATTAATCTCTTTTTGAAAAATTGGATATTGTTTTCTTTAGTTTTTTTTTATTTTTAGTTTATGTGAATAGTAACTATGATTTTCACCAACATCATTAAGTAGTGTTTTAATTTATATTATATTTAATCATATTTGTTTATTCTTTTTTAGGATCTTGAAAGCAAAGAAATGGTTGAAGAATTAAAGCCGGAAGTTGTATCACAAGCTCCTAAAGCTGAACCACCTCAGTGTCTGTCCCTTGCTTGGTCTACTGATGGACAGACACTCTTTGCTGGTTACTCTGATAACACCATACGTGTATGGCAAGTCTCAATATCAACACGATAGCCTTTTGAGACACAAAACTTGTAATATTGTATAATAAAAAACAAAAACAGAAAACTTTATGGGTTTCCTTTTTGTTTGTGGAAATGTCCTATTCCTTTTAATATTTACTTTTTATACAAACAGACCATTAAAGTGAACTAAAAAAAAATTGAAATTATGTCTTTAATCTTCAACCTCCCCCCTTTTTATCTCTCTTTTGATAAAAGAAAAAGACAAAGACTTTTTTATTTTCAAAGGCAAGGGGTGGGTTCCTCCAATATCTAAGCAAATAAGCCTATTTTTTGTTGTTCATTAAAAAGTTGTTGGTCCGAAGCGATTTTATTTTGTCTCTTTGTAAGGAATATTTACAAATACATTAAGTGATTATTGCCATTATTTCAAATTTTAGAAGATGGGTAAGGTAAACTTAAAAATGTCATATGTTATGAAAGCAGAGATAGGTAAATGCTACAAAGAGTATCAAGAATTTTACTCAAATTGAATCACTGTTGAGAATTCAATCATTTAAGTTAATCATTAGACATTGACTGAAGTAGTAATTAAATTCTTCTCTTACTCATCTACTCAGTAAGAGGAAGGGGACTGTTTTTCAATATTTTTATGGTCAACATGAATGTTACTGAAGATGTAAAGATAAAATGAAGGATACTGTAGAAAGAATCTAAGATGTGAAACTTATCTTTAGAGACTTCAAGGCAAAAAAGAATACTACAGACCCATGATAGGGCTGAACTATGTCTACTCAAGGTGGACACATCTAAAAAGAGGCAAGAAGTTCCAAGATTGCCCGCTATCGCTTTGATCATGAAGACCCTTACACCTTCAATCATTACTTATCATTGCTGATATCAATTTAGCGCAGTTGTAAACAAAGAAACAGCATAGATATGCTTATTTGGACATTGTCATTTATAATATTGGGCATCAAGAGAAAAATGGAGATATAATAATTACTTCCTAGTGCCTGAAAATCATTTAGACCAAAGTTAGAAAAATATAAGTCAACTACATACAAAAATCTAGGAAAAGTATTGCGAAAATAATCAATTTGTTAAGAAAAATGGTAAAATTAATGGCAAATAAACACAACAGTTAAAGATTTTTTTTCTATAAGTAAATTGTGAAGTTTCCACTTTTTTTTCTCTCCAATTTAGTGACTATTTAAAGAAAAAATAGTTGAAAATGGTTAATAATACTATAGACTAGGGATATAAACAACTATTTACTTTTATGAAATTATTTACTTAATAACGAGACCTAGGTAAACTAACCTATCTAGTAGTAAGGTTAGTCTCATAGAAAATCGTTTTGACAAAACTTAGTAAAATATATGTCCACTACTTACAAAAATTAAGGAAAGGTATTGCAAAAATAATAAATTTGTTGAGGAAAATGGGAAAAGAACTGATAAATATACACAACCTTAAAGTTTTTTTTTTCCTAAAGTAAATCGTTAACGTTTCCTCATTTTTTTTTTTTAATTTGTTGGCCACTTGACTATTTAAAAGAAATAGTTGAAGATGGTTTAAAATTATAAACAAGGGATATGAAAAATTATTTAACTATTTACATATAATGATAATCAGAAATTTATAATGGTCGAGTCCTAGATAACCTAACCTATCCAGCAGTATGGTTAGTCTCCCTAGCCCATATGTTTAGTCGGTCCCCCCTCCACTTCCAGTGAATGAACCTTTGATTTCCGGATGTTCAGAAATCCGCAGCGCACCACCATCAGTACTTCATTCCCTACCTTACACGACAATTCAGAACGATATTAGTGCAATTCTGATTGACCATGTAGGGTCCCCTTTAAATAGTGCAGCAATCAAGGAGGTAGGCGAAAAACCTAGACCAGTAAGAAACAACTGGCTTGAAGATGAATACAGGACAATATTGGAAGCAAGGAATGAAGAGAGGCATAGAATGATATTCAGCATCATACTTGAAGTACAACCAAGGAGTATAGTAACAAGAGAAAGGAAGCAAAAAGGATCTGCAGATAGAAAAAAAGAATCTGAGAAAGGAAAAATTTGAAGACCATAATTCCAGGGGTTTCTTTGGAGGTGTTAGACTCCAGAAGGAAGGCTTTAACCTCGCCTCAACTTTTGTAAGAATAAAGATGGCAACTTAGTGATGGGCAGGATACTTAAGGGTGATATTAAATAACGGTCACGCCATTAATGACAGTAGACCACTAGAAACTGATCTTGACATGATCCTGAACCCTCAAAGAGGGCAACTTCACGAGGATAACATTCCGCCGGACCGGGAGGAAATTGTAAGCAGTCTAAAGATGCATAAAGCCCATGGGATTGAAGTGGATTTGCTGAAATACGGACGAAGTATGGGACCAGCTCATATATATCTGGTCAGAAGAAGAAACCCCTGAGGGTTGGAAAGTAGCGGTTATCTATCCCATATATAAGATAGGCGATACGCTCTGTTGTTCTAACTACAAAGGGATTTCTCTGTTGAAGATTGCCTACAAGATATTGTCTACTGCCATCAACCGGAGACTTACCGCTCACATGGAAAGAGAATTAGGGGAGTACCAATGTGTCTTTCAGTTTTCATAATTTTTACGAATTTATTTGATGTAAGAGTCTACTTATATGTTATCGGAGACGTAGTTTTTGGAAATTACCTCCGTTTTAAGACTATGAGACTGTGTTTTGGTTTATTTAAGTTTTTTGGACTTGTTCGGTATAAGGATCTACTTATATACGATCGTAGACGTAGTGTTTGAAATTTATCTAATTTTTAATATTTAATCTCCATTTCAAGATCACGCCGCTGTCTCTCAATTAATTATACTTAATTTTGGATTTCTCAATAAAATGTTTCATCAATATGTTTTTGAGTATGAATAAATACATAGTATGAAGCTAAGGTTAAATTAATCACAAAACACAAAATAAATAGCCAAAAAAGCAACTGGTAATAAACTTAACCTACCATTTTCAGATTTTTCAGCTAAATGTTTGAAATCCGTATCTTATAATTTTATAGGATACCGCAATATTAAAAACGAAAACTAAAATTAAATTTAAAAATGAAAAAATAGATATTTTATTTATTTCGGCTGAAAAATAAATTAATCCATAGTATTTTTTTAAAATTCGAAGGAAAAATAAAAAAACTTAAACAAACCGAAAAAGCGGCGTAATCTTAAAATGGAGGTCATTATCACAATATACGGCCCCGAAAACATAAGAATGAAACCTTATATCGAATAAATCCGACATACTTGAATAAGTTGAAACGCAGAGGCCTAATCTTAAAAATGGAAGTCATTTTAAAAATCTACGGCTCCGGAAAGATAAGAATGCACCCTTTTATCGAATAAATCCGAAAAACTTAAATAAGTCGAAACGCAGTGCCGTAATCATAAAATGGAGGTCATTTTCAAAAACTACTCATAAGATAACTTACCCATACATCGAAAAATGAAAAATAAATAAATAAAGGTTGAATTTTAAATGGAAAAGTTTGAATTTGACTTAGAAAAAGTTTAATTTGATTCGGAAAAGGTTGAATTTGACTTGAAAAAGGTTGAAATTGACAGGGAAATGATATATATATATAAAAAGGTTTCGGGCTAAAGCTCCTCAAAATTCAATCGTTCATCCACCACTGAAGACGGCTGCTCTATCATAAATAGAATGATCAGGGTGGAGTTTTGTCCCAAAACGTGCGTTTGAAACCATGAAATAACCAACTCCTCATTTTTTGAATTGTTATTTAGCTCTTTGGGTGGGAGTATTTATTGTTATGAGGCATTGACAAATATTCTGCATGTTTTGTTGATGTTATTAGTTTTGTGTTATATTTATTTTTTTGATATGGATGCCCATGAGTTTTCCTAAATCTAAAATGGATAGTAAAACTGAAGCAGAATTGAGAAGACAAAAAATTTTAGCTAATGCTGAAGCAAGATTAAGGAAAATTAGAAGAATCACTCTTGATGAAGTTGAAAAAGGTTGTAACCACCTATTTTTAAAATAAGAAATATATGTTTTCTAAATCTTTATCTTGTTGATAAATTATTAAGCAATAAAGTAAGTTTATTTACATTCCAGAAAGTGATGGACAAACCAGTAAACCTTCTATATTATCGAAAGGTATGTTTTCCTATAATTTCTTGAAGTATTATGCTTTATAAGAAATATCCTCTCCTAATAGGATTTTGATAATATTTTTACATTCCAGAAAGTAGTGAACAAACCAGTAAACCTTCTATATTATTGAAAGGTACGTTTTTCTATAATTTCTTGGAAGTATTATGCTTTATAAGAAATATCCTCACCTAATAAGTTTTTTTTTTTGTTTCTCATCTTTACATTTCAAAGATCAACCAAAACTCGAAACTATTTTTTTTTCTATTTACTTGAAATGACCCTGATATTTAATCGTCCTTGACCAGAATATTGCTTAGATAATTTTATATTGTACAGTTTGACAATTAAAGCATAAAGAAGTAGCTCATACTTTTTTGTTTTTTGGTAAAAAACTTTTTTAGTAACTGAAGAAATTTACCAGTATACATTTGAAATTGCTTTATTTAAAAACGAAATGGAATCAGTTGTAGCTAGTTTCTCCTCGTAAAACCTTACGATTAAGGAGGCTTTCATGTTGGTGTTTTCTCGGCTTTTAATAGTTGGGTTACAGTTGGAAAAAATAAATGTGTTTGAAAGGAGTATGGTATTTCTCCAGACTCAGCTTTAAGGGTTAAATATTTGAAGTAGAGAATGTTAACGCTTTACCTTAGCTACCACGAGTCTAACAGTACCTGTTTGAATCTGGCTTAGGCGGGTTGACATTTGATTTGTGAATCTTAGTCACCCACTAAATGAATCTTGACCTTCCTATTCTGGCTGGAATTGGTTAGTTCCCTTTTGCATTGCCTCCCACCACATATGTGTAGAGATGAAGGTAGGGAATAAAAGATGAAAGACAAGTCCAAACAAAGTGAAAAAGTATTGTTATATTTCTTCATCTAGCATTCAGAATTAGAAGAAACTGTGCACTGTTGCCTTTCAATGCAAGATTATCTCTCCATGAGATTTTTAAAGATATCACACCTACCTTTCCCATTCCTTAAAGCAGAATTTAGGTGCATGATTAAATTTATATGTGAAGACTGTTCCATGGCTTTTTGTTTTGATAAGTTTTTCTTGTATAAAGATTACATTCTGAGTTCTTAGAAAAGAAGTGTTAACAGAATTTGTTATCATTACAGATTGTGGTTATCATAATCAAAGATTTTAAGACCTCCAGAAAATTTTTTTTTTTGTGTGAATGAAAGCGTAATTAAAATAAAATTCATTAATATGACATACTTATTGTACTACAAAATCAATACGTTTGAACTGGTTTTGTGAATCATCTATCTGTTGCTTAGAATAATTATGAGCTACTAACTTCACCAAATTTTGTATTGATTTAATTATTTATACTGTATTCACATGTATTTAATGATTTTTTGTTTTATTATCTAATCAAGGTTAATTTTGAAATGTATATTTTCTGTTACAGATTTAAAAGATAATAATAATAAAGAGAATCCTAAAGTACCTGAAATATTAGATGGTATCATTTTAAGTTTTTATTGATTACATTACTAGGTTTAATTTTATAAAATGATCTAATAACGAAAGTTGATAGCCTGTAGAGTTCATTTTTGTTGTCAATTTTTAGATAATCGAATTAATAAATCCATAAGTGAGGCCAAGACCTTGACGAATGGAGGTTTGGGCAATGGCTTACTTAATAAATTTGATAATGAGCAAGATGTCACTCTCCTTAATGACAAATACAATTATGGAATCAACTCAGGAGTGAACTTACAATCATTACAAAATGTCAGTAGGACGCATAACTTATCACAAAGCAAAAGACAAGTTTGTTTGGACTCAATTATTTTCATGATATTAGGAATTTTAGTAAGATTGCTTTACTCCATTGGTCTCTCTTCAATATTTAACAACGTAAGTTTTGATTTAAGTTAATAATCAATGGCATGTTTTGTGATATTTTTTTATTGAAATATAACTCATCATATTGTGAAATTTTATTATAAGTTATTTTAACCATGTTACTACACACCAATTTTTTTCTAAAAGATGTAATTTTTTTTTACTTTATCTATTTTCTTCTAATTATCACATTGAAAAAAAGTCTGGTTTAATATTAATTTTATTTTTAATTCTTTTTGTGCTGGTCTGTTGTATATACATACAGACTAGCCATCTTTAGTCTTTTTCCTTTCTCTTCTCTGACTCCATTATCTTTAAAAGTTTAATTGTACTTTTGAAGGAGCTGCTCCTCTACTCAAAGTAAAATTTTGATTTGAAAATGATTATTTTGTTTATTCTGGATCATAAATTAAACCACCAGTTTCCTGAAACAAGGCATTTATTGATTTATAATTCTTACTTTCTATATTCTTTGAGTCTCCCTTAAGTTTTTATCTTCAATCCTAAAAGTTAAAAAAAAAATGACTTGGCTTTTATTATGCTTAATTAACTCAAGAAGAAAAATAAATAAACTTTCTTAATAAATGAAGTACAAAAATTAAACCAAATGGAATTTCTCCTCATTTAATTGCTTTAAATTATCAAATTACATCTTATTTATTCTTTATATAGGTAGTTATGTTTGCATAATTGAATTTTTTTAATAACTTAACGGTACTTGTTAAATAGCCGGTTGGGTCCGACTGCTATCTGCCTATGTTTATAATCTTAACACTGATGATTCTGATAAGCCACTGATAATATCTTCGTATTCATATTTATTGTATTATATTCATATTATTCAAATTGTGAACAAAAACAAAAATCAATGAAATTATAAACAAATACTTTTATTTTACAAGATATATAGTAAATAGACCAAAATATTATACATATATAATGAAAAAACATTACAACATAGGTATCTTAAAAATATGTTCCACGTTACGATAGTTCGCTGGGATAGTTTCAGCTGCTCTTTCCCCCACTGTATTGTTGTTAAATTATGGGATCATCCATAAATGAATTTTAAAGCCGTTACAGAGAAATCCTCGACCCTTCTAACCACGTTCCTTTTCTTATAGAAGCGATCTTCCTGTCAAACTTCATTTCATGACCTTCATCACAATATTTCACCTTTGCAAATATCCCGGCGTCTTAAAAATATTTGATAGCCTCTTCTTCTGAAGACGGCAATTCCCACATCCATAATTTTACAAAAATAAGACTAACTCACAGCTTATACAAGGATCAAAAAATAAACAATAGAATAACTTAGGTTAAAGGAGATAAGAAGGGAGGCTATGTGAAATAAGATTAGACAACAAGGGAGATTTTGACCCTACCAACTATTTAACAAGTATGAACTTAACAAATGTTTATCGTTTTTCACTATTGTCTTCAGTTTTTATTTATTTTTTGTTAACGTTTATATTATATGTTACCCCGGGCATCATCTCAAACATCATTGGCCGTCACTGTTTAAGAATTATGTAGAAGATTGTGGTATCTGTAGCTGAAAATGATTTTGAAAGTTAACATTAACTGAATAACTTGGCAAATTCAAGAATATCTGTTATGAACTTCATATTTTTTATTTAATATTAATTTAAATTGGCTTCACACTTTTATTTTAAACCAGTTATTCTTTTCTTTTCTTTTTTGCAATGATTAGTTAATCTATTTCTTTTTAGATTTTAGAATATCTATACTTTTTTTTTTTTTCTTAGAATTGGTTGGTGAAAATTTTAAATTAAATGAATGTATAACATAATGTTTTATTTTGACAGAATATCCTGGGACCGTTTCTGGTGGTTTGCTTGCCAAGAGTGATTTTGTACATAAAGCAAAAACCTGAACTTTCATTGATGTACTCTGTGATTCTTCTCATGGGTGTCAAAGAGAGCACAATTAAAGTACCATTTAGGATACTCTCTTGCCTACGAACAATAGTTCAATCTCTTGCTTTGTATCTATTTTCATTTTTTGTAACACATTGCGTGTTAAAAGAGTTACCATTATGATAAAACTTTAGGAACTAATGTAAATATTGCAATGTATCGAATAAATTAATATAATTTCCAAGACTGCTAATTATATGGTTTGTTTTGACTGCACAAAATTAATTATGACATATCTAGTTTTAAATATATATCATTAAATTGTAATGAACACGTGTAAGTGCAATTGTTACTCGTAAATCAAGTTATTAGATGTTGAATTTTTTTCTTTTAAATATCTCTTAATCACATTATAATTGCCTTGAGATATTTAAAAATTACTTAAATTGATTCGCGTGTTTATATTATTTTCCAATGGCGGATATAATAGATTGTGATGTCACGGTTACTTTTGCATTTGTGATTTATTGCACTGAGGAAGCCCAGTCTCGATGACAGGATGTAGTGCCATATATGTATGTATGATTTATTGCACTAAAGGTATGAGCTGTATACTGCTTCATGGCAGAATATTCAAGCACATATTGCTAATCTGATTGGTACTACTCTGTCTATAATTTTCATTTGGTTGATAATTTTCATACAATTATAGGTTAGAGAAGTTATATTTAAATTCTACGACTTGTGCGTTTAATCAATCAAGTTTAGATTGATTATAAAAGAGATTGTGATTTTTTATCTATTTTCCAAAAATAATTTCAGTTCACACTTAATTTATATATCTGTAAGACGTTTGATTTATCTAAATAAAGCTTTTAGTTATTTCTAAAATCCAAAATATATAAATGTGTAAAACAATAGTTTTATTGTTTACTTTGCAGTTATAATAGATCCATGCTAGCCACAAAAAACAATATTATTAAGTGATTTGTTATAGTTAGGAAGATACATGAAGGGATTTAGAATGCAACAGCATGCATCGCTATAAGTCACAACCAATTTTATTAAAGCAGATCCCTTAACCAGCTTCATTCCATTCTTTTGCACGTATTTTACTCAGATGTAATCTCATGGAAATTGTATGATGCTCTTGGCAACAATAGACAAAAAATTCTTTGTAATATTTTTCTGAGGTACGAGATCAATTTTTCAATGAAAAATCTGTTTTCTTTAAATTTAAAGCTTTTAAGCAGTTTTATCTTTAGGTCAGTTGACTGGGACAAATTTTTTTATTATGTTTTTTTCTTATTCATTGTTTTTCAACATTATTCCAATCTATTAAGATGTATGAATTAGGAGAGATGGGTAGTTTGTTTTGAATTTTTAAAATTATGTATTATTGAGGATCTGTCAATAGTTATGGCTTATCCACTATTTATTATCTTTGATAGGATCTATAATTCATTGTTAATACACTTTCTTTTATTTGTCAAATTTAATAAAATGTATAATAACAGTTAGAATGTAAATCAGCCTTAACATAAAATAACTTTTTTACAGAAATTATATACCTCAAGGTTGATTCAAATTTTTGTGACATAGTGTAAGATTATTACAGTTTTGAAATTCTTGAAACGAGGCTTAATATAATTATTTTATTTTTTATTATTATTTTTGTTAATAATCTGCAGTCCATTTATACCGTCCAAAATCGCATTTTCATCTCTACGAGGGGTGTATTAAAAGTTGAAATCAGTAAGAAACTGAATAGAACTATTTATAAGTCATTATATAATTTTATTTTGTTCAATTAATTAATAAACTAACTTTTATTTTCACAATGGCCAACAGTAAATATTTTAATTTTTTAAAAATTGTGAACTTATCTTCCATTTTCATTTATAATTTCCTAAAATTGAATTATCTTGTTAATTGCTGTATCTTGTATTTTAAATATGTCCTTATTAACGACATTTTTGTAGTTTAAATAGCATTATTATTTTTTATTATGTAGTTTTATGTGTATCAATCATTAATTAAGTAATCTCTATCGATTTTTTATCTCTCTTATCATAACATAAAATTTCTATTCATATTGTTATATATTTTTTATTTAGTAATTATTTCTTGAAAATAATTGGATTCTACATTAGAATATGAGAAGTTTAAATGAGGAGAGGATCGCCAATGACCCTAGCGGGCAGAGGCAAAGAAATAAATTATAAGTTAAATAAAATTATTAAAAAAACGTTGCTATGTCAATCATTATCACTTTGTTTTGCTATATGTTATGGTAATCAATATTCCCTTATATATCTGGCTCACTTAGATAATAAAGAACTTATTCTGTATTCAAAAGTATATTTTGTTTAATTTTTAAAATGTAGTATTTACAATTATTTTTTTCAATTGTGTAAATCATAAATTTAATTGCATTTTTCAAATTTTTTACTTATTTTTGGGGAAATAACATCTTATGACTGTTTACAAAATAGTTTAATTGTTATTTTACAGTTTTATTTGGCCTGTTCTTTTCTAATACTAGATTAGAATTATAATCATACTTTTTTTACTTGTACAGTACTTACTAAAAATATATATTATGTTTATTTATATAAATTATTAAGGAATTTCAGTGTGTTTATCACTTTTTTCATATTGTTTGTTTTTCGCATGTGTCTGGAATTGTTCTGTTCACTTTCTTTTGTATAATTACATATTTATGGACTATTGGCTCCCACTAGAGATTTAAGTATACAGCTTTTATATGCTCGATGACAAAGAAATTAATATTTAGCAGTAATACAAATAATTTTAAACATATTAAGTAAACTTTGACTATTAAGTAATCCTAACAGAATAACTTTACTTGATAGAATAAAAATAAAAACTTTACATGTGTTGCATTTTCTGAGGAATGTTTAAATATGTTTTATGACCATTAAAATTTTTAAGTTGATTTTTTTGTTTCATAGCATGCAGAATGAAAGTGGATCAAATTAAAGCCATCATTGTCAGTATTTTTCTTAGATGAACTCATCATCTTACCAAACAATTCTCATTGTTATTTTAGCAAACATTTTAAACTGGGAAAGTCTTTTATATAAATATAATTTTGGGTCTAATTATAGTTCCGTCTAAAACACACTGTTTGTTTCCCTTTCATTCTTGAGGTGCTGTAAGATTTTGTTTAACTATCTAATTTATTTATTGTTATTTTTAAATTGAATTGCTATTATTTATTATTAGTTCCATCATTTTATTTTAATAGTTACCAATTCTTAATGTTCTCATAACTAAAAACATCCATATTTGTATAGTTTATATATTTATAATAATTTATTTATTTGTGTGTATGCTAAAAATATATATTTATTTAATAATTTCTCCCTAAAATTGATTGCATCCTGCCAATAAAATTAGTTTTGTAATGGAGTATATTTTATATATTTGTGTATTTGTTGAGAAGTAAAATTTTTATTTCAAAATAATTATGTTTATTGTAGTCTTGTGATAATCCTGTCAATTAGTATCCAATTAAAATAAAATAAGTAAAACTACATGGATACAAAAAATGGGCTATGGTTTATACTGTTAAATAAATAAAATACATTTAACTGGTATATTAAACTCAGTCTTCCTGATTATCACTAAGAAAAATAATATATTTTTAATTTTGGCATTTGTCTTTTAATTTCTATTCACACTTAAGTGTATGACTTAAGGCCAGTTTAATATAAATCAAAATTAACTTTTATGACCGGTTTGAAGTTGAATTGGTTTGATTGATTTGTATTGGTATAATTTTTAGATTGCTGAAGAAGGGGGGGGGGCACAAATTCCTTTAAACGCTCAATAAAGTACTATGAAAAGTTAATTTTGATTTTTATTAAACTGACCTTAAGGCAAACACTTAAGTGTGAATAGAAAAATATATATATCAGGAATATTTTCGGTAAATACAGTATGGTGAGTTACTTTTTTTTTTCTTGTTCTCAAATCCAGTGGTTCTCTATTATTTTTGGTTGTAGTACTCTGATCAGGCTAACATTTTTGTGGCACCCTTTTTATATTAAAAAAAAATTGTAGCATAGTTGAGTTATTAAAGTTGCGATATAATCGAATTTTAATTTTGGGTGCAATATATATAAACCAAATCAAATTTCTCCCAAATATTATCATAATTCTGTAATACAGAAACATATATTTCTGACATACTTGAAACATCTGTCTCAGAAGGAACTGTTTTTAAGACCCTTCCTCAAGATTCTCTATTATTCATTGCTATATCTCAACTTCCTATTCAATTCCAAAATCATAAAAAATATCTGAGTTACCTTTAATGACTACCTAAACTAGAATAACCATAATTCCCAGAACACATGAAAATCCTTTTTTTTCTCTTCCAACTCTTTGGCTTTAAGGGATATTTTCAGGAGAGGATTAATGCATCAATCCATGTTTTGCACACAAGTTAGCTTGCTCAACCACCCAGCTCTGAAAATCCATCTCAATCCTTGAAAAGCTCCTAAGATCCTGTGATTCATTTCCCTAAAGTACTCTACATATTCCTAGAATATGAGGCCTACATGATCAATAAAAAGATTAATGAATTTTTTCACAAGATGTATTTTAGGTGTTCCTAATCACTCACACATACTCGGAGCTATTTTTGAAAACACAACCTCCTTGGTGCCTTTATATTCCAATCCTTGAAAACTCATAAATCATCCTATATGCTCGACTTCATCACCCTGTATGCTTTTATCCACTCCTTAAATATTATCTTCTGATTTTTATTCAATACACCCTTTCTCTGAGCAGAATCCTTTATAATTCATGGCACCTCCCTACCTTACTCTATTTGTAAAGTCCTCTTGCTCACCTCTTTCAAACATCATCTATTTTTCCATCTTTCGAACTATCATCTTCCACATACATGTAAAATATATTCACTTAATTTATTTTTATTTTATGCTTTAATTTGTCTTCAGTTTTTAATTTAACTTATTTTTATCAATGTTATACGTTGCAAAATAAATAATGGAATTACGTATTATTGCTGCAGCACCACTTTGAGTGAGAACCTGTGTTCTTTCTTTTTACTATTGATTTCTGAATCACAAAATAGAGGGAGCTGGTTGTTTCTAAATTTCAGGAGTGTCTTTACGTAGAACCAGCTGTATGTTTTTCCAGTGATCTCTAGTGGCTTTCATTCTAATTGCATTAATGAATTTTTTCACAAGATGTATTTTAGCTCTCCTTCTCGCGCAGTCATTTAAATTTGACTCCGCCCCTTGTCCAACCTAACAAAAACAGACAGCCGGTTCTACGTAAAGACACTCCTCTTAATTTCTTCCTAGGTTTGTAAATTGGTTGACACATGAGATTATGATTCATTGACTCTTGAGAAATAATCTTCGTTTTAATGGGTTCACTTGTTTCATTTAATTTTTAAATAGTCAAATAAGTGAGCATAGTTCTAACAAAATCAAATATTTTGATTTTGTGGACTATAAGGGTCATTACTTAATTGCAAAAAAAAAAGTACATATTTTGATTCAATTAAAAAAAAAATAAATGTCCTTTCTGAATGCAGCCAAATGTATCTCGTTTTTTAATCTTTGTAAAAAAGCACAATTTTTATAATTAGAATATGAACAAAAAAATAATTTTTTTTTATTATATTATACAACTTCATATTTTGCTAACAGCTCAACCTTTTTTCAGAATCATTTGTTTGTGAAACAATCTGAAACTGATTAATGATTAATTTATTTTAATAAATATTTGTATTTATAATTATGCAAAAATATAATAATATGAAAACTATGGCTACATTCTCAGAACAAAGTATAAGCCATTATTCATAAATTTCCATTCTTGTAAGTTAAGTTAAAACATTAAGCATACTGAATAAGAATCAGTGGCAAAACTATTAGTCTCAAAAATATAGAGATATTTTTCAAGTAAAGATTTAGGGTAGAAAGAAAAACTTTATACCTTTAAAGTATAAATATATTGTTTATATGTTAAATTTACAAAAAACTTTCAATATGAAAAATATTTGAACAACAAGGTAACAACATAATTTACCAATATGATAAAACAAAAACAAACCAAAAAAAAGTTAATCAATAAAAATTAACAGATATAAATACAAACAAGTGGCCACTAAACTAATAGAAAATAACAAATATCCTATTCCTTTATTTGAAAACTCATTTTTTAATTTCATATTGCTTATTATATGACTTTTCTGTCTGTCAAGTTCCATATCTGGCTCTTTTGAGGAACTGGTTATGGCAGATCCATCATGAGAATTCAATCTTGAAGATGAAGGATTTCCGAAATCCTACAAAAATAAATAAGAGACATAAGTAAATAACTTAATGAACTAAAATGCAATGAATAAAATTTGATGTAACATATTGAATACATAAATGTTTGCATTAGATAAAAATTGCAAAGTTTGCTATTGTTAGTTGTAAATACAGATATTTAAAAAGAGATGATACTACCTCTCAAGAATAAAATTTGTAAAGAACACTCAAAGAGCAAAATGGTAAAAGAAACTAACTGTAGCTCAACCACGATCAATTAGCACCACTTGTACGAATTTTCCCTCAGTGAAATCAGAAAATTATGCAGTTAGTGTAACTATATTTGATATATAAAATAGTTTGTATCGTTTGATGCACTTACTGTGTTTTACAACTGTAAATATGGTCGAAATCCTCATCCTTTCTATTCATGAAAATGTACATATCTTTAGATCTAATTTCTTTCCGGAGATTGATTTTGTACCATTTCGTGTAGCACATAGAGCTCTAAATCGCTATTAATTTTTGTATGAATTGGTCTAACTGTTTTGAAGCTATCACAAGTTTTGTGGTTGTTGACGAAATTTCAAAGGGTTCAGCCTAGGCAAAAATTTCATGCAGAAAATTTTAACTTTTCCATTGCTATCAAAATTTGTATCAAGGGTTTTCAAGATGCAAAAAACGAATATCAACTTTTTTTATCCTAAAAAATTACTTACTTCAGATACCAGACTGCTTTTCAATAAATATTATATTTGGCAGATAGCTACAGTATGGGCCAACTGATGTAGCAATGTTGGAGTGAATATTTTTTTAGGGAGAAATAAAGTTGATACTCGTTTTTTACAACCCGAAAAACCCATAAATACGAATTTTTAGGGCAACTGGAAAATTAAAGATTTCTGCATACAATTTTTGGCTTGGCTGGGACCCTTCAAAATTTTGTCAACGAGCAGAAAACTTGTGATAACTTTAGAACAGCTTCAACGATCCACATGAAAATTAATAAGGATTTAGGCCTCTGTATGTTACATGAAATGGTATAAACCCGAAATTTATAAACAAAGTAAAACTAAAGATATAAAATAAAAACGGGTTAGAAGTTTTTCTTAATTTATAGCTTGAAAATATAAAATTTATCGGTTTCAGTTGAAAGAGCATTAATTCAGCTTTCCAACGCTTACATTAAAGTTGAATTCTAAGAAGATTCTGAGGAGTTATGAATGCTTTAGTTGAGGGCTGGAAAAAAAATTCATCCAAGAAAATCAAGTACTAAAGGTTGTATTTTTTTTTTAATATAAAACTGCGTATTTAAGAGTTTTAAAAGGCCCTAAAAAAGGAATCTAATTTGCTTTTTCTATCTAAAATCTAAATTGCTACAAAAATTTACTAAGCCTACTTTACTAGAAGCACCTTTTGGTTTTTATAATTTATGATGCATTATAACTCATTTAATACAGTACTTAATATTTTTTTCTTATTCTTCAAAAAAAAAAAAAAGAAATATGATTGATATATAGTAACTTGAAAATCCGAGCAAAGCAAAGACAAAAATAAATAACACAAATTTTGATTAGAATTATATAAAAAATTGTTTACTCGGCGCCTAGGGCCCAGTGGATAGAAGGCCGGGATATGTGTCTAATATTTTTCTGTGTAGTATCACAAAAAAAAATTTGGTTGAAATCTGTCTCACAGGCTATCCTCTCCTTGTTAGTACTTTTTGCAATAAACCGATGACAAGTATATTGTAAAGATTTTAATTCTGAAGAAATTATAATTTTTTTCAATTTATAATATTTATATAGGTTAAAATTATACATCTTTTAGTTTCTTTAGGTTAGCAAACACAAACAATAATTAAAAACTGCGTCTACTGATAATTAATAAAAAAGAAAAATTGTTAGCAAAAACATAAAATATTTTTTTAATGATGAAACAACATAGAAAAAGAAAAAAGATTATTGTGATTGATTTAGATTTCTTAGATCATGAAAGCTAAAGTTAAGTGGGTCTGTGGAGATTTTCGGAAAGGAAGGTTATCAATAGCATATTTGGAGAAATGGAATTTGGATTGTCATTGGAAGACATAGAGTAACCTCGAATAGTGGAGAGGGGAGATATTATATATATAGACTATATACAATTATAATATATAGTTAACAAATGACATATATGATATATATATATATATAAATTATTTAATTCATACATTTAATTGTACTTTAAAACTGATTTTGTTTAGAAGGTGGTTATAGTTTTAAGAGATTTAATGTATATGTATATATACATATAGCTTAAAAGTATAGAAAAAGTTGTAAATGAGTAAATAGGACTAAAAAAAAACTCTGGGAGAGAACAGGAAGGTGTACAGATGATGGGATGGTCCCCTTTTTGATTTCTTAAGATGTCCAAAGAGATCTAAAGTTCACAAAAAATAAACATTGATTTATATGGTGAAGAAATACAAATACTAATTAAATAAAACATTTAAAAAGAGACAGAGAAACTATTAATTAAAAATATTAAATCAAATTTTTTGCATGCATGAAAAGAATGAAATAAAAAATGTATTCTTAAGAGGCATAACCCAAAATTAAAAAGTTTCTAGTAGAAAGTTAGATAAGTTCTAATCAATAATGACAAATGAAAATTCAAAAATTAGTTTCATTTTTAGTATATGAGACAAAAACATAAAAGCATATCAGTATTTAACAAAAAGTGATTAGAAACAATACCACACTTCACTAAGAGAACCTAAAAGTCAGAGAGGTGGTTTATAGGCTCCGCACCACATCTCTATTCCCCATCGCCAGCATTTGTTTATTCCACTCAGCCATTTTTTCTCTATATTCTTCCAGGTCTTTCTTGTACATTTCTTCAAATTTCTTTTTTTCTGATGATGGTAAATCTTCCCATTGTTTTCTTACTTTTTGTTGGAATTCCTGTAAATAATTTTTCATTGAAGAAAAAATTATTAATCAAGATTAAAAGATATTGTAAAAAATAAATGTTAAGTTAGAGTTCTAAATTAAAGAAACTTGTTTATAACAATCTTAAAAGTATTCTGCAAAAACATGTATCTTTTTTTTTAAGCCTATGTTTCGGAAACTAAATATATGGAATATATCCGAGATATGAAAATACTGAATAAAGAAATTGAACGATTTATTACAATACACCTTTCAATTTATTTAGAGTTTAAAAACTTTTGTTGACTTATAAAAGGGAGAAATTACTACAAACAAAGGAGAAAAACCTAGTAGTTGAGCATGATCTCGGTCAAATCACTTCCTTACACAATCGTCAACCAAGAAACAGTATTTCCTCATAAAGTACTGAATCCAAGACCCTTCATCGGTTGTAGTGACACAGTTTTTTTTTATAATATACAGTATTATTCTTTGGTATTATGTTTGAAAATGTGCTAATAAATTAATACTAACCACAAATGATTCACCATGTCGCTCCTTTAATTTGGTTTGCATGAAGTACATATATGAAGATCCAGGTTTCTTAGGGCAGCCTAGTTCTGCTCTTTTCTAAATAGCATACATAAAAATTATTATTGATAAATACATGAATATTAATACATAATTTTATAGTAAAAATATAATTAAGAAGTTTAATTAATAAGAGCTAATATATCAAATTTTCAATAACTGAATTTCCAACATTTGTAATTTTTAAAAATTTGAAAAAATTTTTTGTCTCCCATTTTCTAATATCTGTATAAATATCAACTAATAAAATTTATAATAAAATCTTATAAATAAACTATTTCAACCATAAGCAATTTTTTTTATTACAATAATAGATAATGTTTTTAAGATAAAACATTTTCAACTTATAAGTAATATACACTGAAAATGATAAGACTAAAGAATTTTGTTCGTCTATGAAAATAAGTGTTTGATTTGTTAAAAAAAAAATTGTTTTTTCTCCTCTCACAATAAAGATTAATTTTGTTTTAACATATGTGGTAAATATTATGGTTTATAGCACAGAAATATTTGTCATATATGTGTCCGTACCATGAATAGGTATAGTATACATATTCAATTATACAGAATTAAATAACTTTAACAGTAATTAATTAGTATATTAGCAATAATTTTATAAGTTGCGTGTCTTCTTCAAGTACTATGTAAATCATAAATTTAATTAATTAATGTCCATTTTAATTGAATAAAAACACAAAACCTTTTTCAAAGTTCTTTTAGCTTGCAGGATCTTTGCCTCTTCTTTCTCAATTTTAATCCGTTCCTTTTCTCCTGGGCTCAGGCTTTCATCATAATTCTTAGAATCTTGCAGGTATTTGACCCAATCTTTTTTAAACCTTTCTTGTAATTCCTTTTTTTTACTCTCATCTAAAATTTTCCATTCTTCTGATATCATTTTTATTAATGCTAAAAAAGTAACAGAAATAAGTATAGATCATACAAGTAAGTTAATTTTAAAGGCTCTTCCTAAAAGCTAGAGATTTAAGCTTCCAATGCTCAACGTCCCAGGTTTGAATTCCATCTTATAGCAGATAAATTATTGATTCTATTTCATTGGCCTTGAATGGACTCTAGGGTCAGGAGACCCTCCTGAGGCACACCCGGCCTACATATAGTGGGTACCCTTAATTAAATAATTGATTAAGGGGGAAAACCCGGCAGTTGAAGGTGATATCGGTCAAATCACCTCCTTTGAACACAACCATTGACCAAGAAACAGTATCTTCCCTACATAGTACTGAATCCAAGACCCTTCATGGGTTGTAGTAATACAGGTTATTATTCTCCTTCCTCCTCCCCTCCCCCAGTAAAATCTTTATTAAATCACAACTTTTTTCAGTCATATTCCAAAAGTGTGGTTGAAATATATTAGTATAAATAATTTTATTTTAGAGAGATGGCATTTTACTTATAAAAAAAAAGATATCAAATGAGTTTTAGTTGACACAATATATAAGACAAACAACAAAGTAATTAAATGAAGCTTTAGAGATTAATATACAAGAAGATAACTTAATAATTCAAACTAAATGACCTAAAACACAAGATCTCATGATCAGGCTATAAACGGAATCAAAAATGGCCGAATGCATCCCAAAGTAGAAAGAAGTGAATGGAATGTCATGTACAGCTCTGACCTCAAATGAAAAGAACCCACTGGTGGTTTGTAAATCGTTTTTGAGTGAGCACAGATAGTCAAAAGGAGTAATGTAATTAAAGATTATCAAGACCCTAATTTTATTAGTAGTACATTTTTTTTAATTGCTTATTGAAATTACCAGATGGTTTTTTGTCTGGATTTTGTTGAATTAATGCTGGTCTCCTTTCACTTGCAAAAATCATAAATGATGTGGGAGGTCTTTTTGGTCTCCTTGGTATACCAAGTTTCTCCTCTATGGTTTTTTTTGGAGTTGCATTAAGTACAGAAGTGTTAAATCTGATGCAAAAAAAAAAAAAAAGTATAAAATTAAGAGAAATTAAAAGTAAACAACGCCATAAAAACAATTATTATGTAAATACTAATAAAAGACCTTCTTGTCCATAATTGAAAACCGTATACGTTGCAATTGTTTAATTTGCAAAAGAATTCGCGAATCACAGGCATTATTTGTCCCAGGTACTGAATAAAAAATACGTTTTGAAAGTTAAAGAGAATATAATCACACTTAAGCCACTTGTAACCTTTTTGCAACCTATTCCTATTCCCTGTTCAAAGGCTGCTAATGCAAACATTCCAAAGAAGTTTAAACCATACATTACACTATAATTTATAAACTTAAAAGAATGTACATTACAGCAACTTTCTAAAGCTTTTCACAAAATAATGTAGTGACTGTTGAGGCATGGATTAATAATTAATCTATATTCCTGGAGGAATGTGAACTTTATAATAAACCTAATAAGAATAAGTTGTATAAACATTTAAAACAAAAATTCAGGAACTCTTTTAAGCATGGATCATTTCCCAGTATTGGTTTTAAATTGTTTTTTTTTCTTAACCCCAATATTATAATACTTTGAACAATTTATTTTAAAATTTATTTTTTGTGTTGAACGCCTTTTGCTGTAACTGTTTTACATTTTAAGGCCTTATTGAAATTTTGTTTATGTTTTGTTGTAACAATAATTATTAAATATATCAGTAAATGTGATGGGGCTCACCCAGTTTTTATTGGATATTTTAATTATCCAAGTATAATATTAATAGTTGTATTGGATTCCAGGAGAATTTAATAATCAGATGTTGTATTACTATTAGTTTGGTGGTTGTTATGGAATTACCTGTAGTTTAGATTGTTTGGATTGGACTTTTTTTATTTAACCAAAGAAAATGCCTTTGGTAATTTTGTTTTTTTTCAATTCTTCATTTAAATAAATATTAAATTTGTTTTAGTAACTGATTTCTGTTTTGTTTTTAGACACGAATTTCAACTACTGATAAGTATTCATTTCATTGTGAATGGTTTGATACTAAAGCATCACTTTTACGAACATTTTTTTTATTTTACTTCCCTTCAGATGGAACAATAGAATTGGTAAGTATTAAAGATTTTATTCAATAAATAATGGTTATATTTCTCATTTTAGGTAATTATAAACTATTGCATTTGATAAATTAATATATTAATAAATTAATTACCAAAAGTATTAATTCTTTGAAAATAAGTTAGTGCACAGCTACTTATTATTTAATTAATTATTAAATGAATTTATAACTTATAACATATTTTTTATTAGTTATTCCTGTATAAATGTTACAGTTGGAACTTATTAATTATTAATAACACATTAATAAATTTTAATACTGAAAATAGTTTAAGATTTAAAAAATATAAAAAATAATGTCTAAAAAGTGCAAAGCAAATTAGATATACAATTTATATTTATATATTTGTTTTTTTAGATCCTCAAATTAAAACGAATAAATAAAATAATATATATATATATATATTATTTTTATATATAAGTATTATAAAAATATTTTGGCAAGTAACCAATAATTATAAACCTATTTGCTTATTCCATTCATAATAATATCCTTAACACAACCACAATAATTAATTATTCATGGAATAATTAATTACTCCCCTTACCAACAAATTATTAATTTAGGACACAATGGTACTTTTTTCTATATATTAGTTTTACATGTTACAGCAGGATTCTATATTTACATTTTAGCAATCTTTAGATCTGAAATGAACTTTTTTGAAGGTATGAATGAAGTGAGATGAACTTTCTTTACTAAATTAATCTTTAAAGTCCCTTAAAGTTAGGAATTTTTATTTTATATTGAACAAGGTTTACAATATTATGAATTACTGTTGCTTCCTTGTTCTTCTCAGTTCTAATATTTTTTTGATCATTTTTTATTTGTTAAAGAAAACAAGAATTATGACAGCCCTCCCCTCATTATACACACAGTAACCCTTAAATATCATATATGATCTCCTAAACTCATTATACATTATGCTAACTTTTTTTTCTTATAGTATGACAAGCAAAGAAAAAAGAAATTTTTAAACCGTATATTTGTGGAAGATATAAGTCTTGATGATATATATGTTGGGAACACTGTCAAAGTATTTAACAGGCAAATCAAAATCACTGGTTATGCTAATGAATACACCAAAAAACATATGGGCGAATCTATGCAAAAGTAAGCATGTAGATATGTATTTATTAATTAAGTAATTATTAATTTATTTAATCTATTTATGTTTTATTCTTTTGTAGGACATTTGTACTATTGAAGCCAGATGGAATAGAGAACAAAAGTCGCATTATACGACTTATAATCAGCAAAGGATTCAAGATTAGTAATTTGCGGATGATGAGACTTTCTACCGAAATCATTGAAATGATTTTCCCAGAAAAGAAAGGAAGCCAAGAATTTCTGTATGATTTCCAGTATCATATTATTTGTTCATTCTATTTAAGCAATTTTTACATAATCGAGAACAAAATAATTTAGTGACAGTAAAACTAATAATATAGGCAATCTTTCTTTATCTGTTAATAGTTAAATATATCTTTTCACAGGAATTTATTGAACTTTCTGAAATCTGGTCCTGTAATTGCTATGGAACTGATTTGTGAAAATGCTGTTCAGAAGTTTCAGGAATTAGCAGGACCTGAGGATCCAAAAGAGGCCAAAAATTCAGCTCCCGAAAGTCTTCGGAGTATATATGGTGTTGATTTGGTTTATAATGTTTTTCATATTGCTGGCACAACATCAGAAAGTGAAAGAGTAAGCAAGACAATAAAAAAGTTTTATCGGATATTTTTTTTTAAATAGTGAGTGGCTTTCTTATTTATTTATATATCAAGATATCAAGATTAAAATGAAGAAAAACCAAATTAAGTTAAACTCTATTTAACTATATTAGTTATTTTACCTTGGGTTTTGTTCATTCTCTTGAAGCCATACCTACCTTATTTAAATATACTTAAAAATACTGTATCGATTCTTTTTAAATTTATATTATTATTTATAGTTATTATAATATTTTTAATTGGTATACATATTATTTATTTTAGCTCAACAATATATTTTTTGGTCCTAATCCTCCGCCATCATCTTCTGAAACCAGCACTGTTGTTCTCAAAGATTCGACCTGTTGTGTAATAAAACCTCATGCTGTTCGAAATGGTAAGCTCAGTTATGATTTATTATTTAAGATGAAGTTTTTTAAAATAATTTGATAATAGGAATACTAAGAAAAAGTAGTTCTGATGCTTATTAAATAATGTTCTTATTATATCAATCTAAATTTATTAATGGCTTATCTCTAAAACTTTGTAAGTACATATGGATTGATTCATAGTTTTAGATTTGAAAATAGTTTTAGAATTAGATTTACAAAGTTTTAGAAGTAAGCTATGTTTGTAAACCTTACAACAAAACCTATTCCATCTTCTTAACTTAAGATAATCGTTTTCTATAGAATATTGAAATATTTGCCCCTTCCTCATTTTATTATAAGTAATAATAATTAAATAAGCTCAAACTTGTACTTGATGGTATAATTAGAGGTTGCATTTGTTGAGGATATGGTTAATTATGAGACCTGAAACAAATATAATTGTTAACACTTGTGTTTTTTTGTTGGTTTTAAAGTGATATGATGTTGATGATATTTCCTGTTGATTTTTATTTCACATCTTCCAGTATATCAGTGAGACTGATCAAATTCCAACGTTAAAAATTTCACACACCGGCTTATCTTTCAAGACTTAATTTCAGTACAGTAATTCAAAAAAAGAAATCTCTCACCCAGCTATATTTTAATCGCCTCCTTACATTTACTGGCCATAACCATATCTTTAATCAGTCTATTAGTTTGACCGTAAATATTATCATGGAAGCGGTAAAAAAACTTTCGAATATATTAATTAATCAATAATTGATTGCTTTAATTAGGTATGCAAACTTATCTATTTTGGTATTTTCGTAACTAGAAGCATTTTGAAGTATTCAATTTTTTTATTAAAAAGATTTTGCTTCTTTTGATTGCGCCTTTTTGTTGAGCCAGAAATTTGTGTGTGTGTAATAAATAAAATAATGAATTAACAATTAAAAATTAATTATCTTATATTAGATTATAATAATTAATTTGAAAATATTATATTATGATAATGTAACACAATAATTCAATTAGAATATAACAACCGATCCATATTTAATTATATGCTTAATAAATTAAATTATTACAATTAGTTTAAAATGAATGGGCCTCATGATGACAACTTATTTTGGCATTTTTTTTTATTATCTAACCCCAAAGAGAATTATGTATATATATATTTTTCCTCATACTTATATAATTGAATGATGTTTTTCAACAGCACTCAATAACATTTTTACTGCAAGCTTACTTAGTATGATAGATCTTTAGGACACATTTAACAAAATAAAGTGAGGTGCTATTTCTTAATAAAAAATTAACTTGATTTGGATAATAATTGAGCTTAATTTTGGTTATAGGTCATTTGGGAGAAATCATGTGTATGATAGAAGATGAAGGATACTCTATTACTGCATTGCAGATGTTTTATATTGATAACGTCAATGCTGAAGAGTTTTTTGAAGTCTACAGAGGTGTTCTTCAAGAGTATCCCGTGAGTACCATATCAATTTTTTAGTATTATATTTAGAACCTTATTGAAAACTGCCATGCTTGGCAATAAAAAGTTGCATTTCTGCAAGATCACATTTTGAATTTCAATTTAATAATTAATAATATTTTTTTAGTATTTCTAGGTATATTTTGTTGAATGTCAGTAGCTGTTGTCGATATAAAATAGTTTTGTAAGATAAATAATGAACTTCATACAAATTCTTAATCTTTATAAGCATGTTGGTTATGTCAGTCACCCATTTTCCTATTACTCAATTTTTCCTTATATTTTTTATTAAAATATTTGATCCATTATACTGTTATTTATTTTTTTCCTCCTATCAGTTTCATTTATCTTTTTAAAAAGTTAATGTAGGATTATTTTTTTATTAATTAACGTCAGTTAGAAGTTTAGTAATAAACTTCAATTTGACCTTTTAGTATCAATGTTTATTTCATCTCGAACTTTTCAGCCTATGTGCGATTATCAAGGAGTATGTTATTGTAATTAGAATTCATTACAGGCTAATTTGCTTGTAATTCTTTCTGGCTTCATTTACTATTTAATATAAAGATAATGAAATAAAATAAGTTTTGAATGAGGTAACTTACCCTTAGGCAAATTAACTTGTAATAAATTTGAATTTTAAGATCCTCCTTGAAGGCTTGTGCACACATATCGTAATTAGTCTCGGCGATCTAGCTGTGTTACATTATATTCCATGATCAGAGTATCATAAAGCACTATCTTCCACAGTGATACAAACAAAGAGATCGCTAATCACTAGGACATATTGCATTTTGTGTTTGTAAACCTGAATTAATGCCCTATAGGCTGAAACGTTGGAGATAAAATAAATAAATATTAATACTAAGGAAAGGATACTAATTGATACGACCAAGGAAAAAGTCTTAAACAACCAAAAATATTAAAATATAAGTAGCTTTTTAATTGTATAAAAATATATGATTAAGCTCACTTGGTAATATTTTTAAAATGAGTAACTTTATATGCAATATTTTTAAAAATATATTTTCTTTTCTTATGATGTTTAATTTTCAAACTACTACATTACTTTTTAATGAATGCTTTTCTGTTTCAGATTATTGAACTTGTTATATGTTTTTATAAATTATATTTTAATTTACAGGAAATGGTCAGCGAATTGATATCTGGAGCTTGTTTGGCAATGGAAATAACAGGAATGGGTGAAAAAACTCCCAAATATTTCAGAAATTTGGTTGGACCTACAGATCCAGTAAGCATATAAATAATATGACTTTGATCAATTAAATTTTGGAACTAAGATTTTTTCCAGGAAAGGCAAGCTTAACTTTGCTGTTCCTTTTTTCATCAGCTTTTATAACAATATTTTATTATACTCAATCAATTGACTGAATTAATATGAAAAAAATATTTCTTATTTAAATGTAAAAACAATAAAAAATAAATTGCTTTAAATTAGCCACCCTCTGAATTATGCTGCCCGGGGCAACTACACCTTTGAAATCCTCTCCATTAAATTAGTTCATTTTTCATTTTAATGGATCAGAAATCAACATTAGCTCATTTATTTAAAGTTGCCAGCAAATGAGCTAATACTTTTTTAGTAAATGAGATTTGATTTTTGTATTAAATGAAAACATTCCCAAATAAGTAAAGGCTTTGTTAGGACGATGTGCTAATCTCCTTTTTTGTAATTAATTAATTACTAAAACCTGAAACTATTAATTTAATAGAAAATATATTTCAGGAAATGGCAAGGCAGTTGAGACCAAATACTTTGCGAGCTGTTTTTGGAGAGAATAAAGTAAAAAATGCTTTGCATGTAACAGATCTTCCAGAAGATGGTGTTCTAGAGGTAATTACAACTATTAAGGAATATTGTACTAGATAAATGGCAGATAGATATGGCAATCACATCTCAATCAACAGTTAATTAGAGGCTAATTTTTTTATTTAAGATTATCGTTTGTGGTCTGTCATAAAATTCAGTGAACCTTAACTGAACTTTAACCTACAACACATTTTTATTTTATTTTTGTCATACCAATTATTTTATCGCTTTAAACATTAAACAGTTTTGTTTAATATAAAATAAAACCTAACCGGGAGTATTATACAATAATTTAAAAATGGCATACAATTATAGTAGTTGACAGTAGAAGATATTTGGAGAGAAGTTGATTGGGATGTTTAGTCAATGAAAGAACAAATTAAAAATAAATAAATTATATTTATTTTTGTCCTTTGTGCCGATGTTTTTGTCTAATTTTCAGGCCACCATGAGAGCTAAATAAAGCCAAGATAGCATAAATATAGAGAGAATGTAGACAGTAATAGTAATAATATATAGAGTGATAAAGTAAATAAAGTGATATAAAATAAACAATAATAAAATAACTGTAAGAACTTAATGAAATTAAAAAAACAAAGTGATAAAGTGAATAATAGTTAAATAACAGTATTATTACTTTGCTTTATTAATTTCATTAAGTTGTTACCCTTATTTTATTATTGTTTGCTTCATCACTCCTTTATATTATTACCATTACTATCTCTTTTTTAAAAAAATATTTGTGGCCTTGTCTTTGCTTAGCACTGATGGTGGCCTGAAATATAAGCCAAAACGTCGGCATCAAGTATAAAAATAAATATTAATGATTTTTTTTAATTGTCTTTTATTGACTAACCATCCAATCAACTTCTTTCCTTTATTTATTCATCAAAGAGGAAAGAGTCATGAATTACACAATATTGAATGCTGATATTTCGAAAAATATTGCATACCTTCTTCAGGACAAATAAAAACAAACAAAAAAAAATTACATATATATTTATAAATATATATGTCAGAAAATAGAAATTAAAAGTTAAAATATGAATTGTTATAGCAAGCTGATTATAGTTGTATCAGGGAGTTAAGATGGAACCAGATTCACCACCATTTTATGTTTGGAAATTAAATAAATCAACTATAAAAAAACAAAACAAACAACTGGAAATAAAACCAAACGCTTTGTTCATATTCGCTAGTTTTTGTTTCCAATCTATCAAGTCAAAAAGCAGTAACAATGTAACAAGCAGTAAAATGTTGAACGGACTTTTATGTATCAAGTATCCTTGATTCTGCATCATTGCCCACACTTACTCTCCGTTTATCTGCAACTGTTTTTAAATAAACATATTTATTGATCCTAGACAATGCGGTTAATAACACCTTAGAACTAGAGAAATGTTTTTTCATTTACTCATTGTCCTAAATATTTAGTCACTCAAAAAAATCATTTTGAGCATAAAAAAAAGATGCGAGAATCCCTTAACTATATGAATGCCAAGGTATATAAAACTCATCAGTTTTCAGTTTCCCAGTAGAACTCTACTTAATTAAATACATATCACTCACTCTTGTGATCTTTTAAAAAATATATTAAAATGTTTTTATTAATTGGAAAAGATCCTTAAAGAATTAAAAAAACAAAACATTAAAAAGAACTCATATTACTGAGACTCCACATTATTGATAGATACTAATTTATTGAAAATAAATACATACAGTAAAACTATTACTGGCCCTGGTTGAGATCTCCTATCCATAGCATCTGTTTTAAAGTTGAGATGCTTTATGGCCATCTAAGGATAATATATACAATCAAATATATACAGTTGGTTAAGATTTTTTATTGGTAATGCCATTAAATATATGTTAATTCACATTAAGTTTAATCTATTTTACAGGTTGAATATTTCTTCAAAATCTTGGTCTAATCTTGAAAGGAACTTCATCCCATGATTAAGTTAACTCATTGTAAGCTCTAAGATTCAATAAGGTACTTCAAAACACTTAAGCTAAAGTTAAAACCTTTTAGAGTTAATGTGTAATTCCATTGTTAAACAATACAACTAGCAAAATGGAACATTTAAACATTTAATTTAAGTTCTAAAACTCAATAAAGATATATCACATAGACATTTATAATAGAAAAATATAAAGAATAATTTTGGTTATTAATTAAAATTTACAATTAAATTATATACATTATAGAATCAAATATTATTTTACAATTCTGAATGTCTAGCAGCAATTCGAGACTCGATATCTAAATGTAATTTGGCAACTTTTCTGGTTTGCTTCTTTATCATATCTTCAGTTATTTCAGCAGCTGATAGTTTATCAAGGTCTTTACTTTTTTTCTTCAATTCTTCCTCCAGAGCTGCGTCAACATGCATTCTTCTCAATTTCAATAGGCGTTTTTCATAATGTGCTAATTCAACCTAAAAAAAAAGCAATCACTGAAGAAAAAGTATAGAATATATTTTAAAATTAAAAGTATTTTATTATCAATTTTACATGTTAATATTTTTATATTCGTATCTAAGTTTTAAATAATTCAAATTTGTTAAATTTTAGCTCAATTACTATTGAAAAATTCAAGCAACTTTTTTTTTACCCGTATTTCAGAGATCAATAAAATTAAATTAAAAAAAATTGGCTGTACTTTAATTATTTTATAATTAGACATGCATTTGATATTATTAATGAAATGTACTAAACACTGAAATTACGATCACAACACTATACTTCCTTTTTTCTCCCCTCTTATATTTGTATGGATAGATCAAAATGTATGTTTTTTAAAGAAAGAAATTAGATTTTTTTTATTGATTCCAGAATTCATGCCTAATCGTACTTTAAAACTGAGAACTGTCAGGCTTAAAAACTTTAAGATAACTTCATAAATTCAGAGTTAGCATCAGTTTTACTGTGAGAATAATTCTTATGGTGTATAAAAACTTATTTTATATATTTATCTTTATTTTTAATAATTAAATAAAAAATAATTATTACTTTTTTGTTTTAATCAACCTTTTTTTCATCATAATTGATTTAAGTTTCCTCCAATTTGTAGAGAAATTACAGTAGGATCACAATCAAAATTAAAACAACTGGAAAACGTAAATAAGTTATTTATAATACATAAGTGTGTGTATGAGTGAATTTGTAGTAAATTACAAACTCACTCATACACTCATACTCACTCACTCATACTTATATACTCGACAATTAGTAGTCTATACAACAGCTCAAAACAAGGGGGTGAGATGGCCGAACGAGCTAACACGTGTGAAAAACACGGGTTGCCCAGCAACCAGATGATTGGCAAACCGAAGTTTTGAGGACATAAAATAATTACGAGTCCGTGTCTGGACCAGAAGGAAGAGGGGCTTTTAACTCTAGCATTTATTCCCCGCCCTATTCCCTGGTCCAGGAAGCCTAAAAGGCGAGGTAGAGGTGAAAAAAAAAAAAAAAAAAACCCTCACAACAATTTGTCCAAATAATCAAGGTTATAGTAGAAGTGATATTACATATAAAAATGAAATCCAACGGAATACTCAAACAATATGCTACATAGGAAGAAAATTTTATTCATTTATTTATATGCCTACACTATATTAACATATTTTTTTGCTGAATGCAATCACACTTTTGAATTTATATCCATTAATTTGAAGTTCTTTTAATATTGTTTAATTCAAAATGCTGCTACCTAAATTTAATTTTATCACAAAATCCTTATTATTTTATTTTTACATTCAGTAATAATGAAATAAAATAAAATTAAGTAAGAAAACTAATACTGGAAATAAAAGATAGCTTCAATAATAGTTTTAATTCAAGATATTTAAACTGGATTTGACTGAAACCAAAAAAGAAATTAAAAAAAAAAATAACATAAAAATAGCTTAAGAAACAAAACAAGATGGAGTACCAAAATAAAATATTATATTTTATAATAATATACAAACCCTGATTGAATCCAATTCATCAGGAGTGAAGTTTGCTTTAATCGCAATATTCCATAAACCTTGCACTTTGGGCTCGACAAATTCTCTGCTGTCTGGTCCACTCATTGCAATTCTGTATAACCGATCATAATCATCTCTAATATCTCTATGTTTGTCTCTGAAATGTAAACAAATTCTTCATTATCTTTAGGTTTGATTATTATTCACTCGTTAATTATTATAGTTTATATTATAACATATTAAATACTATGTTAAGATCTTTTAATAAATTCAATAATGACATAAAAATGATAAGTAGCGAAACCAAGTTGACACATTGAAAGAAAAACAAAAAATCAAGTTCATAGCAAAGCTTGGTAATCAAACTAAAAATATTTAAACCTACCTTAATTGATTTACTTTTGACAAATAATCTTTAGTTATATCATCTCCTTCTTCAGCTTGATCAATTTCATTCAAATGTTCCAGTTTTGTATCGACTGAATCTGAAATATTACAATAAACAACTATGAGGGCACGATGATATATATTTCATGATTCAAAATTATTTAAAACGCTGCAAATTATTATAAAATGACTTATTATTTTCACATAAGTTATATATCATATATCGGGCTTAAAAAAAAAAACGGGTACTTATCTAGTATGTGGTCGGGACGAAACCTCCCTTGTTATCTAATGTTACATCACAAAACCTCCCTTCTTATCTCATGCAAGCTGTGAGCATTATTCCATTGTTTATTTTTGTTCCATTTGTGTGATTATCTTCAAATTATGGATGTTATTACATTGTAGGAATTGCCATCTTCAGAAGAAGAGGCTATCCAATATTTTCAAAACGCCGGGATAATTCCAAACATGAAATTGTGTGAAAAAGGTCATCAAATGAAGTTAGACAGGAAGAAGAAATGGAGATGCTTCCATACCACTTGTTACAAAAATGTTTCTATAAGGAAAGGATTTCGTTTTTAATGGCTTTAAAATTAATTTATGGGTGCTCCCATAATTTAACAACGATACAGTGGGGCAAAGAGAGTTTATATTGTTTCTTTTATATGTACATATGTTGTTTAAGTGTCTTTTTTTAATTTCATTTTTTTATTATTACATTTATTTTTGTCTATTTCCTATATAGAATAGAATAGAATAGAAAATAATTTTATTCTGGGACAAAAAATCCAGAATAACAAAAAAGTACAGAAATTAAAATTTTATATCTGGCCAGATAAAAACAAACATAAAAAGTAAAGATAAAGATAAATCAGTAAACAAAAAAAAAAAAAAAAAAAAAAAAAAAAAAATATTAGTTATACATAATGTATACAAAATAAAATAAAATAATCTATATACAAAACTCTCGAAACCATACTAAGATACTTAAAACTATGTACAATGGTAAAATATAAATAAACCCTTTTAGAGAAAATACAAAAAAAAAATAAAAATAAATAAATGTAAATTCTTCTTAACAGTAAAATCTGTTTTTCTGTTGAAAAAAAAACATAAAATAAAAAAAAAATATGTAATTTTACATAACAGGTTAGCTGGTATCTGACTGTTTTTGGAGCAGAAATTGGAATAGGAGGGTTTTGAATGTAGATAGGGATAAAGAATGTCGGATTTTGATAGGAAGGGAATTCCAAAAATTAACAGAGCGAGCAATAAAGGAGTTTTGGAACGAGGCAGATCTGTGAGAAGGAATGTAAAGGTCAGAAGGTCGAGATCTTGTGGAGAGGGAGTGGATTGAGGACTTGAATTGGAGAAGATTGTAGGCGTAGGAAGGAAGATGATTGTTGATGATATGATAGAGGAATGTACCTAGGAAATTTTGTCTTTGAATGGAGGGGAAGAGCCACTCTAACTCAGTGTAGTGGTGAGAGACATGGTAGTATCTCGGGACAACAATTACAAATCTCATGCAACTGTTCATTAATCTTTTCAGTCTGTCGCGGAGCTCCACCGAGAGTCCATCATACACCACACAGCTGTAGTCAAAGTAGGGGAAGATGAGAGAGGAAACGAGGAGTCTACGCATATGTTGAGGTAGAAGATGGCGGAAGCGATGGAATAATTTGAGGGTAGAAATTGTCCGTCGGGAGATGTGAGAAATATGGTGATTCCAGGAGAGGGTTTGATCAATAAATAGTCCTAAATTTTTTACAGAGGAGTAGAAGGAGATTGGTTGGTCACCAAGGTTTAGTATGGGAAAGTCGGTATAGGATCTAAGGAGGGGCTTGGAACCAATGACAATGGCCTGAGTTTTTGAAGCATTTAACCTTAATCCGTTTAAGTTTGCAAGGCACAGATTCGATCTAGGTCTGCTTGGATCTTAGTAAATGCCACCAATAGCTCAGGGGGAGAAAAGGATAGGTATATTTGAGAATCGTCTGCATAAAGGTGGTGGGAACAATGGATAATTGGGTCATGGAGGTCATTAATATAGGAACTAAAAAGGAGAGGAGATATGCTAGATCCTTGGGCAACTCCAGAGGATAAAGGCAGGTAGGCAGATAGTGGTTGATTAGAAATGGAGACTGCTTGGGTGCGTTGTGAGAGAAAAGATTGGAACCAAGAGATGGAGCTATTGGAGAAGGAAAGTGACTGTAGTTTGTTGAAAAGAATGGGATGGTTAATGGAGTCGAAGGCTTTTGAGAAGTCAAGAAGCATAAGGACAGGTAATTGTTTATTATCTATTGCAGTCTGAACATCATTGGTAATTTTGATTAAGGCGGATTGTGTGGAGTAGCCGGGACGGAAACCAGATTGGAGAGGATCAAGTTGGTTGGACTTTTCGAGGAAATCGGAAACTTGGGATTGCACCAATCTTTCTAGGGGTTTTGAGAGATTGGAAATAAATGAGATTGGATAGATGGAGAGGATGGATTAGGCTTTTTATTTAAAGGGAGTACAATAGCTTTTTTCCAAGAGGAAGGGAATATTGATTTCTGTAGGGAGAAATTGTAGATGAAAAGGAGAACTGGGAGGATTTCGGGGGAGATATAATTTTATCAATTTGACAGGAATGCCATCTGGTCCTATGGAATTGGTGTGGGATTTCATTACTGCGGTTAGTAAGTCAGTCGGGGAAATGTCGGAGAAATAAAAGTCATCATCATTAAATGATGATTGCAATGATGATTCCAAAGTTGGAAGAGGAGGGAAGAGAAGAGGTAGAGGAGGTAGAAATAAAATGTGAATTTAAATCGTCAGGTAAAACGGAAGAAACCAGTGAGGAAGGGGATCTGGAAGGTTCACAGAGAGAAAGTTTGCGAAGGATTAGCCATTTGGATTTGGGATCTGGGGCAGATGAAAGGGCTTCATGGAAGTAGGAAGCTTTAGTTTGCCGAATCCTTGTTTGTGTCAAATTGCGGAGCACCCTAAACGCTTGATAGTCATCTGTAAGCCTGGTACGTCTAAAGCGTCTACGGGCAGCATCACGCCTCTTCTGCAGATCCTTAATTTCTTGACACATCCAAGGTACAGGCTGGCGGCAAAAGGTTGAGGTTTTTATGGGAGCATGGGTGTTAAGGATATCAAGGAGATTGGAAGTCAGGATCTCAACCATGGAATCGATGGAGGAGCAGGAATATATTTCGTTTTAAGGTCTAAGGCTTCAAGCTCAGGTAGTATTTTTTCACGGGTGAGAGTGTCTATCTGACGGAAAGTGAAGGTTCTCGGATGAATCAGAGGTGTTTGGATATTATATGTTATTAGGATCATGTCGTGAGACGATAAAAAGGATAGTGGCAGTTGAGAAGAGGAGAGGAGATTTAGTTCAGAGTCTATAATGAAGAAATCTAACCAAGTGTCGGCCTTGTGGGTATGGTGAGTAGGATAAAAAGGAACAATAAAGAGATGAAGGGAAAAAAAATAGGTTTTCTAGATAGGTTTTGTCTTTGGAATTGGAATGGAAATTGGTGTTGAGGTCACCGGCAATGATTATTCTAGGATAGAGGGGAACAAAGTTGAGTAGGGTTGATTCTAAGGATGGATCGAATGGAACAAGGGGAGGACGGTAGATCACTGTGTAAAGGAGAGGGGAATTATTACAGGTAATTTCTACTAGAAGGTACTCCACTTGTGGATGTTCGGAGGAGGGTGGGGAGAAATCAAGGATTCGGGACTTCAGGCTATCATGGACAAATATGGCCACCCCCCCACCAGTCCGGCTGACCCGGTCGTGGCGGATGAGGGTGTAATTAGGTAAGGAGACAGATGAGGACGGAATATAGGGTTTGAGCCAGGTTTCTGAGATTGCGATAATGTGAAAAAAGTTTTGAGAAAAGTACTGCAGGAATTCATCATAATGGGCAGGAAGGGATTGCGAGTTAACGTGACAGGTGGTTAGGATGCTAGACATGGGGAGGATTTGATGGGAAACAGTCAGAAATTAGCATAGAGGAAATGAGGCATGTATCATATTCTGAAAAAAATTTAAAATAAGTATTAATAAACAAAATAAAAGTAAATAATGAAAAAATAAGTGAGTAATAAGAGTAAGAAAATAAACAAATTAGTAAACAAGAGCTATGAGACATTTTAATCAAAATCTTCAAAATTATTTGGGCACCAATGAAGACAAAAAATACTTTGATGAAAGAGAAGAAGTGATGAAACCTGTACAGTCAGGCGAAAACGTTAAGATCCGATGCCTGATTAATCAAGATTACCTGATGGCCGCCGTCTTTTCGGCATCGCACATTGCTGGCAGCGAACCATACGTATCTTATCTTCCCGGCAGCTCTCTGTTGTAAATATATGTTGTTATATATTTATGTTTTATATGTGTAATATAATACCCCCCATATATATGTTATAAAATAAGTGTTTTCTTATTATTGTGGGAATTATTACATTTCTTTTTGTCTATTTCAATTTCAAATCAAACTGTTTTATTATTATTACATTTGTTTTCGTCTATTATATATATATATATATATATATATATATATATATATATATATATATATATATATATATATTGTAAAATAAAAGTATTTTTTTTATTATTACATTTGTTTTTGTTTACAATATCAATAATATGAATATAATACAATAAATATGAATAGGAAGATAGGGATTACCAGTGCCTTATCAGAATTATCATTGTGCAGGTTATAAACATCAGCAGATAGCAGTCGATCACAACCAAATATTCGCCAAGTACCAAAAAACGAATGTAACTACAAATATTCCAACTTTTGTGATTGATTGAGAAGATGCATCTTCTGTTACATTTTTGTGCCAGTAACTAATATTTTTATTATGTTAGATACATTTCTCCAAAACTTGAAATAAAAAAATTTAGACATGCATTATGGTTACATTAAGTAAGTTATTTTCTAATATGTAGTTGAACATTATAGAAAGAACAATTTTTTTCTTTGGACTTAGTTATGTTGGTGTGTCTCTAAGTCCTAGATATGTATTTTTTTTAGACATGCATTATGGTTACATTAAGTAAGTTATTTTCTAATATGTAGTTAAACATTATAGAAAGAAAAATTTTTTTCTTTGGACTTAGTTATGTTGGTGTATCTCTAAGTCCTAGATATGTAATACTACATTCCTTGTCAAATAGAGGAAAATAAATAAAAGGTGATTCTTTTATTATATATTTATTTTTATTATAATATATATCCCCACATATATTATTATAGTAATGCTCGAAATCGGTTTTGTACCAAATATAAGCTCCTGTCATGCTCAAATACCATGAATGAGGTACTTTGATTCAGAATTTCATGGAGAGTTTTCTTTCTAAAATAAATAAAGCCTATACAAACATTTTGCTAGGCTTCGATACTGAAACGGTGGTAAGTCTGTAGATCAATACAGGACAAATTGGGCTTTAAAGATTTTGATGCGTTATAAATAATATAATTATAATGATATGAATTAGACAGGTCAACTTAATTATAAATAAAAATATAGTTATATTAATAACTCATTTGATACTCACTCTTCCTGGTAGCATCCTGATCTCCCATTTGAACATCATTTAAGACAGAATAGTATTGATCCACCTTTTCTTGATGGTGTTCAAATTCTTGTCGTAGGACATTTAGTTCCTCAGCTATCAGAGATGAAATATTATTAAAATAAAATTGATTTCTTATTATAATACAACATATATTGTAACTAAAGATATAATTTTCCATCTGTAAAAGGATTCCAGAAATAAGCAAATTTGAGATATTAGCTAGTAAATCTGGGTCTGTATTAAGAGGTTTATTGTAAGTAAGCCAGTGGAAATTTTTGTTGTTTCTGACACTGTTAAGATCAAATAATACTTTTGACTGAAATTGAATTACTTGGATACTACAAGTATTAGTAGAGCCCAATAGCTCAATGAAGTATGTCCATAAATGTCTTATTAATAAGTAATAAAACATATCTTCACACTTACAAAGGCAATAATGAAATTTTCTCATATCACTTTTTTGGTTTCTTATTTTCAAAAATTTATCATAATTGTACCATCGAGTAAAACTCAACTTCTTCCTCCAAGAGAGGACTTCATATTAGAAGCCTGTTCACCCACAGTGGGGACTCACAATCATTTATCAGTATCTGCTGACAAGCAACTGGTTTATATTTGTATTTAGATAACTTCTGTGAAAATTATCTTAAGAAATATTATTTTTATAAAAGTATTCAATTTCAGTTTTTATATCAATTTTTAATTTAAGTTAAGTTGATGCTTTGTTAGTTTGTTACACAACTATATAATTTAAAATTAATATTTTTTCTCTTTTTTTTTTCTGATGCCAAATCTTGAGTTGATATTTTTAGTTTGTTAAATTCTCTTAGACATATTGTTGATCATACTTCAGTTTTATGTTATTATTTCGTTTAAAATATAATAAGACAATAATTTATTGTTTTATATCTTCAGTTCCAACACTTGATGGTTCATCGTGAAACCCTTACGCCATCACAATAATTTTTTTTTTATGTTAAATTTTGATGTATGAATTATTTTAAAAGAGACTAGATGTATTTTTAAATAATATTTCAATTGTTATTTATTTATAGAAAACATGGCTTACGAGTGAATCCAGAAGCTTCAGCTTTCTCCCATAGTTTGTTTAGTTTTTTGTCCTTGAAAAGACTTTTATTCATATAATTTACTTTTCCACTTGCAGGCTCATGGTCTCTATGCTTTTGTGGATTACTCACATCATCAAAATGCTCAAGTAAACCGTATGAACTCATTATTCCTGAAAATATAAGTTTTATTCAAAGTTATTTCATAAAAGAGTTTAAGAAATTGTTAATATAAAGTGCAGTCTTAAATATTAATGGAAATTGTGCATTTAATTTTAAATAGAATTTACCTACTAATCTTTTTCTCATGTCTGCTTCAAGTAATCCATCTTTATCTTTCCCCTCAGCCTTTAGCTTTTTAAAATTCAACTCTTCCTTATCATGAACTTTTAGTTCAGAAAACAGTGATTTCAGCTTAGGTTCTGTAAGTCTCTGTAACATGAGTTAATATTATAATCAAAGTTCAGTGCAAATTAAAATTTAAAGTTTTGTAGCAAGCTGAGAATCTTTCGCTAATTACTGGTTCTCATTATTGGGAAAGGCATTGGTATCACAACTCGTGATTACTAAATTATGCATAAGGATCAACTTCCTGTCAGTTATTTTAGTATCTTAGCTGACATCGAGATGGTTGATGAAAGACAATAATAGTATATGGACTACTGGTAATTTAGGGTCACTTTTTTTCACCATAGTTTCCATGAAGTAAAAATGTTTTCAAGGTACTGTAGTTAATCAGCATATATTTTTCTCTCTAATTAAATAATTTAATTTTTTTAAAGATATATATTTAGCATTAAACAAACAGTTTCCACTAATATTTTATGTGATTCTTGACCACCTAGTTTGACCTTTTTCATCTTATTTTTCCATATGGTTAACCCTCAATTTCTAACACCTACTTTGCCAACATTGATAATCAAGTCATTCTCATTTCTTAAGGCAGCCTTTGAAGTGCTATGAGTGAAGAAGATGACACATTTCTAGGGATAATCACTCCATTACATTTTTTTATTGACAAGAAGTGATTTTTATTTCTATATGCCATTTTCAACTATAACAAACTTATAATTGATATGATACTAAGCAATAACAATAAAGATTATCTTTAAATATTATGAAAATCATAAGGGTGAAATTAGCAACTAAATTTTTTAAAAACTAACTGGTAATTTTTGTCATGCTTTTTTAAATGAAATGTTACAGCTGATAAAACACTTATTTTATACTTAGTCTAAAAATATTTCATGTACATTTTAATATAACTACTATTTTAATCTTATAATATTCATTTTTATTTATTTTGTTTCATTGGCCATGGATCGACCCTGGGGTCAGGAGACCAACTTAGGGCACACCCAGCGTCTATTAAGAGGATACTCTTAATTAATGAATTAATTGGGGGGAGGGGACAGAAAACCTGGTGGTTAAGAGTGACCTCGGTCAAATCACCTCCTTTCACAGCCATTGAGCTTGAAACAGTACTTTCTTACATAGCACTGAACCGAAGACATCCATGGTGTGTTGAAATGACTGGATTGTGTTAAGGTGATGGCATTCCAGCTCTATCACATTATTCCCAAAAATCTACACAAGAATTTCACATTCACGGTTTTTTAATATTCCATTTGGCTTGGAATAGTTGGGAATGTCTCTGGTGGCTAGCTTAAAATAAATGTTTACATTTCTCTTTTGGTGTTTAGTTCTAACGATCTACTAAAATAAAGCAACATGAATCATTTTCCTTTATTGTAGTCGAGGTCATAAAAATTGTATCACCCAGTAATAACTCTATTTTATTGACCAGATTGAAATCTATAAGATCTTCGGATATTTCTTTGGCAGCTTTGAAATGATTTTCTAAAACAAACACACCATTAAGCGGTCAAATTGTTCATTTTTTTTTCCCCCTCAGTTCCTTTCTTTAGCTCTATAGTGCTTCTTTTTTTTTTTTCTTAACAACTATAGCTACCGTTGATTTGTGGTACCCATCCCTTGTTACTATTTCCCGTGAAAATTCCCTTATTTTATTTAACGTCACAATTTTGTTATCTGACAAAAACAGTTTTTTGAAACTGGTCTTAATTACAGCTTTTATCTAGGGATTAGTTAAAAGTGAACTGAGAAACATTGTTAAAGTTTTCTTGTAACCTAAATAAGTAAAGAAAAACAAAAATATTCAATGGAATCAATGTTATTAACATAAAAATCAAAAGAAATAGGAGATGCAATTTCTATGACTGCAACTGTAATACAAGATAAGGTACTAATAAACTAACACAAACATTGATGTTATCGCTAAATCCTATTAATGAAAACACTTGGCTATTTCTGGCACTCCTTATACAAGTATGATTGAAGTAATGTTGGCCAGACATTATCCAGACAAGAGTACTTCTCAACTAGTACTCAAGGATAAACGATGAAATGCATACTTTATAAAATATATACAAGACAATAATAAAAAAATCTTTACAATTGAACAAGGAGAAGGCTTCTGAATTTGATGGTACAAAGATAATTGAACCCATGACAGTAAATGTTAGTTTCTAATACACTATTGAACTCAAAACGTCCTGATTTTTAACATTAGAAAAATAATTAATATTTTTGAGTAATGTTTGGTGTTTTTCTTGACTGTCATCCCAACAAATTTTTTTTCTGAAATAATACTTTAATTCCAGAACAAAAAAATCTTCATATTGTATTAATTTTTTCATTAAACTGATCAAGATATATTGACTCAATTAAAAGAGCCCAATTAAATTAAAAGGGCTTTAGCTTTGATAGTGTACCTCTAGTCTGATTTATTTCCCAATTTGACAATTAACAAATATTGGAAAAAAAGTCACACTAATAGATACATATCCATAATTTCCTATACAGTATAAATGCCTCATTTCAAATTGTCTTTTTGAGCACATAAAAAGCTGTCAAGCTTCCGAATCCATAATAAATTATAATGAACGATTTATTAATTCTATGCTCTTACCGATTGGGCTTTTGTCCAAAGTAAATTGAGCTTTGCCATTCTGAAAGGTTTATTAATATTTCGTATATTAACATTGGATTCATCAACAAATTGTACTTTATGGGGAGTCTTCTGATACTTAGCATTTACTTCCTTAGAATATTTATTTTCACAATACGATAGTGTGATAAAATTTATCAGTACTACAAGTGTTACAGAAATAATGAATTTGGTGTAATCCATAATTTTCTAAGACCTAATATTGATGTTTGACCGACTACAGCAATTAATAACACAATCTTAAAATAAACTATAACCAAAACAGGAGGTAATTTCTAGATAAATTCCAGCGATCAAAGGGTAAAAATAATTAATTACTGTTTAAACTTTCTAGATAAATATTTAATTTTTCATATTTCGCGTTTATATTAATTGCATACTTCGTAGATATTAAATATCCAAATATCTGATTGTTGGTATTTAATAATGCTAAGAGGCCAGCACTGAGTGGGAGAGGGGAGGATGAACTAATGCCTCCCCTTTCAATATTTTATGTGAAGCAGGCAAGAGTTACGCCTGGCTTTATAAAATTGCTTGGTCATTTCCTTATAAAATAATTCACAAACGATTTCAATGAGGCACACAAGTAATAATTATATTATATTACTGATAATAAACTGACAACTAGGCTAATTTAGGTTTGTGAGAAAAATGATGGAGACTACCCCACTGAAGGCTGCTCCAAGCCACCTGTTCGTGGTTACACACGCCAAACCCTCGAAGTGCCGGTCAGTCCGAATGTCCTGTCACTCAAGGACGGACCGGGAGCATTCCTTCAGCATCAGCTTTCGTCAGCTCTCCTCATTTCGCCTTAAGGCAGGCGTCACCACCCATTACTAGATGGTTCGATAAAATCGAGAGGGCGGGGTGGCCGAATGGGCTAACGCGTTTGCACTGCACCGCCGTGGCCCGGCAACTGGATATATGATATGAAAATAGTCACGAGTTCGCGTCCCGGTGCCAGAGAGGATTTTAAATTCCCCGCCCTCACCCTCTGGTCCAGGAAAATCCCGTATAGCCTAAAAGGCGAGGTAGGGAAGAACAGAAAAAAAAAAAAAAAGGTTCGATAAAATCGAACCCTACTGTCACCGAACCCAGTATGCCAGAAATGCCCAGGTAAGGAGATAAAAAAAAGGTTCAATAAAATCGAATCCATAAAGCTGAGCCAAGCACCGGTCTGAGGCCGGATTATGTCAGCTGAATGACCGACACTATAATGGGTCGCACTTTTAGGCATTGCACCCCTTGGAATTATTTTCGGTTTCACTAAACATATGTGCGACCTGGACAGCGGACCACCCTTCCGGAATCGGGCTGCGCCTTTCAACCGGTAAAGTCCATCATCTAATCGTTGTTCGCATATCAGACATAGCAACTCGCTATGAAACTGTCTGACCAGACTTCCATAATGGTTCGTAGATGCACGTCTACTCCCCACGCTATGATGAACGGCGCTCCTATCCAAAGCGCTGCTGGCTATCCTAGCCAGTGCCGGAGCGTTAACGCAGCTCACTACCCAGAGACAGGATCTCAACCACGGCCACCTCGAATCCAAACCCTTGTCAATAGGATGGCAAGAGAGTTTAAGTAAGCCGTTCTAACCTTTGCCCTTCTCCCCAAAAAATTCCCAAAGTGTCGGCGCTAATGTACTAATGACTGGTGATCCACGCCAAAAATAATCTAGATGTGCAACAAATGCTTTATGTTTTGTACATATATCAAACTGTGGACGCGACCCAGAACTGATATTCACTGGAATTATATTATTTGGCATTAATATAAAGTTAGGTACTGATTGTTATTGTATTGACATACGTTCGCTCAAGGGATAAACTAATTTCCAACAGTTGGTTGGAGATCGGAGCCTTATTAACTTGAAATCCTTGTGTTGAAGACTAGAATAAACATCCCACCAAAAAACAATACTTTGAATCCTGTGGCGTAACGTGGAGGACTACGCCCATTCCCCTTTAAAACATAATAATCAATTTTATCTTTATTCCTTAGGCACATTTAAGCGCACTCTTAATCGTACTAATCAGAGCATCGTACTGATCAGTACGCTTACAATAAATAAGTAAATAATGTTTACAAGATTTCTTTCTTCATTTCGTTGAAATATCAATCCAATATGTCCCTCCCAAAGCTTCTACACCCTAATGCATTGCATCAGTTGCATATACGCCAATGTTTGTTTCGGACAGGTTAAGAGAATAAATGGCTCACTACCTGTACACGGACAGTAAATAAGTATATTTTTATTTAGCTACATGTTACAAGTTTCATGTTTCAGCATAACTTACTTTGTATGCCAAAAGTTATTTAAACGTTTTCTAAGGTAGTTTCAAGAGTTCAAAACTTTTTTTTTTTTAGCTTTAATGTTTTATTCACACCTGTCATAATGCTAATGACAACCAGTGAAAGTGAGATCGATTGATTAATAGAATTGTCATGAAAGGCATGAGGAGGATCAGTGCCCAGCGGCACCTCACTCGGCGTGATATCTACATTAGGCGAGGAGGTCCCTCATCCAGCTCCTCTTCAGTCTCCTACAGACGTTACCGGGCATATTCGTAGTGGCCATGTCATTTATAAGTGTATTAGTATGTCCTTGTAAGTTGTCATGGAATCGTTTGTAATGAATACGTATGTGTTCGTTAACAGTCGGCATATGGAGGTCAGTATGTAAGGTTATGTTGCTAACGTACCAAGGTGCTTTTGTAATTGTTCTGAATGTTTTTGCTTGAAAGATTTGAAGTTTGTTTAAGTGAGTCTTTTTAGCAGTTCCAAATATCTGTGATGCGTAAGTCCAAATAGGTTTTAGTAAGTAATTGTATGTGTTCAATTTCTGTCTAAGTTTTAGTTTTGAATTTTTTGAAAGAAGTGAACTCAGAATTCTTAATCTTTGATTTAAAGTTTTTCGTTTTTTGATTATATGTGGGCCCCACGTCATTTTTCTGTCAAATGTCAGACCAAGGTAGTGAACGGTGTCTGTCTGTGGAATCTGTGTATCGTCAAGGAAAACTGGAGGGCATGTTTCATGTCGAAGCGTAAATGTGATGTGCTGTGATTTGTCTTGATTTAGTCGGATTTTCCAAATTTTGAACTAGTCATGTAATCTTGTTAAATACTGTTGTAGGGTCTGTGAGGCGTATGTTGGATTTTTGTGTCTTGCTAAAATTGCTGTGTCGTCTGCATATGTCGCTGTTAAAATGTTGGGACTACAAGGTATGTCATGGGTGTATGTGATATAGAGTAGTGGAGCGAGTACTGAACCTTGAGGTACTCCTGCTGAGATAGACCTGATGGAAGATAGTTCTGACCCGTGTCGGACCGAGAAAAATCTATCGGAAAGGAAGGATTGTAGAATTAGATAATATGTAGGTGGGAGTATTGTCTTGAGTTTAAAGAGAAGACCCTGGTTCCAAACTCTGTCAAACGCTTGAGCAACATCCAGAAATACGCCAGTTGCATATACTTTCTGCTCTAGTGCTGTAGATATGTAGTCCGTTACTCTATGTAGTTGGTGTATAGTTGAGTGATGTGCCCTAAATCCAAATTGATGGTCAGGTATTATTTGGGTGTTTGTTAGTATATCAACAAGTCTTTTGTTCAGTAAGCTTTCAAAAATTTTGGAACAGATAGGTAGTAAGCTGATTGGTCGGTATGAGGAAGGTGAGTTTTTGTCCTTTTTAGGCTTGTGAATCATTATTATATGTGAGTATTTCCACTGTAGGGGAAATTTAGTTGTCCTCAGTATTGCATTATAAATAGTTTTCAAAAGCACTAAAGCTTTTCTAGGCATTTGTTGGAGCACTTCAGCGTTAATCAAGTCATGTCCAGGAGCTTTTCTTTTAGGCAACTTTTTGATTTGTTCAGCAATCTGTGAAGGTGTGAATGAAATAAGAGGTGAAGTTAGTTGTAAGGGCATGTCTAAAGTGTTTAGTACGTTGTTATCGTGCACAGTGTTAGTGAAGTCTGTGTGTGGTACAAAAACAGAAGAAAGATATTCGGCAAAGAGTTCTGATTTTTCTCCGTCCGTCACGGCCCAGGAATCATCTTGTCTTCGAAGGGGTGCTGACACTTCACGATGCTTAATAAGGTTTTTGGTATGTCTCCACAAGCTTCCATCGTCGGTTGAGAGATTTCTGATGTAGTTGTCATAGGTTGTTCGTTTGAATTTTCCAATCTGTCGCTTGAGTTCATTATTAAGTCTGTTGTAAGTTCGTTTATCTGATGGGAGTCTGTCAGTCTGCCATATTTTGCGAGCTCTCCTCTTCGCTCTGATCAAGTCCCTTATGTATTGTGGGTACATTGGTAGGAACTCATATTTTTGAGGTTTTGCTACTGATGAAGACCATGCTGCTTCTTGAATATTTCGTGTGAAGTATTCAACGGCATCCTCAAGTTCTTCTTCGTTTTTAATGGATAGAGGAACAGAGAGAGCAGTGTCCAATTGGTTCCTGTACCTGTCCCAATCCATTATGCCATTGATCAGGGACAGTTTTTTTGTAGCTTCACAAGGCTCTTCAAACAATACCAAATGCAAAAGGGAATGATCAGAGCAAAGATCTGAACTCGTTGTTATAGTGTGAGGTGTTGTTCGGAGTCCTTTAGTTATGAAAAAGTCGAGTAAGTCTGGTGTTTTCCGTCTAGAAGTTGGCCAGTACGTGGGTGAATTAGGTGATATTGTGTCTAATGAGAGAGAGAAACACTTTATTTTCATAAAATATAAAATATAAAGGATTGCTGCCCAATTACATTGGGTTGCTATACACACAGCATACTCTTCTATCCTTAAGACAATATATGAACTTATATATAAATATACAGAAGTATTAGTTAATATTAGTAAAACAGAAATATATATATATATACATTTTTATTATTTTATTTATCCTTATAATTTTTTTTTTTTTTTTTTTCCTTTTTCCCTCTTCTCATTGTTCATGCTTTTTTTTTTTTTTTTTTTTTTTTTTATTTAACATTAAGTTTCCCTTTCTCTCACTTCTCTCTCTTTATCGCTATTGTTTTCAATTATTCACTAAAAAAAATAAATAATCAAATACATAAATTAAAACTCTCGGGCTAGCCATGCACGTGGTGGTGAATGATTCCCAGGGAGTCGAGGACTATATTTTCAGCCAACCTCGCTACGTCCTTAATGTCGACACCTAGTTCCTCGAGGAAGCTCCTTGTTCTTTTTGGGATAGTTCCGCGAGACCCAAACCAGAGGCCTCTCACGGTGAACTCTCTCTCTCCGAAGGTCTCACGGAATTTCTCTTTTAGGAAAGGGATACATTTATCGTACGTGTTCTTCTTTTCCCTTTCCACTTCACCCGCCTGATCGAGGTCATTGCTCTCAAAGCGGACAGTTGGATCCAAGATCAGCGCTGTCCTTCCTGTCTTGGGAAATGCGACGATATCAGCGTATCTCGTAGAGCCCTCACTATCGATGCAATATACCTCGTCAAAGCAGGTGAATTTTTTTTCCCTAAGGAGCCTCATCAATTCGAACTTGACCCGGTGGTGACGACGTGTTATGAGGAGGGAGTTGTTGGGGCATTTTCCCAGCACATGTGCTGGTGTTTCAGACTCTCTGCCGCATTTACGGCAGAGGGACCCAACTTCTCTGACCTGTCCGCTGACTCCTGGGACTCCACGCAGGGGTGCATAATTAATGTTTAGTTTTAGGGCATTCGACCATTCAGACCCAGAAAGTACTTGCTTTTCGTAGATGTATCTATTCGCTTTCGGGGTCTCTTTAAAATGGCGAACACCAATACCCTGCCACCTGCAGTTGGCCCATTCCTCAAATGCATTTTCTCGTAGCGACTGCCGTAGAGCTTTCACATTTCGATGACCCTGATCAACCCCCAATCTCTCGGCACATTCAGCAATTTCAGCCGAATAATCGAAGGTAGACTGAAAAAGGGCATCTGGTACATTGGACAGTCGCTGAGCAATGGACCAATGTTGAAGAGGAGCCTCCCATTGGCAGCGGATTAATCCCAATCCTCGGTATCTCCTGGGGGCATACAACATCGCTGTGGAAGTATTCGCAGGCAGTCCAATAATGGCCTTTACGCTCCTGCGAATCATAGTGTCGATGCCCTCCAGTATAGCAGGACGTAGCTTTGTTAGGGGCGCAGTTTGGAGAGGGTAAGTAAGACCCGGGAACAGATATTGATTGACAATGTTGAGTTTCTGCTCAGGTTTAAGTAAGCAAGAGGTTACCAGCTTGTTTAGATTATCATTCAATTTAGTCACCGAATCTTCGTTGAATTGCAGCTCTCCCGAGAATGTACATCCTAAATACTTAATCGTATCTCCATTCTTCAATGTTTGGATGTACTCACCATTCTCAAGGGAGAGCACCGTAGTTTCCAGCTCTCCTTTATTTATAACGATGCCCATACTTTTTAGAGGATTTATAGCCAGACCAATTTCTTTAAATGTTCTTTGTATGCTGTCAATCACTCTTTCTGCAGCCCCCTTGTCACGCGCCGACACTGCCTGGTCATCCGCGAAACCTGTGAGGACCACACAATCTTGCTCATTCCTTAATTTGTATCCAAATTTCTTGGAAAAGTCCTCGTCACACAGGTCGCGGTAGAGATGATCGATGGCCAGGTTGAAGAGTGAAGACGACAGGGGGCCACCTTGGGGTACACCGCGCAGCACTTTGATCTGGCTAGTTGCATGGACACCGTTGCCAATCTTTATGGTGTTCGTGCTAAGGAGAGCTGATATGACATTTGTAAGATTCGGTGACACACCTCTCGCTTCTAAGGAGCTTACGATGTGTTTGTGCCCAACATTGTCAAAAGCACCGACAACGTCGAGGAAAACTATCGCACAGTCATTTTTCATTTTTTGTGCATCTTTTAATACCGCGTCGATGATCCTCGCGTTGACGTGCGTTCCCGGGAGGCCTTTTATAAAGCCTCTCTGACTCTTGTGGAAGGTGACCTGCTTTCTTAACTCGTAGTCCAGAACCTTCTCTATGATTCGGCGCACAATCGAGTATATGGTGATCGGTCTCCAGGTAGAGATATTGTTTATATCACCTTTGCCCTTATATATCAATATTGTGCGCCCTTGTCGAAGTGGTTCCGGAACATAGGCCACCTTCAGCATTATCTCTGCAATCGTTTTAATAATGCTTGATACCTCAAAATATTTTATTGTGCGGATCAGAACTCCATCAGGCCCCGGCGATGTGTCCATTGATGTTGATTTAATGGCTTTCCTGATGGCTTCTATCTCAATGGACAGCAAATCCGGCATCGGGGTACACTGTTCGTAATCCGCACGCCCGCAGAGATTTTCGTTCTCAAAGAGGTCTTTATAATGCCTCTCGATATCGGCCATTTTTAGAGGACACCGTTTAGGAGCGTCGGCATTCATTACAGTTTGCACAACCTTTTTTCTTTTATTATAATAATTATATTGGGCAACCTCGTACTGATACTGCTCTTGCCGACGACTCCTGTCTACTTTGTTTGCCCTCTGCGGATTTGAGACTTGTCCAGCACCCTTGTCAGCCATTTTCATTTTATTTTTTTTCCTCATCCTATAAAATTTTACGGCTGGGTGCTGGGGACCTGGCAGTTCCGCATTAATGACTTTGAGGAACTTTAGGAACTTGCCTACGGCCTCATCAAAATCCGCAGTATTCACCATTTCTTGCTTTAAAAGGTTCTTGAACGTAGTAGACCATTCAACAATGTCCTCTTTTATTTTTGATGACTCACCCTCTCCATTTCTAGGACCTATCACGTTCTTTACTATGCCCCTCAATGTATATAAAGAACATACCTAAGATTCCTTCCTCTTGGAGTAGATAGTCTGGATCCCCAGAACTGATCTTTGGCGTTGTAGTCGCCTCCTGCAACAAAGCATCTACCAAGACGTTTAAAGAAATTACTAAACATCATGGGTGTAAGAACATACCTCGGAGGGCAATAAACCGCAGCAAGAGTAATGTTTTGTTGTTGTGTTGATAGTGTAATGGCTGTAGCTTGAATCTCTGGTGTTATGGGTAATTGTAAAGGATTATGTTTTAGAGTTGTTTTGATAATTATGGCAGTGCCTCCATGTGAAGTTCCATCTGGGTGGTCAGTTCTGTAGATTTTGTAACCACGGATGTAAAATTTAGAATGTGGTGTCAGATGTGTTTCTGTTATTAGTGCAATGTCAATGCGTTTCTCGTGTAAGTATATGTCTAGTTCGGTTCTATGTTGATTCAGTCCGTTTGCGTTCCATAGTATAATAGACATGGAGCCCACAGTCGTCTGATTACGGAGCATATTTTTGGGTAAGAGCGAGAGTAGCCTGAGATAGCTGTTGTAGAAGACTGAAGAGGGGCTGTATGAGGTTATTGAGACCGCTAATCAAATGTATGATATCACCTGAGGAGGTTTCAATAGTAGGGAGCGTTTGGGCAATGCCCCTACTCATACCTTTAGGCCTTTGTTCTTGGTTTGTTGCCGGTGCTGGTTTTCGTTGCTGTCTCTGCTGCTGTTGTTCTGGTCCTGAGGGAATCGGATGAGGGTATTGAGGCTGATGCAGTGGTGGGAACTCGTGTAGTTCTGGTGGTGGGGGTTGAACTCTAGGAGGCCTTTGCAGAGTATGGTTTCTTGTGCTGGTCTTCCTAAGCTCTTTCAGAGTTTCGCAACCTCTGTAGTTAGCAGGATGTGGTCCTTGGCAGTTCGCACATTTTGCGACTGTTTCTCGAGTCTTTGTACAGAAAGTGCTTTCGTGACCCATACCACATCTTACACACCTCGGCTGGTGGTTGCAGTACGTCTTGGTATGGCCATACTGCTGACAACGTACGCACTGCGGAATGATCCTTTTTTTCCTTGGCTCTTCGATCTTCACGTGTGTGTAATACAGGAATTCAATGTCGAAAATTTTATCATTGAACGTTGCTTTTGACACATCAACGAAAAACATTGGCAACGGTGTTTTGAATCTTGATATAACATTCACGATGTTGGTTGCCTCGTAACCATAGTTGGCAAGTTCCTGGAAGTGAGTTCAAAACTTAAATAAGGAAAATCAGAAGGTCTGATATAGTTCACTTAAGGAAGCACCACAGAGGTGGGAGAGTGTTAAGTTTTCAACTTAGTTACCTTGAGTTCCCGTTTCGAAATAGGTCTGGATGGGTTGAACTTTATTTCATGGAGGACGTCGGAAATGAATCTATACTTAGCTGCAGGAGCATAATTAGTGTGGTTACGTTTAGGCCAATGACGTACCTGAACATGTGCAAATTTATGGAATCAAGTGAACCTGCCGCATTTACCTATCTAGTGCTCAGAATAGTTCATCTTTTTTGAACTAGCTCGTTCTAGAACTACACATTTTTTTCGAAACACAAAATGTTTGAATGATAAGGAGTTGCCGGTTTGGTGATAGTGGTTATTACTCTTTTATTCAAGTACTTTTATGTCATTGACTTCTATTCTAAAATCCCTTAATTCGGGAAATGAATCCACCAATCAGTTGGAGATCTTGAAGTGGTGAATAGTTTTTACTCAATAAACATTTTTAATTATTATCTGATTTATTGTTTTACTCTTATTATTTTTTGGCCTGTAGTCTCTGAGAAATGTAAACAAATATAGAATAGTATGGAAGAAGAAGAAAAATAAATTTTACTCTGGGACTAAGTCCCCTTAAAATAACTACAATGTACAATTTAATGATAATTGTCTTGCATTGGAAATAAATTAGATTACAAGATTGTCTAGACCTAAGGTTACAATAAAGAAAAAGCACTGTTAGATATACGAAATCATAGATAAATTCAGATATGCGAGTTCACATTTTTTTTACACATAATCATTGTGGGTGATATATAATTATCTCTCAGATAACATTAAAACGATAACAGATCTGAAAAGCGTGAACATTATTTTTCACATATTCAGAAGATTGATTACTGAGGAGATGGATAAATAAATTATGTTTAAATGAGGTTAAGGATGATGATTTGCGTATGGAAGTTGGTAGTGAATTCCAAAACAAGGTAGCACACAAAGGATTTTTTAAAGGAAACAGTTCTATGAGAAGGAATAAAATAAAAGGTTTGAGGGCTGGGATCTCTTGTTGAACGAATGGACAGAGGAACTAGAAGTAAACAAATCAAGAATGTAAGAGGGTTTTTTGGTTGACAAGGTTCAAAAAAGGAATACACCTAGGAAGTATTGCTGTCGGAAGACTGGATATAGCCACTGCAACTTGGCATACCAACTGGAGACGTGAGAGCGCATGGGGACTCCATAAATGGATCTAATGAAACAATTGATTAGTCTCTTTAATCTGATCTCAAGCCCACCAGACAGTCCACCGTATACAAGGCAGCCATAATCGAAATGAGATAAAATTAGTGAGAAAAATAGGAGCTGACGTATTTTAAGGGGCATAGAATCACGGAATCTAAGGAACTGTTTTAGAGTAACAATGGATTTTCGAATTTATATATATATAAATAATAGTGTTTCCCTTTATTGTATTGCCATTTTACATGAGAGCTAATTATTTTTAAATGTACATCTTAATCAGCATGTACATAAAATCTTATATTTACTAAATTCCCATTATTTTAATTTTTCAAATGATTGATATTTGATTTGCTATTATATGTACCTTAAATGTGATACATCCAGTATGAAATTACTCTGCTTATAGTGGACATAATTTCTTACTTCTAGTGACATTGGGTGTGTGATATTCAGGAAAGTGTAGTTCTCCATCCATTTCTCTTAACTTAATTCTTATTTGACTGATTGCTCGACAAATCTTATTATTAGTTAAATTTATGATGTGGATATTAAATTTATAATATTATTTGACGTGGATGGTTTTTGGATTAAGCTACAAACAGTATTAATTTATTTTTACTCTCAAATTATCTAGTTAGATGACGAAAACGACATTACATTTTAAAGCAATTTTAGTTTTAGTCAATAAAAATCCAATCATTTTTCTCATATTAGTAGAGGTGTTGTAAATAAATATCTGATCTAATTCTCTCATAATTTATATTTTTCTAGATGTCTTGGAGGTTATTTAAGAAAATACTATTACCTGTAATAAGAGTTAGATATTCTGAACAACTATCCATTTTTCCAATATGTAGATACTCTTCATCTAGTAAGTTTGAATATGAAAACTTTTTACTATTTATTGATTTATGTGGTAATTTTGTTTAACAAGAATAAATAACTAAAATAATACATTTTTTCATAATAGTTTCTACTTTTGTTTTATTTGTAGATCTTTTAATTATAAAAAAGATTGGTGTTATCACATGTATTGGTCTTAATAGACCAGATTCGAAGAATCGCTTTAGTGTAAATCTAACGAAAAAGTTAAAAGAGGCTGTTGAGTCTTTTGAAGAAGATGAACTTTCACCTGTTGCAGTGTTGTATGGGGAGCGTGGAAATTTTTCTTATGGTTATGATGTATCTGAATTTCATGAAAATTCAAAGTATTTTAATGAAATAGAAGATATTGTTAGTATACAGAACAAGTAAGGCTTTAAAAATACTTAATAGTTACTTAAATAAATATAATCTTAGTTTAATATTTTAGGCCTTGCTAGAAACCTTTACTTCCAAGCCTATTGTTGCAGCAATAAGTGGGTTTGCTGTTGGGCTTGCGTTTGATATAGCCCTTTGGTGTGATTTCAGAATTGTGGAAGAAACTGCTGTGATGGGTGGTTATGCCAGAAAATTCGGTAACTAGTATTCATAAAAAAATCATTCTAATTAAGGCGTTAAACTATATTGTACTGAAATTATAAGATAATAGCCCATAAAAACTAATTATGGAATAAATAGGCAAAATAATAAGTCTTTAGTGTGAATAAAAAAAATGAAATAAAGAATAAAACAATTTTTGTTGTTTTATTAAAACTCTTCTTTTTAAAAATAGCAATGTCATGATAAAGTTATGATTATATTTGCATTACTGATTTATTTTATGTTATTTTTAATTTTTAATCTTTTAAGGATTTTTATTATCACTACTTTTTATTTATTTATATATTTATTGTAAGAAATTTATATATTTTCATTCTTAACATTCTAAGTTAAAGTATAAAAAAAAAAAAAATAAATAAATAAAACTGGGCAAATAAGTTTTAAAAGTCAAAGATGAAAGTGTATTGACGTAAAAACTGCCTTGAGATGGGGAACAAATTGTAAAAAAATTGTAACAAATTACATATTTTTCAAAAAAGAGTTTTAATTTCATTCTTTACAATAAATCCCGTACTAGATAGGAAATATTAAGGAGAAGAAAAAAAGAATGCCTGAGAACCTAATTTTCACTTAATTCCTGGTTAGAAAATAATATTCCAAATGGGCTGGATGTACATTAAGTAATTATGTGGTTAATATTATTGAGTTGTTATTAAATTTTGTAAGTATATTAACCCTCAAAAGGGCATGTTGTAACAATTAGATTGACACTTGTGATATGAATACCATATTCAATATTATTGATTGCGTAAGATGGATTTTTGATGAGATATATGGGCTCTGCTTACTGCTACTTCTTGTTTGTTTTCCAATATTGCTAATTATTCAGAACAATTAATTATACTTAATAATTTAATTACAGTATTCACTTAATAATATAGTATATACTTATATACTTAATAATTTAATTAATTAATACAACAATGAGTCTAAATGATTTTTGTAGGTGTTCCTATATCTGATGCTGTAGCAAAAAGGTTGTGCTACAATCTAGGTGTGAATAAAGCTCTGGATCTCATGTTAACTGGTCGAGTTTTAAAGTCAAAGGAAGCATTGGAATCGGGTATTGCAACTAGAGTTGTAGCATGTGGAACAGGTGAAAATTATCATTATCGATATATATATATACATATCTACTGTAGGATTTATGTTGAAAAGTCTTAAGGTAAAGAAATGTATTAATAATGTTGTTAATTTTGTTGGAACATTAACTGCTAATGTCTATTCTAATCATTTGTTTATTCATTTCTCTCTCAAGGGATCTTGTTTTTCATTACTTATATATGGGTTATTACATTCTCTACAGAGCTACTCTTTCGAAACAGTTTAAAAAATAACAAGATAAATTCCCTTTTGAAGCTATTTAAACTGTTATTATATATTATAATTAAAGGAATAGTTGGTCTGGGGATGCAGTTAATATTCTCACACTTTTGCTATGGTATTTATTTATAGCCTTTGTTCAAGATCTTCATCAGGACTAAAAAGAACAAAATATAAAAAATTACTATTAATCGGTATAATATACAAGGTACAAAAAGTAAAAAATAAAATATTAGTTGGTGCTAAATACATACAAGAAATCAGATACAAACTATTTTTTTTCTTCTTATAAGAATTCAGTATAAGAATCTCTTATTTATCTTAGAATTGAGCATAAAAATCTATTAAATCTATCTTTTTTTTCTAAGAATGCAATAGAATAATTTATCTTTTTTACCTTCTAAATTAGCTCTTTAGCTTGTATCTGATATACTCTACCAATTTAACATCAACTCCTGTTATTTTTATGTACTTTGAACCTTAGTTTTTTTTATCTTGTTCTTTTCATCTTTAATGAAAATCTACATCATTGGTTGAAACATAACTATATGTTGTTATAGTTTATCTAAGATAAGGTTCCGTGTAGGGGAAGAAAGCTCGCGCAGCTTTCCCCCATTCAAGTTCCACCTCCCCAAGACCTCTCTCCAGATCCATTTCTCCTCTTCTCCATAGCAACCACCTTACACCGGGAAAGCACTATTCCATTTTCTTCAAATTTTGCACAAATGTTTATTAAAGGTAGATTAAGAAAAAAAATACTCCCAGCCTCTTGTTTTCATGAATTTTTTATATACCTTCAAAATTACATTTTTTCTCTGAGAGTAGTTAGTTTTTCCTCTACCCAGTTTATTTGACATAATAAACGAAAATTGATATTAGAATTTTTTTCAAAAAATGATGAAATTTCTACTTGTAAAAAATTTTGTAGAAGTACGTACTAATGAGTAGAGAAGACAAAAGAGTGGGGGATTGGTGGAAAAATGTTTTTCCACTGTGCGTCTCTCTTCCTCTCTACCCACCAGCAAACTTATCTTAGATGTAGTCTACATTGGTTAAAACTACTATGGTTTACAATGATATTTACCTATTTTGTTTGTGTACTCCATTGTCAATGTCGTGTTTTTCATTATTTGTACTTAAATGTTATCTGGAGCAACAAATTTCTTGCCTAACAATAATTAAATAAACTCATAATTCATAATCTGGAACTGCCCAACTAAAGAAGAAATAAATTTAATCGTATATTTAATAAAACATTTATTTTTGAATTGAGGCTTGACATTACAAATCAATTAAAATGAAAAAAAAAAAAGTGTATTTTGAGTGGTCAATGCTCCTTTGTTTTTATTAAAATCCATACTGCTTCTTATAATAATTCTATAGGCAGCATTTTCTAAGAATTTTCGGCTGGTAAAAAAATAAATAAATACATACATATACATATATATATATATATATATATATATATATATATATATATATATATATGTATATGTTACGTGCTAAGTATTGCATGATGCAATATCATGCAACAAAAACTTAGCCAGAAAAAAGCCAAAATTTGCAATTTCGTGGAATATCAAATTTAAATATATTTTAATGTCCAAAGAGTAAGCTAATTCTTAGATAGGAGGATTATGATTAAATCATAATTACTTTATTTATACAATAATTACTTTAGAAGTAAATTCTGCTTCGTTGTAAGTTTATATTCTTTATTTTGTTTATATTAGGTAAAACTTCATAATCTTTACTATACAGTTATAATGTTTATTATTCCAGGTTTAGGTCAAGCTGTTAATTTTGCAAATTCATTAGCTAACATGCCGCAAGCTTGCCTTAAAGCAGACAGGGCAGCAATACTTTCATTTAGTAAAAAGTATTCTACAGAACATGTTAAAGATATCATAATGCAGATAAAATGTACACAGAAACAAATTGCTTTGGAGGTATCAATTATTAGTATCTATTTGAAAAATATATATATTTATGTTTAAACTTAAAAAAACTAATTAATTCTTGGTTCGTACCTATACTGAATAAATTCAGTGAATAATGACCAATTAGGAGGCACTTCCTTGTTAGGAGGAAGCTAACGTAACAATAAAAAAATTGAAAGATTTAGGGAGAATCAATTGATTATTGATTCTTAAGAAGAAGAAGAAAGTAAATTTTATTCTGGGATATTTAGTTCTCAAAGAATAACTACAACAAATAAAAATATGATAAATGTCTGGTATTTTAAGAAAACAAAAAAATAATTAGTTAACATAACATAATAATCCAACCTTAAAATAGAAGTAAACTAAGTACCAGTAAACATATTAATTTCCACATAAATTCATAGCAGATTCTAATTATAATACATAAAATAAACAACTATAATTCAATTTTATTGAAAATATTTGTATTATTAATAATGCTGATACATGATAATAAACTTGTAGATTATTAAGTGGGATACTGTAGAAGTTAGAAAATTTAAACCTTGGCAATAAGATTGCTCCAAAACTAAAACTACTTCTTTTTCCAATTTTTAGAACGTGCTTAATGCTACATAGAAGACTAACTTCTAGTTTTATAGAGAAGTCATCTCCAAGCCAATCAATCCATTAGTTTTTCGTTAGGTGATCTAAGAAATTATTCTAGTTATGGAAAATATTACCCCCCAAGGAATGGTGTTCTCTCCTTTTAACTGGACGTTGCAAGCTTTCATTTGAGCTTGTGATCTATTTTTAGGTTAAAGCTATTTTTAACTTAGGTAGTAGCGATTAATGAAAGTAGGTTGTTGGTCAAAGACTGTTCCATATGTATATTTATATCTACTATTTGACTTACATTATATAGTTGTTACAAATATTATAATATTGAATTTGTTTAAATTATTTCAATAAAATATTTTTCAGGAAGCTGAAAAAGGTCTCTATATTACCGAGAGTGAAGACGTTAGAAAGAAGGATAGTTAAAAAAAAAAACTTTACCATTTACCTTTAGCTGTGGTTGAAGGTATTTTAATTTTTTCTATTGATATACAGTGTAAATAATATATATTTTTTGTTCAAAGAATCTTTATCCTCTTTTACCCTTTTTAGTGTAGAGTAATGTAATTTGTTCAGAGTCTACAGGCTACTATGTATGAAAATGAAATTTGTTGGTCGTTTTGATATTGTAGGTGCAAAACATCTTGGTCATCAGTGCCCGATTAATAAAATAATAATATTATTAAATATTAACATATTAACATATTAAGTTGGTATGATAGTATAAAGAAGTCTTTAAGAAAAAAAATTAACTATATAAATAAATAGAGAAATAAAAATGAAATAAATAGAAGAAAAAGAAATAGATTAAAATTAATGAAATATAAATAAATAATAAAAAGTAAATAACGTAATAAGTAATAAGTAACATATAAAGAAAAATGATTAAATGAAAAAATATAGAATATAATAAAGAAAATTATTATTTTATAGGATCCATTACTGTCGTTCCTCAATTCTATTGATACATTTTTCGATATCCCCATATCTTTTAATTTACGAGTGTTGGAAATGTTAGAAAATATGAGCTATTGTCAAGATACTATTGCAATGACAGCATCTAGGTGGTGCAGCTTTTGTGACGAGATGGTGGTGGGCCAATCTTGAATGGCTGATCCCAAGCCCGGTATGGACGACTTCTTCTCTGCAGATGTTGCGAGTAAAGGAGCTGCTAGGTCTAACATCTCCTAGATCTAACATCTTATTAGTTTGAGTTTGCTTGGAGCACTCTTGTCCCGCATATCCTGCCATTCCTTATCGACATTATCGTTAAGCTGACATGAGAGATCTGATGGTCTAAGTAGTGCCCTGCCATGACTTGGAAGAGAGAGTGCCTCTTTTGCAAAAAATCAAAAAGAAAAAAAAAGTGGAGGAAATTTTAAATCGTAATTCAAATAATTCAAGCAATAAGTTCTGTTAATTTCCCTGAAATGTCTGGAATAATTTAATTTGGCTAGTTGTTTGAAGGATTAAGAATCTTAATTCGAACATGGAACTATTCTACCTCGATTGCCAACATTGTATTTGATAACAAATGTGAATGACTTCTGGAAAGCCAAACAATTCCCCTAAAAATCTGTTTAGGAATGTAGCTTCTGAACCATGGAAGAAAAAGATAAGGGAAGTGCAGCAAATCAAGACAAATATTAGGTAATAATATTTTTTTCTGAAAAAACTTTTCAGTTCAATTACTTCGAAATTACTTCGAAGTAATTTTACTTCGATTTGTATTATGAAATAATCAAGTTGATTTTTCTATTGTTTTAATATGTAGTATAATTCTTCTTTATTATTAAACTATAGCTTCCCTAAGTTATTTCTACATCCTTATGTCATGTTTTTATTTCTGTACACTAGAAATAGTATTCATTCTTTTAAGATTTTTTGTCCTGATCCTTGAATTGAAAAACTCTACAAACTTTTTGGGTATATTTAAAATTAGGCAGGTTTCAATTTTTTTCAGATATTTTTTTTTAGAGAATAGCTCTATAAATTCAACAAATCAGTCAATAAAGGAGTTGCCTCAGTCAATGACCTCTGACAAAATTTTGTTGGACAATGCGGACATACAGACAAAAAAATTTTTAAAAGTGGATTTAGCATCTGTAATGTATGAAACGGAAAGATAACTGGTTGATTCTATTCAATGTACAGACAAAACCTTTATTTTATTTATATTGATTATCTTATTTTTTTTTATATACCTGTCTCTCTTATTTTTTTCTACTTTATTGAAGTTTTGTATAACTTTATGTTAGTTTATGGTGTGGTTGTTGCATTATGTTTACTTTAATAACTGACTATAAAAAATAATCATTTTATTGATTTAGTAAACAAATTATTTTTTATCATTATAAAATCCAAAAATGAAAATTTGTTGACATTAATTTATATAAGTCAATGCATAATTATTGTTTTTGTACGTTGTTCATAACACTCATAAGCAGAAGTAAGTGATGATGAATCCAATAAAGAAAGATAAAGTATAATGCAAAAATATTTCATAATTCTCAAGCTGAAAAAAAAAAAAATCTTGATTATCAGGGCACAAAAATATATTTCTTTTAATAGGTAAAGAAATAATATTTTAAACTATAGCTTACTATTAAATAGTTGGTACATGTTAGAAATTTGTTTCCTGTGATTGGCAAACTCCTTTGAGGAAAGGCTGCATTGAAACTTTTTTCTACTATCAATTTAACTTTGCTCCTTTCACACATTTGTGTATTAACCCTCAACTTCATTTAGTCTCTACATTCTTCATTGCCATTTATTCATTTTATCTACATGAGTTAATAAGGTGGGAAGTGGAATGGTAAGATCAGGAGAATTTAGTTAAGACAGTCCTGCCTTACTATTCAGAGGCAAAAAAAACAACAAAAAAAATCATTTTATTGGTTTAATAAACAAGGTACTCTTAGTAAATACTAGTACTTACAAGATAGTATACACAGTGCTGGCCTTAGACATTTGGCCCCTCGAGTAAGGACATCATCTGCCCCTCCTCCCCCAACAGTTAAATTTATTTCTTAAGCTGTTTTATTTTAGGTAATATTTAATCTTTATTTCATTCAACATTTCTCTAATATATTTTATTGTATTTACTTTATTGATAGGCTAAAATGATTTTAATTTGTTTTGTATTTTTTTTTCAACTTCTAATAAGTGAGGTTGGTGCCCCTCCAGGTTCCTGCTCAGAGGCCATTGCCCCACTCTAAGTCTGGCATTGACTTTGCATAGGGAGTTGGCAGCCCCATCACCCATCCAGTTAGGATGCAATCAGCTATCCTGCAAGGGTTAACTGTCCCATGCAGTTACTTGGGGGGGTAACGTCCCCACGGGTCACAACAGTTCAGTACACCATGTGCATCTACCAGAACAGTACACATGTACACCTAAACACAACAAATAGCCTAAAAATCACACACACTAACAGTACACATCCTAGGGCTACCTTCCCTAGGAAGCCACTCCAGATGGAGGAGCACCTTCAGGAGGCTCTGATATAAATCTCTGCGTTGATATAAAGTGGCACTTCCGGTTGGCCGATTTTAAGGAAAAAGTTGCTGTCACATCTAAGGCATATACCTAACTTAAATACGTAATATCAGTTTCGTAGGACTTTTCGTTTTTGAGCTAGACTGCTAACATACAAACACACAGACACAGACAATTTTTCGGGACTTGGTCATTTCGACTCAGGATACATCAAAACGTGTATTTCCGTTGAAAACAGATTCAACAATTTTCTGGATCCCAATACTTACCCTTACTATATATTACATATATACGTAAGTGAAAGTAAAAAAAAGGGAAAAGTTCACTAAAGATGCATACATAACATATACTTAATTATATTACTTGTCCTTGAACTTACTTTAAAAGCGATTTCAGGAACAATATCTGTTTCCAAAGCCTGTGTAGAAGATTCTTTCACATGAACATTTAGCTGAGTAGATTCTTCTCTGAGGGTTATGAAATCGCTATTACTTCGTACTAGTCTGTGTCGTAACATCGTGTTTCTAATTTCATTACTCACTTACTTCCTGAAAGTTATTAAATTCTTAGTGGTTCCCAATATGTTAAAATTAGAAAGATACTTATTCTTTATGTGATATAAAAGTTGTCCAATCCTCTTTAAAATGCACGCCCGTAACGCTTGCATGATTTCCCAATGTAACGTTACTACCTTCATTTTCCTTCAATTATCTCATATCAAAGGAACTGACGATGGGTATATAAGGTTCTACATGGTATAACTAGCCTTAACGATCTTAAATCGGACAGAGAAAATGTATTGAGGGCATCCAGGACACAGATCTAAGAAAATGGCGAATTTCTTTTATATATATGTATGATTTATTTTTTCATAGTTTCAGAATCATAAAATCCTTGGATACGCAGCTGATATAGCTGTCCTTGGAAGTAATCAAGAAGACTTGAGCAACTCGCTACAACACTGGATAAGAGAGGCAGAGCAGATCGGTCTACAAGTAAATGAAGATAAAACAAAATATATTCTAATAAGCTGAAAATTCCACCCCAATAACAGGATCTACGTATAAGGAAAGTTTCTCGAAAGCAGACAAATTCAAATACCTCAACTCCACAATAACCTCAATGAATGACCAACGGCAACGGGCAGAAATAGACCAGTGTATAACTAGTGCAAAGAGAACTTTCTTCTCTCTATCACTAGCGGATCCAGGAATTAATTTTGGGGGGGAAGGCTTCAGCCCGAAAGCTCCCCCCCCCCCGTAGATCCGCCCGTGCTCTCTATCAAAGGTATTGAAATCTCGAAAAATCTCAAGCTAAGGGTATAAAATGTTATGATAAAGTCAGTTTTAATATATGGCTCTGAGACCTGAACACTAACCAGCAAGAAAGTGTTTAAAGATTTGAGAGGGAAATCCGTCTCTCGATAACTAAAGCGAAGAACTTACAGAAACTGGTTGTGGTGATTTAATTCCACTCTTGTGGAGGAAGATTGAACTACTTTGTTTAACCTGACTTGTAACCTTTTTACCTTCTGTAAATTCTGTTGATATATTTAAGTCAATAAAAACCTTTCTAAGGGTAAGACATTCGTTTTTCTTTTACCACACTGGTCAATCAATATTCCATGATATGAAGGTACGGAGGTTAAGATGGTCGGGGCATGTAGCTCGTAGCAATCCATCTGGAAGCCTCTACGAAACAATGAATGCCTCAATAGAAGGCAAAAGACCACTTGGCAGACCAAAAAGCAGATGGATAGATAGGATCAACAGATGCAACAGAGCTGCGTGAAGATAAATGGAAAGAAATAGCTCAAGACATGCAGAGATGGATGAGGCTTGTTAAGTCGGTAGAAGATCTATATTTTCTGTAATGCTGAAAGAAAAAAAAACAAGTTTCAGAACTAGAAGTTTACAGCTGTTGTGAGTATGTACCGTTGTACAATAAATTTATGTTTCAAATAAAAAAAATATATTACATTTATTGGTAAAAAATAAACACTATGGAAAAAAATAAATAATATTCATTGGAAAAATAAAAGAGGCTATTTTAGAGCAGAATATGTTTCATTCTCTTATGTTTGTATTTGGGTGATGTTTTTGTATAACCTCCTATTTCATCTATTAATGGATTTAACAAGAGTTGAGACTGAAAGAAGACTAGCGTTGTTTTGTAAATATATTCTTGTATGTAGGGCATATTTAATTTTGAGTGCATTTTAATTATTATGTTATAATAAGGTTAATTTTGATAATTCCTAGGCATTTGTTTTGAAAAATGGCGAATATTAAGTTGAGACGTATTTCAGAGCTATAGGAAAGCAACATAAAAGAAAACCATGTGAGTAGAGCTTTGGCGGAGAAAAAAAATCAAGTTAAATATTTCACCCTTTAAATAACTTATGACATCTCTTATATAAAAGGTAGCGTGCAAAATATATAGTAAGTTTTAAAGTATATTTTACCATGAGGTGGAATATGCATATGACTGACGTACAGAGAGACAGGGAGATTCAATTTTCTCCAAGGACTTTAACAGCAGAAATGCATGACATTCTCACTTCTGAACGGATAATTTAGGTGTCCATGTAGAAGAAGAAAAAGGATACTTCAATTATGCGCAAGCAATTGAATAATCGTAGCCAACATAAGAATTTACGAGATAATAGCCAAGAAGAAATGAAAAGTCTATCAAAAATACCATTTCTTAATGAAAAATTATACTGCCAATAACTTGATCTAGGTGAGAGTCAATAGAGGTTTCGAGATAAGAAGCGGTCATCTGTTAAAAATTGATTTGGTATGGAAGGGAGAGAGGAAAATCAGAAAGATGGCTAGGTCATTAAAGACGTGATAAATTGGTGTAAGTTAAAAGAAAAGGATGGAATTGCTATTACCACGGGCGGATCTACGGGGGGGGGGGCTTTCGGGCTGAAGCCTCCCCAAAATGGAAAAATATAACCATGTTTTATGGGAAAAAATACCTCTTAAAGTATTATTGTTCGTGTAATTACATTTAAAAGTTCTTAAGGAATAACTTAAACACCATTTCATATAGGTAGTTAGTTTCTTTCTGTTTTCCAAAGTAATTATCGTTATTTTTATGAAAAAAAAGGTTTTGGGCTGAAGCCCCTCCCCCCCAAAATAAATCCTGGATCCGCTAGTGGTTATTACCAGGAAGACATTGAAAAAATGGTCAGAGACTTGAGCTACACATGGGACAAGGAGGATTTAGAAATATGGTGGTTTATTTCAAACGCAGCAGTGGATGGTGGTCCCGTGATGTCAAAAAAGTAATTGAAAATGATACCTCAAACACAAAACGCCTGAGAACTTTGAGCGGTGGAAGAGAAGTATAATCGAGACCAAGAACACGGTAATAGAAGCCAAGATCCAAGACCTGGATCAACTTCGGAACACATTTAGAATCAGATTCCCAACAAAATCAAACGTTATTTTAACATAGATTTAATAAATTAAGAAAAGAAAGAGTGTCGACTTTGAATTCGACAAAGACAAAGAAGTTAATAACCTCAGACTAAGTAACCAAATAATGGAAGGATCGAGAGAATATTTCGAGGGTCAGATGGAAGGGAATTTACAGCCCCCTAAAATAGAAGAAGACGAACTTATGTAAGCGCTATACGAAGCTGGGAAAATCTACAGGTAACGATAAAGTAACCGCTGAAACACTAAATCATGGTGGCCAAATATTTTTATGCATATTTTGAACTAGTATGGAAACAAAAGAAAACACCGAAAAAAATATCTAAATTGAGAAGTAGCTATTATCGCCCCAATTTTTAAGAAAGGAAATAACAGAGACTGTAATAATCATCGAAGTATATATCTCTTAACTGTTTGAAGGAGAGGACAAATACAGTTTTAGTGAAACTCGAAGCACCCAGGACCTTATGTTTGTCATGAGAGTTCTTTTAAAAGTACTAGAAAAAGACTTTGCTATTCTGAAAGCCAAGGAAGGAATGAGAAAGTTGAGACTTTCTCATAAATTATCATATAAATTTCGGTGTACCAGGTCACCGTACAACGTGTGATTTGCACACAGTTTAGTTCGCACGGCCACCCCGCCCCCGAGAAATTCCCACCTATGATAAGCCAATGTGAGAGCTGGGTAAGTCTCGAGCGAGAGGTTCAAATGAATACAAAAGTGTCTGTCTTTAGGTCGACAATTATGACGTATTCTTCAGAATCGTGGCATTTGACTGAGAAATATAAATCAAGAATACAACTGAAATATTAGAAATGAGATTTCATCGGAAGATTGACAGCAAAACTAGAAGAAATCGACTCCGCAACACCACTATCAGTATACCAATACACCAATACCTCTGCCGAACCTCTTTGTCAAGCCAGAGAATGAAGTAATAAAATATAATAGACTGTGATGGCTAAAACAGGTTTTACCAATGGAGTCTAGCTGAATTGCTAGCGAGACTTACCGAGCCCAACGTAGAGAGGAAGGGGACGACCTGGAACTATGTGAGAAGATGAAGTAAAGAGGAACTTCCCGAGAAGACTTCAAAGGACCCAGTAGAAGACAGCTAGAGGAAACTGACGGAGCTGGAGAGGGGTCTATGGACTTCTTTCTCACACTCAACAGAAATGAATATGGTGATGACGATGATGAGGCCAAACAAAACGCTATCGTTTTGTGCACAAGCACTGTAAGGATCTGCTCTAAGTTATTTATCTGTATAGTCGCGGCAGAGGTCTGTATACTAAGTTGGACAGGTACGGACTGTTTAGGAACACCTCATGAGGCTGAAGTACAAAGCGGAGAATCAAGGTAGAAGATCGATTAGCCGTTATAGTTCCGTTGGAAGGATTTAGTTGAGATCCAGGAGACCAGTAACCGATTTTTAAATCTACAATTCTTTGTTCTTAAGAAAAAAAAATCAGGCTGAAGAAATAAATTGTTGAGAAGACTCATTGATCCTCAGAGTTTCTGATCTACAGATTGATTCGTATATTTGTTGGCGATTTATACTTATATACATCTACAGACCTATGGCCTCCAAAAGAATTAAATTGTATATATTATTGTATTTTGCATGATTGTTGACTATAATTGCATAACTGGCTGTTATTTAAGTAACTTAAAAAATAAAATATTTGTTAAAAATGCGTGAATTTCTTATTAAAGACACATATCGTTTTATTAATATAAAATCAAGGAATTGCTTTACATACCACGTATTATTCTTTTGATTCATTAATTTATGACTTGATGATCTTGGCTGTGTAAATATGACATTTGAAAGGTTAAAATTTTTATTGTTTGTCATTGTGTATTAAATCAACTCCAGCTGTAAAAAAAAGGCCCAAAGGAACTATTACATATAAATGTTTATGTATTTCGACGTTTTTAGTTACTGTAGTTATTTCATCAAGTGTTGATCTAATGACATATTTGAGTTCTTTCAAAGAAGAATTTTACGTAACTGTCATGTCAGGAAGTCGCTATTACTTACAATGAATATAACGAATCTTAATAATTTTATTTAGACTAACATGGCACTCACATACCAGAATTAATAGCCAACTTAACAGACGATATGGACAGCTGTATAGACTATTGAACTGAAAATCTCAATTTTCAGTTGAAAAAAAATACTAATTCACAAGACAATCCTGAAACTTATCTGGAGTTACAGACTAAAACTGTGGGGGACAACAAAACTTTCTAACATCAAATGCATTCAATCCTTCTAATCTAAAGTCTTTCGAACAATAGTCCATGCTCCCTTCTATTTAACCAATGAACCCCCCATAATGACCTCATATCCCATTTGTTCTTGATCTAATCCCAGACAAATTTTCCAAATTTCACCAGAACCCAACTCATTATCCCAATCCTGTAGCACAATCCCTATCTAGCTCCAGCCATCCCTACAATCCTCCTCGGCGGTTAATACGGTAGAGGCCCCGCAATCTTTTGTAAATATGTATATATTGGAGTACTGGCAATGACCAGATTCTCCATTCGAATCTGTCTGTTGCTCTGGTGTCCTCCACCAGTCTCCACAGGCTTCCAATACCAGTGACGCGGCACACGAAGAAGCACTGGAATCTCCTGGAGCCCTGCCTTGGCTTTCACATTTGGGGGAAAAAAACTATCTAACAGTAGTGATATTCATGTTTACGTGCGCTCTCGATGTTTTTTTATTAATCTCGGGTCATCAAATATGCAATTCGGCACTTTTTCGCATTTTAGTATTCGCTGATGAACAAAACTCGTGGATATGAAACTCGCATATGTTGAGGGATTACTGAATTTCCGAAAATGCCTTCTCCTAGAGATATTCTCTTATTTCATATTCTCATATGAAAAAATTTAGAGCTTGTAATATAGATATTTTTTAGCCCATGGAAATGGTGAGGAAGCTATACTGACCTTACTTGGCAGACGTTTTTTGTTCATATGCATATTAATGTACTTATTTTATTTTTCAATATTATTTCTATTTTAGTTTGTACGTACATATTATGTGAATAATAGATCTAGTCCACTGTAATAGATAAATTAATTCCCTTCAATTTGGGAGAATGTATTAATACTTGATAAAAAAAAAATTATTTAATGATAAATGTTTAAATCTTGATATAATAATTTTAGTATTTTCCTAAAGTATTTATGGAAAGTTTCAAACTTTCATCTTTTTTGGATCCAAGTTCATTAAAAACGCAAATTTTCGCCAATTCAGGAATCTTCTGAAGCTCAATCTAATAAATTCATAATAGTTAATTCAATTTATTTCAATGAATTTTGACACTTTCACTCTGCTGAGTACGAGGCTGCTACTTCATGATGGTAATTGGCAAAAAGGACCACGAGTGGGACCGATTCTGCTTATCAATTGGTATACCGATCACACTGCATTTGAATGGAGCGAATCTTGACCAATGTACGACAGTCAATCTCTTCGTAGACGGATATTTGCTTAGAGTGTGCTGAAATTAGTTCACAGTCAAGAAATCAGTTTATTTTGAGGTGCGTACATATTTATACGTACAGGTAATGAACTACAAGCAACTGCTTTATTGGTCGAGATCTGGTTAGTGTGTAAAGGAGGTAAGTCAGAACCATCATACCAGTTTACAGTCGTCGAGGTTCGAACTTCTTTCCGTAACATTAAAGGGTTGGCATTAAGTACCGTCTCGCCATATATAAAACCCCCTCTGCTCTAGCCATTTGGTTTGATGTGAATTTGTAGTCAAAAGTCAATGCTTCAGCGTCCCAGGGTCATATTAAAAGATTAGTTGTTCATTGTTCTAATGCGTACGTGCCCATAAAAATTATATTTAAATTCTATGATTCTAAAACATCGTTCTCAAAAATATGTAAAATTCTTTTATAAACTTTTGGAGACAATCATTATACTCATCGTGTAAATTTGTCCCATTGTTGTCTTTTATTTACCATTAGTGTGTTTCATTAGTTTGGGCTACTTATGAGTACTTACTAGGTTAAATTGCCACTTTCTTAGATTATTTTAACTTTTTTTAAAATTAATTAATTGCATGAATAAAATACCTAATAGCATGTTTGCTTGGATTTCGTTTTGTATTTAATAGGTCAAAATATGTTTTTCATTCTCAATGATTATTTTTACCGTCGAGCTCTTTGTTATTGTTTCGTAACCTGTTGTCGGTTTATCTTCTCAGTTGGGCGAACGATGGCTGTGTCTTTATTTAAAGGGAAATTATGGATACCCAAATCTTTCAGACTCTTCCAACAAATCAGAAATGGGTATATTGTTCTGTGAGTAATTCAGAAAATTTATTCCTAATCAACAGTGCACATTATTGGTTGATAGTTCTATATTTATATCTATTGCTTCTTATGTTGCAGCCTTCCGGAATCCAACCCGGAAAATTTGAATCAAAATCCCTTATTCAAAAGTGGCTTACCTGACTTTGAGAATTTAACGCTGGACAATTGTTCAATGACATTTGGAAAATATATTTTAGATTTTGAGCATTGCGTTCGTGAAACAGAAAATAAAGTTGTTGGTAATCTTCGTTTATATTATCATTGATACCTTAAGTTAATAAAATTGTATTTTATATACTTGTTCTTTTTCCTACCAGGCAATAAAGAAGGAGGTATTGATATTTTTGAAGATGTTATTGATCATTTTGAAGAATCAGGAGCTCAACTAGAAACTACATGGGGATTATTAAAAACTCTTTTCATGGTAGACAATAAACTAATTCCCCCTGACAAATATATGTCGCTTCATGAAAGAGCAAGGTCAGCTAGAAGCCTAAAGTATAGATCTCGATACATCTATAATTTGTTGAAGGTAAACAGTTTTCTTCATTTCTTTCATACAGGAGTGTAGTTTAGAGTCATATTATTAGAGAGAGTTGTATCAGAAATTGTTCATTGCCCATTATGTAAATTGGCCATCCTGTCTTCTGTATGAGGATTAGTCTTAAATTTTGCAATTATAGAGTTGTTCCACTTTGATGGGTGGGCATAAGATCTCATGATCATACTATAAATTAAATTACTATATTCCGGGTTATAACTTCTTTATTTATATCGCAATTTACAACATTTTTACTTGTTCTTTTCAGTTAATTATCTTAAATATATGCTGCTTTTGACTTCTGCTTGCTGCGCTTACTCATAATAATTCTACATACCCTGTACATATTATTCAACATTTGTCCTTTTCAGTTTAACAACAGGACCTTATTTGATGGTTGGGTCATCTCTTTCGAATTTATTTGGAATTAATTTATAATTTGATTTGATCATTAGATATTGCGTCCATTCATCAAAGTGGGGCCACATTTGTAAAATAGTATCATTATTTCGAAAGGATGCATTGGTTTATTATGGTATATAACATATAATACCATCTATAAGTACCCATCCCAACTTTTTTTTTCTCTTCACTTGGCCATTTCTGGTATACAAGGGGTGGCGAGGAGCATTATTCCTACAGGTAACACCAACCTTTTCTAAGCAGAGTGGGGAACCTGAGATTAGTTCCATCCACAAATTAAATTTGTATTGCCCAGCAGGCTTTTTTATTTATTTATTAGATTATTTCCTACTTCACCATTTCTGGCATAATGGGAGAGAAAGAGGAGGGTATTTCTAGAGGTACAACAGATTCCAACCATAGTGGAATCGTAGAGGTTCACTCTGTGGATCTGCAACAAAATAAATTTCAATCCATCTAGGTTTGAACTCAAATTTGAACCGGTGAGGCTAGACATTGGAATGGTAAAACGGGAATCACTCTAACGTGCTCGACCATCATGGTCTCATCTGTAAGCTGGATTTCAAACTCCTGCTGAACAACATATGGTGCTGTTAAACTTATGATTGCTTGGGTGACACCTCAATACTCAGCCGTCATGATCTCTTCCACCCATGTATCCAGATTTGAATCATGCATGGACCAAGATTCTATCAGTAGATGAAATGCCTGAAAATAGCTGAGTATGTCCAACAGAGATCGGAGGCCGCTGATATAGACCCCTTAATACTGGTCTAGTTCCAGAACACACAATTTTGGCTTATCACCTTCTTTCTTTTAATAAGCATAGATAACATTATGAAGTTATTTATGTATAGCATATTATTTAAATTGTATACCAATAATCGAGTATCGAATTAAATATTAATTTTATTTCTATCCGAAGATAATGATAATCATGAACCCATCTACTTTTTCTGACTATTATGCTTAATAATTACGTACTAAAATAATTAGAATACCAGGAATCCAAGTATATTAAATGTGATAAAGGTGAGAAAACAAATGAAAATTTAAAAGATAAAGGACTGTTCTTAGTATTGCAATTAATTACTTTGACATTTATCAAACAATTATGAGTAAACAGTTGCCGATCTATTTGTTTTCATGCTATTAAGATGGAGTTACTTTTGTTAAAAGATTTGATAGTATGGTAAGAGTAGTGTTATAGTCGAAGTCAACGTAATGAAAATTATTCCGCTAGAAATAATATAATCTGTGATTTCTAGGGATGTGATCTTAATAAACTGACAGAGGAAGAACAAAGGGTCGTCTCCAAGTTCAGACTGGAAGGAAAACTGAATGGGCTAGAACTTGGTGCTGAAGGTGCGGAACTTTTTCAACAAATTTTGATTAAACTTACAAAAGAAACTAATGATTTTGGTGAAAAGTATAAGGTATATTCTTTTTAAATCTAAATTTACTTATTATTTTATTATTAAACCTAATCTCAGTTCAGCATGATGGGGTTTGTAACTAATGTTTACCAAATTGGCTAATCTCAGTGGAGATGTTGCTTCAAAAATGAGAGGAAAAAACTTTAAATTAAATTTGACAAAATAAGTAATAAATTTATGTTGGCTGTTGGTGCCATGTTATTTTTTAAAATAACAGACATAACAAAACAATAATAACCTGTATCATAATACAGATTCTCTGTCAGTACTCTTTTTAACTTTAAGTCTTGATTTTCTTTTGGACACCCCTGCTCTTCCCCCGCCATAGTTCCTGAAGGGCTCAGGATGGTAAATGTGATTGCCCTTTATGTAGCTGGGCTGTTTGATCTGAGGCCTCTCCTGCAATACAGCTTTCTGCTGGCCCATTATCTCATCACAGATTCATCATTGGTGTGCATCGTTCTGTTTCGCATCTCCACCGCTCTTACTCTCTCGGAGATTAAAGTATCAAGATGTTGCCAACGTAATATATAAATCAAATATGACCTTATCAGTTTCTTACTAGGAATGTCTCATCTCATTGGACCAACAAAAGTTGGTAAACACCATATTTTTGGTGTTTGGCCTCTTATCCATATCAAGTTAAGTACAAGGTAAGAAAATTTTGGCCAACAAATCACAACCACCTACTTCATTGGCTGAAATGGGGTTATTGTACTGAGGAGACAAATTAATAACTACTTTTACCTAAATGTTCATAATAATTATAGAAACTCTTAATACAATGTCTATTGATTTAATTTTTTGATGTTGGTCCACATTATAATTAAGAAGCATTTATTTTATTTTTTTTTTTATTGTAAGAAATGTTTACATAAAAACAAAAAAAAAGACAAACAAACATTAAATTTTGATTAAAATATTCAGTATTGTTACATTTTTTAAAGTAAAATTTAAAATATTATTTTTGTCATTAAATTTTCATCTTCAAAATTTCTATAATTTGGATATTATTGACATATTAATATGACAGATTAGGAGATTAGGTTATACATTTATATATTATAAAAACTTTTAAAACATTGGTTATGATTTTTATAATGATAACAATCAAATAATAAAGTGAAAACTTTTTTATGTTTTATTTTTTTTTTCACATAAAATAAATGATAAATTTTAATAAACTATTTGTATATCTTGTGGGAAATTATTCCTAATATATCGCAAATGGTGTAGGTTAAGTTTAAGTTTTTGTTTAAATTAAATTATTTTATTCTATCTTTAGATAAGTTTTCCAAAGTATTCACATACGATCACAGATGGGATGGTTACTCGTGATTTTCCTGAAGATTTATTAAAAAGTTTATCTATAAATAGGTATGTATAATTAAAATTGTTATTTGAATTTCTTGCCATTTATTTAGATTTATTTCTTTATTATTATTTTTTTTATAACAAAAAGCCAAATAAAATAATAATACAATTTTTTTTATATAGAAGCGGAAATCAATATGAAGGACCTTGGAGTATAAACTTAAAACATGCTGAAAAGTTTCTGAAGTTTTGTCCTGATAGGCGGCTGAGATGGAATACTTGGCTTGCTCAAAGACAGATTTCAAGCGTTGAAAGCGGGCCACAATTGAACAACAGCAAAACTATAGAAGCCATACGAAAATTAAGGTACAACAAACTGGCATCTTTGTTAAATTTAAATTGTTATCTTTCTTCTTTTAACTCTATTGTAATTATAGGAAGGACATGGCTAATGTTTTGGGTTATATAACTTATGCACATATGTCAATGGAAACGAAAATGGCCGGATCTCTATCCAATGTTCAACAAACTCTGGATATTTTGCTCAATAAAGGTAATAGTGAACTTTTATGAAATTTAATTGAAATTTGAGATTTTAAGTGTGATCAGTGAAAAATAACTTTAAAAATGAAACAATTTGATTAAATTTTTATTAAATGCCAATATTTTTATCCGTCAGAGCCTACTGTGTGTAACAACTAAGTGCACTCATAGTACAGTGGCTAGCTTACTATTCTCTGATGAAGATGGTTCCCGGTTCAAGACTGGCTCCGCCATAATTCTTTTGAGGACGAAGTGGCCTTGCGGGCTAATGCGTGTGCACAGCACCGCACATTGCTCAGCAAGCTGATAACCGAAGTTATATTGAATAAAATAAGTATGAGTTCATGTCCCGGTGCCGGTGGGGTTTTTAACTCTGTCATTAATCTCCCGCCCTCACCCCTGGCCAGGGAAAACCCCGTATAGCCAAAAAGGTGAGGAAGCGGAGAATGAAAAAAAAAAAAAAGAAATGTATAACAACTGAGTTGTTTATTTGCAAAGTGAACTCTAACCATCATTGACAATTTTTCAGGAAATGAAAAAAAACTATATTTTCTAAACCAATAATTAAAAAAATATAAATTAAGAAATTCTTAAGACATATTTCTGAATATCGTTGATTATTTTATAAGAAATTGGAAACCATTGAAACTTGAATAGGACTGCTTTTATAACAATTTTAACTTTAATAACCAATTTAGAACAAAAAAAAAAGGTTGATTGGTTGGATTTCAGTTTGGAGAGAAATATTGGTGCATTTGAGAGGGAGAGGGGAGGGGAGTTATTAACATTTTACTATAGAAAATTAATTTTTTGTTTACAATTACTAAGTTAAATTAAAATAAATTTATTTTTAAATTTCATTTCAATAATAAGGCATAAAAAAGCTTTTGATGAATTATTTTTTTGTTAAATACGTAAGTAACGCATTATCATTAAATTCCTAAATAAAAAACGGTGAGTTTTAGAAATATACTTATTTTTTCATGTTTTTAAAATAAAATATTTGTATTTATGTTTTTTAAAAATTAGTTCTCTGTTGGATTCATTGTGTTTTTATATATGAATCGATTTCCAAATAGATTGATTTGTGTTAACTTAGGAAATATCCGACTCAACTATGATGTGTTAAAGGAATTAAATTTTTTTTTTTTTTTGAGAAATATGTTTTAAGAAAAAAATTGTTAATTTATCTATGATGTTAAAATTTATTAATATTTGATATCAACTAATTGAATGTTTATTTAGGATGCACTGTTTCAGGAGTCATTAAAACTTTTTTCACTATAAAAATCAAACGATCAAGGAAATTAACAATAACTATGTATTTTTCTTTTATTTGCTTAGTAGTTTTGTATTTTAATATTATTCCTTCAATTGATGGACATTTGGTCTAACCTCTTGTGGAGACGAGTTATTTTTAAAGCTAGAGGCCTGAGTTTGATTTCTTAATGTTTACATTGTTATGTTATAGTTGAGATAACTATAATTATTTTTTATTAATAATTGTGTTGCCAACAATGCATTATCTTGTTGGTCGAAGTTATCTCTTTGGCACTAGCTATGATTTAGTTTTTTTTTTTTGCCTACTTTTTGTTTTATCTATGCCATATACGATCAAACTCTTAGTATAGTATTTTCATGTTCTTTAAAGGTATTTGGTTTTGGGGATGGGCATGGTAGAACCATTTTTGAAAATTTTGCTGGGCAGCGAACGTTTTAATTGATTACTTTTTCATTGATTAAATCGTTATGTTAAACCATCTTTAATTGATTTTCAATAAAATTTGATGTTATTCTTTCATTAATTTATTCATATTGTAAAAATTATTTATTTTTTGTAGCTAAGCAGCTTCAGAGTAGTGAAATTGAGTCACTACAAGAGTTTGCTGAAGATAGAGGTTTTAGAGGTAGGCTTGAACTGTGGGATGTCCCATTCTGGGAAAGGAGACAGAAACAAGAATTATTCAAGTGAGTGTTTATCATCCATAATGCATTAATATATTTATGACTTTTATTTGTTTTAGCTTTGAAATTTTAGCCTTGATTATCATAAAGTTGTAGTAATTGAATTATTCTTAATTTAAATGGATTAATGACAATAAAGATTAAGCTATTAGTGTACATTCAAGTACATTCAGTTAACATAGTAATGTTTTCGTTATTTTTTTTATATAAAATTGTAATAAGAGAATTAATAAAACTCTTTTAGGAATGATCCTCATGTATAATTTTTTAAGAAATATCATTCTGTGGTTTCTCTTTAATTGTTATATCATGAATTATCATCATTATTAGTTTGATATATTTGTTTCAGTTGGGATGAAAGAAAGCTTAAAGAATATTTTTCATATGAAAAAGTTATTAATGGCTTATTGGATGTTTGTTCTGAAATGTTTTCATTGAGGTTTGAAGTGGCTAAATCCAAAACGTGGCACCAAGATGTAAAGCTGATAAATATTTATGATCAAGATTCTTCTAGACCAATTGCTGGTCTTTATATTGATCCTTTTGCAAGGTTAGCATAATCAGTTTTATTTTATTCTTTATTTAAGTGAATTTTTATTATTTACTTTATGATACTTCAATAGCAGTTTTCATAAAAGCCTGTAAGTGCAAAAATATTCATAAGAGTAACAAAGATGAACTTTATGAACAAGATTGTTTTTTCCAGTTTCTTTTGAATGCTTAAGATAATGATTCTTTTTATTTTAAGCAGGCATTGAATTTGAGAATTTTTCATTGTAATCAAAATATAAGTTATTTTTGATAAAACATATTGGCAATGATTTTTCATTAACATTTAGGCATTTTAGTCAAATTCAATTGATAATTTATATCTTTTTTCAGGTCATAAATAACTCTTATATTTGAACACTACTTTTTTTCTTAAAATAAAGCTCCAAAAATTATATTTTGCTTAAAATTAGTATATAAATATTTTATAATATGTAAAATAAATAATATAAAAATAAACATTTGTATGAATAGAAGTGAACAATATGCGGAGTCTCCCAACAAATATGAATAACTCCGAACTAAATTTTTTCAAAGAATATAAAAAACTTGTAGAAAGGTTTGCCATTGATAGAATAAATTCTTGGTATCTATTTACCTTGTTATAAGCTCTGTTTTTTTGTAGTGAAAATTAACTAATTAACTAATCTAAAATAAAATTTTAGAAAATATTTATTTCAGATATTTGAAAACTTAAAAAAAAATTGAGTTATAAATTGAGCTGTAAATTTCATGAATAAAATAAATAAATAAAAAATTGTATCACTCAATGTCAAATAAATCAGAGTTATTTTAAGTGTCAATAAAAAAAAGATTAAATTATAAGAATAAAAATGTATTCATGACTTGATTGTTTTATCGAAATAATAATAATTTTGATATTAAATCTCTTGTTTAAAATTTTTTTTTTAAATACCGAAACATCTGCGTAGAGTTAAATAAGTCTAATTATTTGTAATTTTATCTCTGATTACGTCAAAAAAATGGTCAAATTGTGATTACCAAGTATATTCTTAGTAACAAAGAATTTATTACTTTGAAAGGAAAGAATATGAAAAGTACGTTGATTTGTACAATAAGTAAAAGTACCAAAAAAATGGTCAAATTGTGATTAGCAAGTATATTCTTATTAACAAAGAATTTATTACTTTGAAAGGAAAAGAATATGAAAAGTACGTTGAATTTGTACAATAAGTAAAAGTACAAAAAAAATAGTCAAATTGTGATTAGCATGTATATTCTTAGTAACAAAGAATTTATTACTTTGAAAGGAAAAGAATATGAAAAGTACGTTGAATTTGTACAATAAGTAAAAGTACCAAAAAAATAGTCAAATTGTGATTAGCAAGTATATTCTTAGTAACAAAGAACAAAACGTATCGTCATCTACAGTCATAAATATCTGTGTCGTTATAAAAATATATGTTAAGATTATCTTTTTATCTTTTTTTACCTTTTCCCTTCAACAAGAAGTTGTAGTATGAACTGAAATGCCTCAAGATAAACATGTTGATGGCTTAAATGATATGGAAGAACAAGATGATTCCATAGTTAATAAAAGAAATTGTCGTATACACAATTTGAAAAGCAGATAAAACTTTAAAAGTATCGTAATAAGTATTTAATAATATACTATAATAGCTTACAATTATTGATAATAAAATCTCTTTATAATTTACATTTGAATTTAGTATAAACATTAATAAAGTTCATTAACAGCAATTAATGTGCATTTTCAGGGAAGGGAAGACTTATACACCTGGTCAGGTGGTCTGTATACGACCTAGTGCGAGGGCTCTTGGACCTTCCATACCTCTTGCTGCTATCGTATTCTCATTTAAACCTCCATCGTCTAAGGAACCCAGTCTTTTGGATTTTGAAGGAGTTGAAAATATTTTCAAGAAGGTGAATATATTTAATAAATTCGTCAGAACTATTAGTAATTAGTAATTCTAATTAGTAGTGTTGTTCTAAACAAAACCATTCTAGATTTGAAGAATTAGTTTATTTCAACTCAATTATTACTATTACAAATGAAAGTAAAATTGATTGAATAATTAAACTTTTAGAAACGAAGTTAAACTAAAAAAGTAACATTGTTTTCTCACATCGTATAATATTATTAAGTATGGCGTTCCCTTGGACTGTCCCATAAGTTGGTACAAATTAATAGTAATCGTTGATTAACCACCATTGGTTGACAGCCCAAGGCCGAATTAATGTGGCACTAAGTTGAAGCTAACATTTTGTTTCTTCCCTAACTTTCTAACATTACTTACAAAATTTTTACAAGCATAATTATAAATTAGAAGACTTCAATATTATCATGTCTATATTTGTGATTATTTTGTAAGTAATATCTGAGCTTTAGGGAAAATAATTAAGCTTAGGTGCCATATGAATTCATCCTTGGGTTACCAATTAATCGCGGTTGAACCTTAGTAATTCTATTAAGTAGTTTTTAGAAAGATTGAAAGAATTTTTTTAAACTAAATTATTACAAATGAAAGTAAAATTGATTAATAATTAATTTTGTATTATTAAACTTTCAAAAAACAAGTTGAAATGCTGTTGTTTTATCACATTGTAGTTTGCTGTTATAGTATTAAGCCACCTTAATGTTTAAAATATGGGCCAGCGCGGAGATCTCTGTGTTATTGCCACTAAACTGATATTTTTAAAATATTCCAAAGCTTAATTATATATACTGTTCTGCTATAATTAATCAAGTAATTAATTTTAAATATAGGTTTCCAATTACTGCACAGACTTATATTCAGGTAAGTAAAGGGAAAAAAAAAACTTCAATAAATTTGCTTACTGCATCGCCAAATTGTTGCAAATATTGTAAAATAATATTGAAACTAAAGAATGAAGTCCATAGTCATTTTGGTATAACTTTCAAAAAAAAAAAAAGAACTTCAACAGATTTGCTTAATGCATTTCCAGATAGTTGCAAATATTGTAAAATAATATTGAAATTAAAAAATAAATTTTATACTTATTTTGATAAAACTTTCTATAAACACTGGTGACACATCATGCCAAAACTCATTGTCGAAGGTCTAAAGACTAAAACTGATTGGTAACAAAAAATTATGTTGGAATAAAATATTTCTAGTTTATTCTTTTATCACTAATTTAGTTACACACAATGGTTATTATTCAAGCCTTAAAAGGCTTAAAATATTGTAACTTATTCCTAAATTTAATAAATCTAAATCTAATACAATTCTAGTTAAAGTAAATGTGATAATTAAAGACATTATTAATAATATAAATAATTAAACAATATATAAAAACCAAATTTTAGATAAATATTTCTCTATATTTGCAGAATCTTCTAAAATATCTATAAAAAATATGAACTCCCCTAATAAATTCCGATTCTTAACTTGGCCCCTATCATTATGAATTTATTGTTCAGCAGTGCTTTAATTATTTGTTTATACTTTGTTGAACTCTATCATTTTGTACTTGTTTTAGTTTGGACACGCTTTGCAACAGCTACTATCAACCGTAAATTATATAGAAGTTTCTGGGTTATCATATATTGAGTGGGATGCAGTTGAAGTTGTCAGTAACGTTATGTCTCTTTGGTAAATTCATATTTTTATTTATTTTCATTTTTCTTGAAATTATACGAATTCTTTTTTAATGTTATTTTTTTCTTTATATTAATAAAGGTTAAATGATCCTGAAATATTAGAAAAGATTTCTGGCCATTATAAAACTAACGAACCTCTCCCAGTTACCAGTTTGGATGATGTAAGAAGGCATCTTTCAGGGTATTATATGAGCGAAGAAATTTATAAAGCAAATTTGGACCTGGAGTTGCATAGTTCGTAAGTTTTTATTTTCCAGCTAGTTAGTATATTAACTCTTGATGACTCAAATTTAAAGCTTAATATTTTAATATTTCTAATTATTGAGGCAATAATGTTATTTTAGATATAAGAGCTCCAACCAAAAGAATTTGAGATAAAGAAGATAATCATAAACATATTTGTTATAACTAAAAAACAAAAAGTAATTATTATTTACTTACACTGTTTATGTTTCTCATACCTATTGTTATCTGGTTCTTTTCTCAGCCCTGAACTTTGGGTCGAAACGTCGGCAAATGTTGAAATAAATGTTATTATTTATTTTTGCCACTTTTATTTTGACTGATCAGCCCAACCACTTTCTCTTCATTATTCACTACAGTCAACCATCAACCCACAATTATAAAAAAAAAAAAAATAATTTTACCGACTGATTATTCCTATCCTTATAATTTGAGTAGTAGAGGTAATTGTTTACTGACAGGATGTTATTAAAATAAAATTTGGCTTATCTAAGGTCTTCACTTTTAGTAAGAAAAGTGAATAGTTCCTTAGACTTATTGATCTCAAAGGGTTGGGAAAAAAAATTGTGTTATAAAATAATTCAAGTTATTGATAATCAACTATATTTATAACTCAGAAATAATGACTGAAAGAAGTAGCATATTATGATTATTATTTTTGTTTTAGGACTGAATTTTGGAACAAAATTGTGAAGAGATTATGGCCAGAGCACTTCATTTTTGATCTGGATCCAAGTGACCTGCACCCATGCAGCATGGTTCAATCATTTGCTGGAGTATTCGGTGCCGCATATTTTTCTCATATCTGGGCAAAAATGCTTGCTCAAGATGTGTACACATCTTTTCAAGCGGAAAAAGACAAGAAAACTGTTGGCTTGAGGTAGTTTATTATTTGTTTTATTCTTGATTAATTAAAATTTATTGTGGAACCTTTTCAATTTAAAATTTGTTTACTTCTTGAATAGGTTCCGTGATACATTTTTGAGTTTTGGAGGAGCTTGTCATCCTAGTGAAGTTTTCCGGAGGTTCCAAGGGAGAGATCCCTCTCCCGAAGCTCTTTTAGCATCGATAGGAAAAAGACAAACAGAATCGTAACCAGCCCTACAAAAGTTTTGTATTTTAGTTGTATCCATCAAGTCTGTGATTGTTAGTATGTTTAGATTGCTTGTAAATAATTTATGTTTATTTTTAAGTAGACATTATATATAAAAGAATGACGTGTTCATATTATATAAACAACAAAACAAAAAAAAAAAAGCTGATTGTCATTTTCATTACAATGGTGTCATTATGTAATACGCTTTAATAGTAAACTATTGTAAATCATGGTAGCAATAACTGAAAATAAAGTTTTATATTTAATTCATTGTTTACAATAATGGAGGGAGAAACAAAAGAAGTACCATTTTGCCTCACAATTTTCTTATTTTGAAACTCACTATTGTGGAAGTAGCTATGAAGTGTTTTTCTAGAGAATACAGCATACAGTTATAGATATAATACTCATGAGCAATATTGTAGTGTAGTTTACTATAAATTTTAATTTATATTTATATTATGAAAATTTTCAGAATTACTGTAGAAATAATATTATCACTAGACCTAACAGAGTTGTACAAATCTATGTAATAAAAATGTACATAACCACATACCTTTGTATAGAAATTATTTTATCATTTACTATAAGTAGGATTTACCATATTGATTTGAGCATCAGATTCAAGCAAATCTAACAGAGACAATAAAGTGCTTTATATAAAATTTGATATTTTTTTGAGAGACAATTTATTGTTAAAAACCCTTCAAGATACAAATAAAACCTGAAATGTTCACATTGTTTCAATAACAAACATAGTACAAATTTGCACAAATAGCAAATCTGTTTATAAATAGCATGCAATAGTGAAGTATTATGATTAATATTTTATAGTGCAATGAACCTACTTAATTATTAATACAATAAAATTGGCTTAATATCCTAACTCGTCATGAAATGTCAGAGACCTATCTTAAATTGTTATTAGCTTGACATAATATGGTTTCTCCTTCTTTAACTTTTCTATAGTCTTTATTTTTCAGATTTAATCCATTAAAATGGTGTATGTTACATTTTTAATGTTTATAGGCATTAATAAATATAGAGTAAATTGTTAAACTAGTTATTTAAAAAAAAAAGTTTTTTTTTACTTTTCAAGAACTAGCTCACCAATTACTATTTAGAGTTGGGAATCCTGCATCACCACATATATTGATCTAGGTCTTCACTTATTTGATTCTATAAACCGTTCTTGGCATATCTGATATGTATTCCAATGGTCCGACCTAACTCTCTTATATTTTTTTTACAGTATTATCTATTGATTGATGAGAATGCTGTGTTGTTTTGTAACTCAACATAGTTGTATTTCTCTAAGTAGTCAGCCGAGGCCTCGGATTACCAATTATGGGAGGGATGAAACTTGTTATTACTTAACTACAATTTTAAGAACGGAGCTTTAGTCGAGAAACTTGACCAAGTAAAACGGCCTTAATAATCATTTTGATATTTATGGTCAACCTAAATGTAATCAAAGGGATCACATGTAATTCAACTGTTTGAGAAATTTCATAGAATAATTTACAGTATTACTTACTAATCGTTGAAACAATGATTATAAAAAACAAAGCATAAAATAAAATACTTTATTCATAGCAACAATGATACTTTACATTACTTATTGATATTTTATTATACAGTATATACATTTTTTTTTAAATAAATACAATATAAATTAACAAAATAATTAACATAATTTTATTTTAGTGATTTGTGAAACAAGTTTTTATTATTGCCTTAGGCAGTAATTGACATGTAAGGAATTTAAATTCATTATTTCTGTTATAATAAATATGGCATTAATTTAATAAAAATTAATATTATAACAAATTTTAACAATTATAATTAAATTATTTGTTTAGCAAATAAGCTACAGTCAATGTTGTTATGGTGTAGATCCAAAAGTTGTTGGTAGAGTTTGAATAAAATCCGGAGGCCCCGATATTCCAACAGAAGAAAGATAATTGAAGTACCTAAAAAAACAATACATTTATTAAAAATAATAAATTAAGTATACCTATGTTTTATAAATAAATTAAAAACAGATAGAAATCAAAATTATTACTTTCTATTCATATTTTTCCTGAAAATAATAGACGTACTATATCAAAGGTTATTGAAGGAGGGATAGGGGTGCTTTTTATATACATTTTAGAATTCCTCAATTAATATATATCCGGAATCTTTGAAACCACCTCATTTTTTTTTGTTTTCCTTGCGTTTTAGGATATATGGGATTCTCCTAGGCCAGCGGAATAATACCAGAGTTAAAATCCAGATCTCGGCACCGGTACATGAACTCGTAATTACTTTTATCAAATTATTTTCCATCATATTGCTGAGCAACGCAGTGCTCTGCACACACTTTAGCCCACTTGGCCACCCCGCCCGCTCCAAAATCACCTTATCGTTATCTCTCTTCTGCCCAGAAATCCCCTCCGGAGAAGATAGAACACTCTGCCAGCTGCCCCGATTCTTTTACTCACCTCTTCATCAACATAACCACTTTCGTTGAGATGAGCACCCAGATACTGGAAATTATCTACCTGCTCCAACCTCTCACCACTTGCTCTAACACGGAAATTTTAGAGTTAAATTTATTTAAAAGTCGTATTAATTTTTTTTCACGAAAGCACTGAGAAAAGAATCAAATATATTGAAGAGGAGTTGGTTAGGGTGTTCAGCCACAAGTAACAAAGTAAATATAAATAAATGTAAGTAACTCTTCTTCAATATACTCATAACAGTCAAATATTAATCCACTATTAAAGAATCAAATCGTTTTTATTTGTTTTGGCAAACAAAGATAAGGCGAAACTATGACTTCAATAATGGAGCTCTGCTGCTCACACTTTGTTTCATCTCATATTTTCCAATTAAATAAATTTTTAATTTCATTAAAGTATATGGTAACCATTGAAAATAAGATTGCAAAATATTTTTTTTCTGTAAACCATTTTATAAATCATTAGTTTGAGCAAGTCTTAAAACTTATTTTGCCTTTATTTGGAACTGTGAACAGTAGTTCAAAGAGATAGGAACGTCGCAGTTGGATGAGGGATTTCTTCACCTACAAATATATAAAATTCAAGTCAAGATGAGCCATCGCTCAAGCCACTATTAGTATTTTACCGACAGCAGACTTGCTAATTGTAAGTACTTCTGACAGGTATGGGTAAAAAAAATTTTAAAGTAATATATACTCTTACCTATTGTTTCTTTTTGTATGAGATGCTAATCTGTGGGCTTCATTTCTTGAAATCTGGCGAAAAGATGGCCAATAATCTAGTGCATTATTACGGCGACTTAGAATGTTTGTCATACTAAAAGCTGTCTTTTCAATCTCATTCAAAATTCTAAAAGAAAAGGTATGGATCAGTAAATAGATAGATAGATAGAAAGTAAACTTTATTCTGGGACAAGGTCCCTTATGAATAACAGATATGAACAAAAAAATTAAAACTACATCTGGCCAAAAATTACATTAATCAATATTAAAGAATATATACAGTATCTTCAGTGAAATTAAATTAAAACAAGTAAAAATAAAATAGAATTTTGAGAAAAAACGAAAAAAAAAAAAAAAATTATTTAAATGAAAATAAAAATAAAATAAAATAAGCATGGGTTGATTTTTAAAATTAAGACAATAAATTTTATCAATCATTCACCTCCGCCAAAATCGGTTTCACAATATATACATAAATACATAAACTTCTCAATTAACAATTATAAAAATCTTAGAATTAATAACTGATTCCTTAATATACATTTGACAGTTTCACTAAAGCAATCAAAAGGTGAATAAATATAATAATATAAAGAAGTTTATAATTAAAAGAACCAATTTCTGACCTTGGTAAGAAATTTTTTTGTACATAAGTTTTATTATTAATCATCTATCTGAGAAAGGTAATGTCGGTATAACGGTAACACAGGTAACGAAAGAAAGATTTTTGTTACCTATGGTGACTAGAAAAACTACCTTGCTATACCGGATGTTGCCATTATTTTCTTTCGACATGAAAGCATCATTTTACCTCCAATATCAAAAGGAAAGGTTTTGATACTAGGCTTAACATTCTTTGAAAACACATTTTAAATGCAAATAATTAATAATAATTCAGTAATTAAACTTTGAAACAAAATAATGCAATGTGACAAATTAATTTAATAGGCAGCTATACCATTTTTCTATACAAACCTTGGGCATTCTGGAGGTTGAAATTTCCTTGATTCAGGTTTTACATTCATTAATTTTAGAAAATATGATTCGTAGTCGTCAAGATAACTACCTTCAGGAGATTCTTCACACTCACGAGTTAATGTACTGTCAACAGGATAGCTCTGCCAATAAGGCTTATCAATACCTTTATTTTTCTGAAACAAAAAATAATCACAATCATGAGCAATCAAATAGTGTAAATAAGAAAATACCATATTCATGTTTCAACTTGATCTTACCTTGTTTTGTCTGATAATATCTAATGTTGCTAAAGATGAAATGTGTCTTTTGATCTTTTTTCTTTCTTTTGCCTGATGGAGGTTATATTCTCCAATTTTCTCCCAAATGGATTCTTCAAGGTCACTTTTTCTACTTGAAATCTAAAACAAAATTTAAAGTTTTTATTTTTTAAATAAAAACTTCGAGTATATATTTTTTAATTATAGAATGAAAAATAATTAATAATCATAAGTTCAAATACAAACTGATTGACAAAAACTACTTCTGCCAATTAAGATCAAATTACCAAATAAAAAACTTATGAAGCTAATTTATAATTGCCAATACACAAATACTTTAAACTGAGATAGTCCAAAAAATTGGAGATTGGCCTACTGGGAAATTTACTTAACTCTAACTTCTTGAAGTAATATTTCATTAGTTAAAACGCTCATTTACAGGGAAACTTGGCAACAAAATGGTACCCCCAATGCCTTTTGGCTGATTTTTTTTTAATCAGATGGCAGGTTTACTCTTGACATCTCCAGTGGCTCAATTAATCTTCCATTGGTTTAATTTGATTTATAAATATAAAACAGAGAGATAAAAGAAGAATATTTCTTATTCTATTAGTTTCCAGAGCAAGAACTATAAAATATATTATAACTTTAAATTTATAAATTCATTAACATGAAAACAATTTTAATTTATAAAGATATCATTTTAGATGAAAGAATATACATTTATTTCTTAATGGAAATTTAACCTTTTCTTGAGAAAACTGAAGCTGTAGCAATGATTTTCTGATATCTTGCATAGAGGCTAATTCAGCTGCTTTAATCGGGCAAATATTAAAGCCTTCCACAACAGAGACAGTTCGTAACCAGCTTCCTGTAAAATTTAATGATATAATAATAATGCATAAATTTGATACATATTATATTATAAATATCACACTGTGGGACACAACTAAATTTTTTTTTTTTTTTTTTTTTGTGATAATGATAATTAGATGCAGAATAATTTTTTAATGGTGTATGTTTATAAATAAAATATTTTATATGTTTATTGATGAAAACTTAAGTCAATTCTCTTCTCAACAGATTCAAGTTAATATTTAAAATTTTCTCTATACCTGCTCTTGAGCCAAATAACAAGCTATATATATATATATATATATATATATATATATATATATATATATATATATATATATATATATATATATATATATATATATACATATATATATATATACACACACATTATTGCTGAACTATATTAATTATTAATTTAAAATGAGATTTAACTGTTTCAGGAGATGTTATGGAGGCTCAAGAGCAGGTATAGAGAAAGATTAAATATTAACTTGAATATGTTGAGAAGAGAATTAACTTAAGTTTTCATGAATAAATATATAAAATATTTTATTTATAAACATACACTATTAAAAAACTTAATAAAACAATAATCTAAAATCCTTACCCAGCCTATCTTGGGAAGGTGGTGTGAATTGAAGAGAAGCGTGGCAGAGATTTAACAATTTGTTTAGATGCTTCACTTGAGTGTTATTCACAATCAATATAATAGGTCTTTTTGTCCCAGCAGCCAAATTAATTAAAGTAGAAACAAACCCCTCATCATCTTCAAACAATAAGTCAGCCTGAAGAAAAGATAAATGGTAAATCAAGATCAGTTAACAAAATTATGATATAATTTAATAAAAATGAACATAAATAAAATGAAGTTAGAGAATTAGTTCACTAGTAATTTATTAAAAGCAGTATAACACTGGTAGTAATTATCGAGGAATAGATCCACTAAATACAGTCTACAAGGTATTCTCTATATTATTGAACTGACAGCTGATAAAGATTTCCAAACAGATAATGAACGACTATCAGTGTGGTGGCTTCAGGCCTGAAAAATCAACCATCGATCAAATATTCTCACTAAGACAAATTCTTGAAAGGGAATATGTATTTTACGCTGACCTCCATAATTTATTTATCAATATTAAGCAGATATACGACAGTATTGATATAGAAGAATTACTGAAGATAATGCTTGAATTGGGAATTCCCAGGAAGCTCACTAGACTACCAAAAATGACAATGGATGATAGCAGGATGAAGATAAAAATGCTATCAGAAGAATTTTCAGTAAATAGTGGCTTGAGGCAGGGAGACCCACTATCACCTGTCCTTTTCAATTTAGCTTTGGAAAAAGCTATTAGGGAAATACGAATCAACCCTGATGGAACAATTTATGATCGGCTCATACAGTACTTGGCATAAGCGGATGATGTGCTCATAATGGCAAGAAACACCGCAGCGCTAGGAGGAGCTTTTGTCAAGTTTGAAAGGGAAGCAGCAGAAGTGGGCCTTCATGTAAATGAAGGAAAAATAAAACATTTAAAATCTTCCAGGCACCAACAACTGGATACCATGATATACAGATTGGCGATCACAGTTTTAAAAGTACAAGCACGTTGAAGTACCTAGGTGCAGTCATTACAAATGACAACATGAAAGAAGAAGTGAATACCAGGCAGATTGCAGGTAACAAATGCCTTTATGCCATACAAAAAACATTAAAGTTTGAAGCTCTTTCCGAAAAAGAAAAACTCATGATTTATGAAACCATACTGAGACCCATAGTTACGTATGGCAGTGATATCTGGGTATTGTCCAACGAAAGTAAAAAGAAACTCAATATCTGGAAAAGAAAAATACTCCGGAGGATAAATGAGCAAATAAGAGAAAATAATACATGTTGGTTAAGAAACTATTAACCAAGCTCCGTGCAATGTATGCCAAATCAGACCTGGTATCATTTGTGAAAAAAGCCCGCCTGAGATGGTTCGGACACATGGAAAGGATGTCAGAGAATGGAAAAATTAGAGGGATGCAATACAGAGGAAGGCCAAGAATACGATGGTTGGATGATGTTGAAGAGGACCTTAAGTTGCTCGGAGTAAGAATATTTAGGACGCGAGCGAGAGACAGCAATGATAGGCTTGGAGTCCTTGTAGGACCATAGCGCCCAGCAGTAAGTAAATAAATAATATATTGATTATTTTTTAAAAGTTTGAATGTTTTTTAAAATTTTAATTACTGCTTTTTTATTGTCATATAGATTTTCTTACAACTTTAGCGATAGATTTGATATTTCCTTATGTTTGTGGGTATGATACAATCTTCAGTAACATGTTATACTGTTCTTCAAAAACCATAGCTTTCACTATGGTGTTGGCTACCCTCTTATATTATGTAAATATGAAAAATTCATAATACGCTATCCTTAATCGGTAGAGGAGTTTCTTCTTTTCTAGATAATCTGTTTGAGATTTTTGATTTTAAACAATAGCTTTTTATCTTTTTAAGCTTTGATTCCTCTTTTGTCACATACTGAATGGTACAAGACACAATTAATTTAAATTAAATAAACAGATAGTATAGAAGAGATATAAAAATTATGTTTCTTCATGTTTAAAAAAAGGGAAATTAAAGAATAAGAAAAAAATATTTTAAATAAACTTACATCTTCAACTAGTATGAGACTTCTTTTAGGATCTTCAGATTTCTTTTTCACCTTAGCTGTAAGGAACAAAGAAACATTATTTGTCTCAAAATATTTTATTTAGTTACTAAGGCACAATTCCAAGAATAGCCAAATCTATTTTTTAATTATCAGTTTTGTAACAAGATTAACATGAGGTAAAATAATTTAGTACCTTATGAAACTGTTAATTACAAAAAAATACAACATTTATAATGGACTGGAAAATTTCGTATAAGTAATTAAAGTTTTAATTTTATTATTAAGTTATGGGAGGGGGGGAGGGGAGAGGAGACACAAGACAAGAGACAATAGTTCTTGACTACATGAATCTCCATAATTTAATCCTTTTGATTAACCTTCCAGGATACATGTAAGAAATTCATACTGAATAATATAATTAAAGTATGGGCATATATTAAATTGTATATGAGGAAATATTTATATTTACTTAAATATGAAGGTGTGCTCTTAAATTAAATTGCTATTAACTTACAAAAATTCAGTTTTGAAACTCCAACCTTATGGGACTGCATTGCTTCAGAAAATTCATTGAATATTCTTTTCCCAGATCGATAATAAGAAGCATTAATTTCTAAAACCTACAACACAAAATATATAAATGATTGTATATTATTATGTATTATTTGATATATTAACATTAAACTTCTTCAATAATTTAAAGTTCTAAGGTTACTAAATTTTGTTTTTGTAATATCTAATATTCAGGAATGTTCTAAAGAATGGCTATTTTTGATGCTGATCAAATCTGAATTGATGATTAGAAAAAATTAAAATAAATTAACAAAGGAGAATATATAGAAAGTTGGTAAGAGTTCATAAAAGATTAAAGACCAATTTGCCTAATTCTATTTGTAATAAACAGTTCTTAAAAAGAGACTAAGAAGTCGAGTGACAAATAAGTAGAAGAAAAGGCTCTAAATTCTAAATAAATAGTAAGAATCAAAATAGAAATATGGGTTCGCTACTCTACGTTGGTCCCAAAACCCTGCACTCGGCACAATCTGGATGCTATAACCCAGCAATGGTCTATATGATATTTTGACGAGCTGAGATAGATAAATAAATCTTTAGCTAATTAAATACATTTGTTTGACTAAATTCTATACTTAAATAAACTAAAGGAGTCTTCAAGTAATTTTAAGCACCAACATATTTTACAATATCAATCACTTATTACAGAAAAAAAACAACAAAAAAAACTAAATTGAAAATTAACTAACATGATAACCAATTTCCTTGGCAATAGCATAGACAGCAGCAGTTTTTCCAGTCCCTGGTAGTCCCGAGAGAAGGGTAACTGTTTTTCTATCAATGCTGTCTTTATCATTATCTTTTACAAACTCGTCACTGCTGCTTTCACAAGAATCTAAAAACAATTATAAATAATTAATATTTATAAATAAAAATTAATAATTAAGTTAAGTGGCGAGATTTCTAGTCAAAAATTCTTGAGTTAAAATATCAACTTTTAGCATCAAATAATTTTAAAGAATATTATATGAATTATTCAAGATTTGGACTTTTTATTCATATTTCACTAGTAAAATTCTTATATAAGTATTCACTAATTGAATTAAGGGTCAATTAAGACTAAATAAAAATTGGAAAAATCTAAACCAAAAATATTAATATGTCAAGCGTAATATTCACATAAAACAAAGAAAAATATTACCTGCACGCGAATTTTGTTTAAGCTCACTCAACCACCCTTTAAGTTTGCATATATTTCGTGTATTAGCTAAAAATGTTGATGACAAGTGCGGTCTGTACCTCTCTGTCCACATGCTATTTTCTTTACCTTTCCTCAGTCTTTTCAGTTCTTTATACCAACAATTAATTGGATACAGGTTCAACTAGAAAATATGTTATCTTTTACTTTTATGTTAATATGTTATCTTTTTATATGATTAATTAAAGTAAAATTATCTTGTAAAAATTTTTTTTCTTCATAAATTTCAACTATAAGAATAAACCTATCTTAAAATCCACTAGAAAGTATCCTTTCAGTTTAACATTTAAGCAACAAAATTAAGCTATCTTTAACTTATACTAACCCACTGTAGAATTCCTACTTACAATGGGCTAGTGCTAAGAGCAGAATACTTAATGGGAGTTTAATATGTATGCGATTGTATGAATATTTAAATAGTATAACAAATAAACTAACTTCTTTTTTCAGGTCTTTAAAACTGGTTGGGTTAGATGACTGCACTTCGCAGGCTACTTTCTTTGTAAATTTTAATTGACTTGGTAGTATTGAAGACCATTCAGGATTACCGAAAGCTTCTTTATCTTTACAATAATTATGTTTGATTGGAAAGAGATTCCACATAATATTCATTCTATCTTTCTGAAGAACATGTGATTTATCTGGAAAAGGAGCTTCTTTTCCTTGAGCACTAAAGACAATAAACAAAAGGTTAAAAAAAAAAAAATATATAAGTGAAAATAAAATGATATAGTGCAACATTATTTACTTGGATAGGGTAGCAGTTATTCGTTTAATAGGGTCTGGGGTTCCACTACTCAGGAATTGCTTTTTAGCAGTTTTTTGTTCAGAAGTCAATGATGAAGGTTTTTTTCCAAGTAGGAAAAATGATGCTAATGTTCCTGAAAATTAAATATATAATCATTTCATAAAAGAGGTAATTAGACCACAAACAGTTAACTATTAAGTGAATATATTTTATTGAAATTTACTAATGTGACAATATTACCATCACTTTTCACTTTCGGCTTTTCTTTTTGGAATTCTTTAACAAAAATAACATTACTTTCTGTAATAGCAAGTTTCTTTTTAGAAACTTTTTCTTCTTGGTCTGTTTCTAAAAATATAATATAATGAAAAATATTATATAGAAAAAAAAAAGGATAACAAGAGATTTTATGCTGACAGTTAACGCTATTAAATGAACATATTTTGGTATAATATATTACTGTGACAATATTACCATCACTTTTCACTTTCGGCATTTCTTTCTGGAATTCTTTAACAAAAATAACATCACTTTCTGCAACAGCAGGTTTCTTTTTAGGATGTTTTTCTTCTTGGTCTGTTTCTAAAAATATAAAATAATAAAAAATATTATATATAAAAAAGGGATAGCTAGAGATTTTATTGAAGGAAGCTAGTCGACTGTTCTACATATCATGGGTGATAAATATTCAGGACGCAGTCTTTTAAAATTTTTTTATTTCTGCCAATATTTCAACCCAAACATGTGAGTCATCTTCAGGGCTGAAAACAAACAACAACCTAAAAAATATTTCAGCGTCTCATATATTAGAAATTTGACTGATAAAATTTAAAGAACATTTAAACTATATGATGTAAATGAAATTAAATTTGCAAGAAAACCAATTAATAAATTAGATACAATTTACTCGAAAACTAAAGATGAAGTACCTATTGATAAATTAATGAATATTATTTATAAAATAAATTGTAAAAATTGCAACAAATCATATTTTGGACAGACATCCCAATGGTTTGAAAAAAGGCTTAAACAGCATAAACAAAATTGTGATTCAAAAAACACAAAAATTAAATTAGCTACTGGACTCTCTCAACATACTATGCAAACTAAACATGAATTTGATTTCAAAAATGCCAAAATCCTACATAATGAAAGAAATATGAATAAATGTAGAATTAAGGAAGCAATATACATAACTAAAAACTTAAAAAAATCGGTAAATAATCATACAGACGTGGATAATATGAATACGTTTATGCTACTTCAATTGAAAAAATCAAAATTTGAAATAAATTAGCTAATATTACTTAAAATAGATCCACATATAATTTTGGGAAACAGCATTATATATGTTTATAATAAATAGTCTTCCCCGACTCTTAAAAGAATAACCAGTCACTAAATAGAAATGAGATGGATGACATGTGGGTGACTCATGAACAAGGTAATAATAACTTATTTGAATCATTTAATAGGAAAGAATGGAGTAATAATAATGTTGTAAAATAATTAAAGGTGAACATGACAATAATAAGAAATTTTATTATGAGTAGACGCTTGTAATTCGCATAAGTGAAAAGGACAGGTACATGATGGGTATTTTAGGTATATACTAAGAATCTTTATAATTTTAAATATGTTAAAGTTAATATATGATTATAAATGAAATTTTTTTTTTTAGACTTGAAAATGGCTCGACGAGCCGAAACGTCGTCATTGTGATGAGTAGTCATTAAGTTCACAAAATTTTTAAAAATTGGTGTAAATATGGCTAATAATAAATTAACCTGAAAATAAATAGTATGCACCGAAGAAGAAGTGAGAAATATTGTGAATATATCTATATTGATTGGCACCTCTTGCTTATGTTCAGTTCATTTCTAGCCAATATTCACAATTTTGTAACCATAAGAAACAACGCAAATCTTGTATACATCTCAAATATTTAGTCAGCAAATTATGTACATTCTACAAACAGAAATGTTACCTTCTTCTCCCTCTGACTATGTTTATCTACTTTTTGCTATCTGAAAAAGGACAACTGGGAAATCCTCCCCCGACCTTTCCACTTACCTACCAAATGTGTCAGTACTTGAAAGCATTCAGTGCTCGAACCACGATTAGTAAGAAAAAATATTACAAATTTTTAAAAATAGATCATATATATTATTTTTAGTTTGTATAACTTTTTACATATTTCATTTTTAATATTGTGTATTGTAATAATAGTTAAGATTCATGTAGCATCAAATTACTATAGTTTATTATTTACCATTATCAGTTGTATAATATTATATCTCTGATTGTAATTTAAAATTTTTAGCCCTGAAGATGACCCACATGTTTGGGTTGAAACGTTGGCACAAATAAAAAATTAAATTTTTTTTTAAGAGACTGCGTCCTGAATATTTATCACACATGACAAGAGATTTTATGCAAACAGTTAATACTATTAAGTGAACATATTTAAATGTAATATACTACTGTGACAATATTACCATCACTTTTCACTGTCGGCTTTTCTTTCTGGAATTTTTTAACAAAAATAACATCACTTTCTGCAATAGCAGGTTTCTTTTTAGAAAGTTTTTCTTCTTGGTCTGTTTCTAAAAATATAAAATAATGAAAAAATATTTAAAAAAAAAAACATAAACCAAGAGAATTTATGATATAACTGAAATGCTAACCTAATTTTCTTTTTTTTCTTTCCTTTACAATATCATCTTGTTCATCAGATGAAATTTTCACCTCCAAAACTTCTTCTAAGTAACAACAGAAAAAACAAAACATAATTAGTATACAATATAATCAAACAGTCGATAACACAACAATAAACAAATAATTAAAATGTTATCTCGAAACCAATAAATTTATGGGTGAAGATATCACTTAACAGAACCAAATACCACATAACAGAAAGTTGGGAATTGAATTTCAAATTCATAGCTATTTCTTAAATCAAAAAGCAGTTAATAATTCAACAAGACCGATAAAAATTTAGTCAATCTATAATAATTTATAAAAACTGAAGAGCTTATTTGTTTGTACACACTAATTTCATAAAATACTAGTTTGATTAGAAAAATTCTTTTAGTGTCAAATAGACCATTTACGGAGGAAGACTTTAGACTTTATAATATGTTATGTCCCACAGGGACAAAATTGTAAATAATCCTGGAAAACCTTATATAATTATGCTAGCACAGTTTTCGTATTTATAGTTAGCAGCTGCTATAATCTCTACAGCACAGAGACAAAATTGTGAGCATATTGGTGACAACTTTCACTCACCAACAACTATATGTTGCTATTCAAAATTGGATTGCAGAGAAAACCAGAATATATTTGTAGCTCTGGAAGAATGAACTAAAAATATTATTTCCACTGAATTGTTGTCTTTAAACAATATATTTAGTTAGAGGTCTTTTTGTCGTTACATGTGAATTTTGGATTTTATTTAAGTAATAATATGAACTTCTTATTATTATATGTATCATGTATAATAATAATTTAACATAGGTAAGACTGCAGGGCATAGCAAGTAGTCTTACCAATAAAATCAAGATGAGAAATATAAAAACTTTTTTAAAACTAATAAAAAAAAAAGTTGTTCTAACCTTTAGTTGGTTCGGTAATGCCTATACATTCCACAGTACTGCTTTTTTGAGACATGTCAGATATATCTGAAAACACATTTATATCATGTAGAAGAATAATGTTATAACTGCTAAAAATAGTTGCACTTTTATTATAATTATAAACAAACCTTCAACGTGACTGAACTTCTGTAAAACTTCACCCGATTCAGTTACTTCCATCGACTCTGTTCCTTCTAATGTAATTAAATCATAATCAATTTTTAAATCTTTTTTTTTGCCACCCTTTCTCTTTCTAAGAGATTTTGGAGTAAACTTCGTTGAACCACCATCAGACGGTACATGAACCATTGCTTCTACTTTAATAATGCGAGGTCTTTCTTCTATTTCTGGTAATTTATCTACTTTACAGAAATAATTTAACAAACTTTTATTATTGTCAGGAGTAGCCAAGTCTTTATCTTCACTTTCTGAATTACAAATGCTATTTTCTTTACTAGAATTACTATCTCTTTTACCCTTTTCTGATTTAAGAGAAACCTTTTTCTCATTTCTTGAATTCACTTTATTAAGTTTTTCCTCTTTCAAAGAATCATCTAAAAGGCTAGTATTATCTTCAGTTTTTAGGTTTCTATCAGATTTCCTTCGAGTTTTGCTTTTCTTGATTATATCAGACTCAGCTAATTTCTTTTTCTTAGGAAGCTCAGGAGTGCTACTACTTACATCTACCACAGAATCTGTCAACACCTCAGGTAAATTCTTCTTATTACTTCTTTTCAAAACATTAGTTTTCTTCTTTTTTTCAAGATGTGGGCTAACTTTATTTTCTATGATAGTAGAGGAAACGTTCTCAATATCTGCTGACTTCTCATCATCAAAATCTCCACTTTCAAGTCTTTTACGTTTCTTCTTTTTCGAATGACCAGATACTATTCCGTTACTAGCTTTGTCTTTTATAGAATTTAATTTTCGTGTAACAGCTTCTCGGCAAGAAGATGAATTGTTGGTGATTATGTCAGATTCTGCATCTTTAATATCCCCCTTTGGAGAAACGAAATAATGTTTCAAATCCTTCATAACAAAACACAAAACTTTCACTTCATTGAAATAGCATAGAAATTTAATGAACTAAATAATAACTGATAATACACAAATATTGACAACAAATGAATAACCTCCTCAATTTCAAGTGCATACTGGCGCCAAGGATTTGGCGCGGTTTTGTGAGATGTGACACAGTGTTGCCACTCGTCAGTAACCAATTTTCGTAGTTAAATCTTGCACATCATTGTATTTATGTTCCCTTAAGGGTCGTTCAACTGTTAAATGTCATTGTTTTTTTGGGTAAAATTAGATAAAAATTATTTATTTTTTCTGTTCCATTGTTTGTAATACACCCCATCCGTCCGAGGACGGATTGTAATAACTATCGAGGAATTTCACTGCTTCCAGTATGTTATAAAATATTCACGTTAATCTTAACCAGTCGAATCACGGAATACGCCGAGGAAATTATGACTACCAATGCGGATTTAGACGGAATCGTTCGACTATTGATCAAATATTTTCTTTACGGCAAATATTAGAGAAAAAATTGGAGTATAACGGTATTGTTCACCAGCTGTATATAGATTTTAAAAAGGCTTACGATTCTATTGACCGCCAGAAACTGTATAATATTCTAATCGAGCAGGAGATTCCAAAAAAACTAGTAAATCTAGTCAGGATGTGCTTGACAGAGACACTCAATAAAGTTAGAATCGGTAATAATTTGTCCGAAAAATTTGAGGTTCGTTCAGGCTTAAAACAGGGGGATTCTCTTTCGCCTGTCCTGTTCAATTTGGCATTAGAACATGCCATTAGGGAAGTAATGCGAACCGAGAAAGGGTTGGATCTGGGCGGGACAACATCCGTGCTGGGCTATGCTGATGATCTGGTACTGTTAAGCGAAGACGTTGAAACTATAAAACTAAATACGACAACGTTAATGAAAGCCGGTAAAGAACTAGGACTCCAAATAAACGTGGATAAAACAAAATATATGGTTAGCTGCAAAAATGGCGATACTACTGGTGATATCGATATAGATGGTAGTATGTTTGAACAGGTAGATAAATTTAGGTATCTAGGTTCTACGATAACTAGAAAAAACGAAATTGAAGAAGAGATCAAGGTTAGACTGAAGGCGGGGAATGCTTGTTATTTTTCTGTGACAAAACTACTTAGTTCGCGCCTCTTGTCCCGAAACTTAAAAATTAGAATCTATAAAACAATTATCTTGCCTACAGTTCTTTATGGATGCGAAACTTGGCCGCTTACATTAAGGGATGAGCAGCGTCTTAAGGTTTTTGAAAATAAAGTATTGCGTAGAATATTCGGACCGAAGAAGGATGAATTAACCGGAGAGTTCAGACGGTTACACAACGCCGAATTGCGTGAGATGTATCCGGGTAATATAATTGAGGTAATTTCATCGCGGCGAATCAAATGGGCTTGTAAAGTTGTTGGGCTTAGTAACGAGAGAATTCCTAAAAGGTTAATATTTGCTGTGCCGAATGGTAAGCGTCCGAGGGGAAGACCGAAGCGAAGGTGGGAAGATTGCATTAAAGCCGATCTGAAGGGACTGGGTTTGGACGGCGAACGGTGGAGGGAGGTGTGTAACAAGCGATTGGTGGTGTCGGCATCGAACCTTCGGGTTCGCTAAGCCTTATTATTATTATTATTATGTTCCATTGTTTGTAAGTTTCACTAATAGAAAACATATAAAAATAAGGTTCTCTTATTATTCCAAGAAAAGGTGTTATCACTAGCGGATCCAGCTGGAGGGTACGGGGGGTGCGCGCCTCCCCCTTGAAATTGTCAAAAGAATTAAAATAAAAAAGTAGCTATAAAAAGAAAAGAGAAATTTAGGGAAAATTTATCCTCATAGGCGAATTTCCTAATGTAATATAGAAAAATATTATTAGAAAAAAATATTAATAAAAAAATATTACTATGGTGACTAGCTCTATCGAATTTTATAAGGAGGCGCGCCGTCTCTTGGATGGTGGAAAAATCCGAAAAAAGTTCTAAAAACAGCTAATTAAAGAAAAGAGTAATATAGGAAAAATCCTCTTATACGAACTATCTAATGTGATATATAAACAATTATTAATTAATACTAGCGGATCAAGCCGGGAGGCGCGCCCCTCTCTCCCCTGGTTGAAAACAATGTTCCAAAAAGTACCTATTTAAAGAAAAGACAAATAAATGAAAAATTCATCCTCATAGACGAATTTTCTAATGTAATATAAAAAAAAGTTATTATTGTGACCAGCACTAGTGATTTCTGTCAGTATGCGGGCCCCCCCTCTGGATGGTAAAAAAATAGTTTGTAAAAAAAGTTTCAAAAATTAACTTTTTAATAATAATAATAATAATAATAAGGCTTAGCGAACCCGAAGGTTCGATGCCGACACCACCAATCGCTTGTTACACACCTCCCTCCACCGTTCGCCGTCCAAACCCAGTCCCTTCAGATCGGCTTTAATGCAATCTTCCCACCTTCGCTTCGGTCTACCCCTCGGACGCTTACCATTCGGCATAGCAAATATTAACCTTTTAGGAATTCTCTCGTTACTAAGCCCAACAACTTTACAAGCCCATTTGATTCGCCGCGATGAAATTACCTCAATTATATTACCCGGATACAGCTCACGCAATTCGGCGTTGTGTAACCGTCTGAACTGTCCGGTTAACTCATCCTTCTTCGGTCCGAATATTCTACGCAATACTTTATTTTCAAAAACCTTAAGACGCTGCTCATCCCTTAATGTAAGCGGCCAAGTTTCGCATCCATAAAGAACTGTAGGCAAGATAATTGTTTTATAGATTCTAATTTTTAAGTTTCGGGACAAGAGGCGCGAACTAAGTAGTTTTGTCATAGAAAAATAACAAGCATTCCCCGCCTTCAGTCTAACCTTAATCTCTCAATCGCTTTAGGGGATTCATGGCGCAAGTTCAAATATAGAGACTTAAATTAACTTTTTAAAGAAAAGAAAAATGTAGCAAAAATTATCCTCTACGACATATTTTCTAATATGAACATCATCATCATCCCGACCTCGAACACCCATTACTGAATCTTGGCTGCCTCAAGAGTTTTCCTCAACGTGTCCCGTGTACAGAGCAGCCGTCCACCAATTCCGGATTTCAAGGATTCTGGCATCAACACTTACTCCATCTTTCCAATCTCGGTCTGCCCACTTTTCTTTTATTAGCCGGTATCTTCATCCTTCATCAAAACCAGTCGTATGAGGACTTTGTAAAAGAGATAAAAATTTTATAGAATTTTTGATGTGTACTTTTAACGGAGCTATAGTTTATAGCTAACAAATAATTAAGACCATTAAATAACAAAAACCCTATTAATTATATCAACGGTAGACAATAAAAACCTCGGTACTCCATCTGCTTTTGTAAACCACATAGCCTAGAGAGATTTGAAAGTATTTCTCTATATTAAACCTATAAGGGATTATGGATACGCCTATTAGTTATTAAACTTTAGTTTTCTATTTTAAAGTTTACTAAAACAAAATTACCAGATTATCATTGCCTGCCATAGATAGGTCAAAAGTTGTCACACTAATTTTAAGTGGGTAATGTTTGGATTTCACAAAGGGAAAATTCATCTAATTATTCACTAATTTAATTTTATAAAAGGTTACATGACGATTTTTCGGCTTAATAAATAAATATCTATATATATAAAAATGAATGTATGTCTGTCTGTCCATCTGTTTGTCCTTGGTGCATTACTAAAACATTCATCTGATCGCCATGAAACTTTGTGAAGTTGTTTCGTACACTCCTGGGAAGGTTTCTGGCATATTACTTCTGTCTTACGATAATTTTATATATGTAAAAAAAATAAAAATATAAATGTTTTTCTGTTCAAAACCGCAAAAAAATGTGTCGCTATAAGCTGTAGCGCCAAAACGGCTTTAGCGATTTTAACGAAACTTGGCTAAAGTCTTCTACTTGAAAACCTTTTCATTTATGTGTATAACATACTTTCCCGAAAACAAGCTGAAAAATGTTACGATGAATTCAATACTTTATTTGACGATAACTAAAAAAGTTCAGTATTTTTGACTTATAATACCCACATTTATTTGAAAGATTCCTTATTTGCCGACAAAATAAAAAAGATGTCATTGAAATAGATATCTCCGAAATAAAACTATTTCTAGCGGCCGTTGGAGTAAAGTCGGTTAAATTATTTTTTTAAGGAAAAAAAAAGTTGAGATTTGTATTTCGCACCTCGATTAACCATCAAATACCAATTTTCACTGGAATCGAAAAATAATTTTTTTTGGCTCAAATTTTCGTCAAGGGTGGGACCTTCAATTTTATTTCGGAAACTACAAACAGTGTGATAACTTAATAATGGCTCCACCTATAAAAATGAAAAAAATCAGAGGTTTGGGGCCAAGTAAACTGCACAAACCGTACCCCAGCAAGCATATTAGAAGTTAAGATAAAAAATTAAAACGCATTAGGAGATTTTCTTTATTTATTCCTCATCAAGGCGTTAAATCTAAAAGTTTATTTGAAATATTCCTGATTTGTCGACAAAATAAAAATAAAAAACCATCGAAATAGGATTGTTCGTTGCAGAGTTATAGAGTTTTATAATTTTATAATTACTACAGTAATCGAAATTATCATTTGAAGAAGTTATATGATTCTCCTTAGGTAGGTCAATACTATTAAATGTTCATTATATTAATTTTTCATTTTAGTTTTATAAGTTCAACTCAGACTGTTTCTGATGATTATGAATGTTCGATTTGAATCATGAGAAAAAAATCAATAGAATTAGTTTAAATTTAAGCCATTTTACAGACAAATTTCTTTCTCAAATTTTTAAAAATGACAGATGTCCTTTGCTATTAATCTACTCATATGTGCTTTCTATTTTCTTTCTTTTTCATTTTGCCAGGCTAAGCCACAGCAGCGCGTGACCGGGTAAAGCTAGTATTTAAATAAAAAAAGAAAAAACAAATTAAATACAGGTGTAATAAAATATTTACAAAGATCAATTCAGGAGAATTTAAAGCAGAGCTTTCCATCTCCCACATGTGGAGGGAAAATCTGAGCATTGGGAGATCTCAGCCCTTCTCTCTCAGCCTCGTCACTGGTAATAATGATCCAAG